CATTCCAGCAGACAGACCAAAGTTTTGTGTTCCTGCTATGCCAAAGTCCGCACCAGCAAGAGCTGAGTTGCATCGACCGGAATTGAGGGAAATGATCAAACAAAAGATCCAAGAGTTGGAATTCAAAGTTGCACTAGAATTGTTTTCTGCTGTTGCGCGGTTGGTCCCAAAAGATGAGGTTAGAAAGAACCCCAAAGCGAAAGCTGCCTTGGATAAGGAATGGGAAAACCTCAGAACAAAAGGAATTTGGGACGAGTCTAGGGTCCGAGAATGTAAAAGCATTGTGGACGAAGCTCGTGGACAAGGGAAAACTGTACATTTAGCCCGGATTTTCGAAGCCTGTTATGAAAAAGGATCGGAACTCCCCGCCGGTGATCCTCGTCGAAAAGTCAAGGGTCATACAGTGTTCCAGGGCAATAGCGTCCGCGACCAAGACTCTGACCACGGACTGTTCGCTGAACTTGGCAGTAGTCCCGCTTCTATAAGCAGCCAAGTTGCTAGATGCCTTTGGGTCTCAACCCGGTTTCTCCAGAGCCCAAGCTGATGCGATCCAAGGGTACATTCAGGCCATCTTTACTGGTGTGCCCACTTGGCTTTCCTTGCCACAGCCAATGGTGCCTTTGGTCTTAGCTTTATATGGGCACCCCGATAGCGGTGGTATTTGGGAAAACCATTTGAACAGCAGAATCGGCAAAGAAGGTTGGAAACAAATTCTCCCTGATGTATGGCAAAGCATCTTCTATCATGCTGAGTACAATTGCATGTTGGTCGTTTATGTGGATGATTTCAAACTGGCAGGTCCGACTGAGAACGTGGACAAAGCATGGGCCAGCATTCGACGTGCTGTGAACATTGGGGACCCCGAGCCATATGACAGATACTTCGGTTGTCAACATGTGGAATTCAACAATGTAACTCTTCCACGAAAGGCTCACCCATTTGCTCATGTGTTTGATTCTCAATCGGCTGCTGCCGCACAGACCCAACATCGCACCAATGATTTTTGGCAACATGACCCCATCAACAAAACTTGGACAAGGTATCATCTCCAGCCACGTAAGAAGTTGTTCGAGCCTGGTGATGAGTCGGGGGGAGTTTGCCAAGTCTTTGCATTCAGAACGGGTTACCATGTTCGACAAAAATGTTGAATTCAAAGGTCTTCCAGTTCTCAACTTGCATTTTTCAGATGAAAGCTCAGCAGTCGTTGAAGATGACATGACTGTAGACCAAAAGATTCAGACAATAGACTTCTGGACGGGTCGAACAATCTTCAAGTATGGTGACCAGTCAGGCAACTCTAGTCAGTTCGCCCTACCCTCAAAGAACAGACCCGGTCCGCATCGGGACAAAAGGGATGCCAAGAAGAGAAGAAAGCTCAACGGTTTAAAAGCATTGAGAGTGTCACCAATAGCAAGTCTGGCTGCATGACAAAGCCAGTTAATCTTGTGAGGTATGACATGTCCTCATTCATGGAATCTTGCGTAGATGCTTACTGTGAACTGGCAAAGGTCCAGAAAAGCGATTTGCCGGTGGTTGCAACTCCCTTCACAGAAGCGGGGATTGCTCGGCCTACCCTTGACGAGAAGGAGAAGCCAGGGAGGCTGCAGCCGATCGCGTCTAAGGTTCGAATGAAAATTCTCTTTGCTGCCCGTACGGCACGCCCAGACCTCCTTAGAGCTACCCAAGCTTAGCATCTAGAGTGACGAAATGGTCGGTCGAATGTGACATAGCTCCCCATCGACTTGTATCATACATAAAGTCAACTACAGATGTCTATACGGAGGGTTTTGTGGAGGACTCGTTTGAGGATTGCCAACTGTGGTTGTTTGCGGATGCTGATCATGCAGGGGAATTCGACTCAAAGTCAACACATCAGGGTGTGCCATGCTTCTAGTTGGTCCCAACACCTATTTCCCTCTAAATGCATTCAGCAAAAAGCAGACAATTGTAGCAAACTCATCCACAGAAGCAGAAGTCGTTTCAGCCAATCATGTTTTGAGGGCAGAGGGTATTCCGATGTTAGCTTTGTTGGAGCAATTGGGCGTCTTCGAGGAGTTGTCGCAGAAGGCTGGCGTAAAACCCAAGCCTAACACCCCGGAACCAGAGGACCCTGTTTTCACATGTATTGACAAAGAGATTGATGAAATCAGGTATGGCAATGTTGAGGGGGGCCTTTCTGCGGCAAACATCAACGGTTTGAAAGCCCATCTTCCAGAGTTCTATCAAGTGAAGTTCATGGAAGATAACCAAGCTTAAATTACGGTGATGCACACTGGAAACTCTTCGACAATGAGGTATGCCAACAAGACCCAAAACATTTGTTTCAAGTGGATGAAGCAACAGTTTGAGGAGGAACAGTTTGACCTCATTAATGTGGGTACTGATTGGCAAACCGCCGACATCTTGACGAAGCCCTTCACCTCGCCCACAAAGTGGGAGCATGCGCTCAGGCTGATGAGCATTGGGAAGTCTTGGATCACCGACGACAAGAACAAGGTGCGCCAAGCGGACTCCCGACCTGCCTGTGCAGCCAATGCCAATGATCAGGGGGCCAAGAAAGTCAACATCATTTCGAAGGCTTTTGATTGAATTTTGTTGTTCACATGACTCAAAGTTATGCACGCCACGAGACGCCAGCAAAGGGTGTAGACTCATTCGGGTTGCTGTGAGAACGAAGATGGCACCACTCAAGGCTGTCGTAATTGGCTAGCCCAAGAAGTCCAGCCGTTTCGTGAAAACAACCCTCAGGGTGAAGTTTTGCTTTACGCTTCTTTACCTTGCGTTGGTGGTAGTCCTTGGGGATACATCAATGCAATGACTGACACTGGGGCCGAAAGAATTGAACAACAACAAAAGAATTCACAAAGCTTTTCACGCCACTTCAAAAAACTTATTCACCAAATCGATGGACCAAACTTTTCAATTGCATTTGAACTCTCAAAGAATTGCACGTATTGGAAGTGGCCAATGGTTCGATTTTTCTCAAAAAGAACATTTTGAAGCAATATCCATTCCACGGTTGCCAGTTTGGGGTTACCGAAGCGGTTGAAAGTGGAACTCAGGCCGGAGTTCATGAACAGGTCGAGGCATATGAAGCACAATCTTCTCGCCGAGCCAGTTCGCCGGCTGCTTCAACTGGCATGCCCGCTGAGCCAAAGTTTCCAGGAAAAGTCAAACCTCCGCCACCAGCTTTGATGAAGTGGCCTGGATACGCAAGCAGTCGAATGTTGCCACCGCCCCCAAAGGGCGAAGCTCCGAAACCACCAGTGCCTGACGTCCCCAAAGCAGTCGCAAAGCCTGCCGAACCATCTGCAGAAGAGCAACCAGCCAAAAAGAAGGCCGCCTTAACGAGTGAGCCGAAACCAGTGGCAGTTGCGTCCTCAGCAGCAGTGTTCTTGGAGCCAGCCCCAAAAGCGCCTCCTGCCAAAGCAGCCAAGGCGGGGTCGGTAACCCCACCACCGGGTTTACCATCATCCAAGTCGGCAGCCAAATCAAAATCTTTGGTGACGAAGTCTCGCCTTAAAAGCGATGAGCAGGCACAGAAGCCGGAGACAGTGAAGATCGAGGCCAGTGAGTGCAGAAGATGCTGCGCCAAGACCATCAAAGTGCAACTCGAATGCGACGTGTGCGGCCGGAAGGTCTCTCAAAGGCTGAGCGTACTGCAATTGCAGAGCGCCGCAAAGCAGCCTTGCACAAACTTGGAGTCTTCTACGATTTCAAAGGCGAGTACCTCCAGAAGATCACCAGAAATCAGCTTGAAACCCTGCGGAGACCAAGCACGAGGAAGCACCAGTCCTGAAGCTGATCTCATCAGACGAGCAAAAGGACGTTCAGAAAGAGCGATTGGGATGGGCTATGATTCGGTCCTTGACAGGTTTACGAAAGATGCTACATTTGCAGAAAGCTTGCTGGCTGAGGGAGAAAATGAGTATGACTGTGCACGGTGAACGATATGATCTTCTTCGTTCAGCTCATTTGCCAAAGCCCGACCGCACGAGAGCTCAAGGTGAAGATGGGTGTCTCTGAGGCTTCGCAAGTGGAACACAATGCAATGCGGCTCGCTTCCCTGGACCTGGATGGCCGCCTTGACCTGCCTGACAGATTCCGTTACATCGATCAACCTTGGTTGTATATGTACAGAACGGAAATCTACAGTGAGGAAGAATACATTGATTACCTCGAAAGGAATCCTCACTACAATCTGCTGATGTCAAACACAGGGATTGATCAGGTGAAGGTCGATGACGCCAAGCGCCACCTTCGGTACATCAAGGACACCAACCTGGATTCGTACAAAGCCAACGCTTTTGAAAAGAAGCAGCAGTCAGATCGTGCAAAAGAGAAGAACGAGGCCAAGCGAAAGGCCGAACAAACTGCTGCCTACGGCCAGGGTCCTGCAAAAAGAAGGCACCGCTAACCCGGTTGCCCGAACATCACCGAAAGTGGAAGCAGCATCCTCATCAACGTCAGCAAGTGTGTGGCTTGACCGCCCTGAGCAATCTCACCAAGATCGCCGCTACACGGGAGAGTGGCAGAAGTGGCATGGGCGCTGGTACCAAAAGGTGAGCATGGCCGAACTGAGTGGGAAGAGGGATAAGTCAGAAGCACCTTGCAATGACGATCGATTGACTTTTGTACAAAGCCGCAATTCGGGTGTTTACCTCAGGCTGCAAGCGAGCTATGTCGGCAAGGCAGACCTTAACGGTCTCGCCCTGGTAAGTGGGCAGTCTTGCCGTTCCGGCTCACCTGACGGGGGTGTATTTGCACCCCGGGTATAACACCATGTAATATAGCATGTACCACAGCTGATGCGGCTCAGGCAAAAAGTAGCTAGAGTTGCTGCGCTCAACGGTGTTTAGCATTCCTTTTAAGTTTATCAGTCTACTTGGGCGTTATAGTTATAGGCATAACCCCAGCTGAAACCTGAAAATACACAAACTGGATGTTTCTTTACGCGCCCCTTTACGACCAGCTTCTTTAGCGGCAGCCTCGCCTCATAGGAGCTGGGCACCGTCCTGAAGATCCCCGAGAGGATTCGAACCAATTGGCAGGCACGGGAACTCCTGCGGTCTGCTCGGGTTTTTTTCGGCGAATCAGAGCATGGTATAGCAACCTGCCTTCAAAATAGTTCTATGCTGTTTGATGCCAGATTCACCCAGTCTACTGCAAACTCCTTGTAGCCTCTGGTCACAGGTAGTTGATGGCAGTTGATGATCTTTTCAAACCGTTTTTCTTCTGGTCGGCCCACCAGAGTTTGAACTTCAAAGTGGCAGAGCCACTGAGTGCCGCGGTGAGGCGAGCGTTCAAACTGCTCTGCTGGAGTTGCAACCAGTGCCTGCCATGGACATTCTGTGCACACGTGTGGGGGCTCCATGGCCGGTGGAAGGGTTGTTCGGTGCAGACAGCGACGGGGAACAGGAAACATAGGAAACCGGTAAAACGCAAAAACTTAGCCACACAAAGTTTCAAGAGGTTCGACAGTTCTGGAGATTTGGTATCTGCCGTGGCGGCACGGTTCACATCAGGTGGTCCTGTATTTGTCAGAGATCGAAGAGATGTGGAATTCCACGATGACTTCATCAGACCCACAGGCTTGAGTGGCACACAGGGCCCATTTGTCAAAGAGCATCCATGCCCATAAATGATTCATGGTTTCAAAGATTCTTATGACTTCCAAACCAATGTGGGAAGATCATCCAATTCTGCTGGTTGAATCTTCAGCTGGTTGGTTGGAAAGATCCAAATTGTCCCAGCCTTCTCATGAGAGTTGGACCAACCCACTAGAGGGCAAAGTTTGAGGCAAAGGCTGTACTTGAGTTGCTCATTATGTAGAACAAACGTAGTATGTTATCCCTCTATTCTTTGAACATCTTTAAAATGATATGATTTGCGTGTGAGTTCAATATTTTTCTGGCTTAGACCCAGGAGCGTCAACTTGGCTTTTTCATCGCTGGATGTACTTCAACCTTGCAAACGAGTGGAACACCTTGACCCCACAGGTCCCTGGTTTACAATGGTTCAAAAAGAAAAGTATCGATCCTGGCCCGGACCGTCTTATTTTTCAACCAATCTTTGTCGATCTACACCCATCGGGTCTGCAGGCGTCTCAGGAGTCCGTGATTATGATCCACGCCTGCCGTCGATTGAGATCTGCATGGTACAGGCCAGCGGTAGCTCACTGAAATGTCCAAAATGTCCACCTTGATGTGTCAACTTGACCTCACAAAGTTCATGAACGTTCAATATATTTCACTTCGTCTGAAGACAGCAATGTCAACCCCAGATTAATACACCCCTAGGCTGTTTATTTATGGAACCATCACAATTAATAAACCCCTAGACAGATTTGGGTTTATTAATCTGGGGTTGACATTAACTCAGTAAGTTGAACTTGAAGTTGAGAATGGGCATCACTGAGGTTAAACATCACGAGTTGTCAGCTGGGAATGGTGCCCACTGAAGTGCTGTCTAAGGCAGGGTGATGCGCTTGGCGACACGACACCAAACAACTTGACATCACATAGAGTTTCCTCAAGTTCCCCTGAGCTGGTGGAAGGTGTTGTCTGAATTTCTGGGCAATGATCGAGAAGGCCGGGTTCCCAGACATCAGGGATGATCAATTGTGTTGGTTCTGGTGGTTCAGGTTGAATATGAAATAGACTCTAGTTATCTTTAGATGACTTTGGATTTCAGTTCATTTTTCCAACTTGAGATTTGATTTGTTTACTCAAGTAAGGTCTTGTCTCAGATGATTGGACATGACTTTGTAGGTGTCATGGCCTGCCACAGTGGAGGATCATCTCAGTTGGAAAGTGCATCACAACCATTTTTCCCCACCTGCCAGGTGAGGGTCTCTAGACTTTATCAGAGTTGCTTCCTCCTCCTTCTCCTTCTCCTCCAGCCTCGGATCTCAACTGCGAGCTCCGGATCTCAGTGGGCATTGCCGGACCTCAACAGCGTGCGCCAGATCTCAGCGCTGGCGGACCTCAATGGCGAGCGCCAGATGTCAGATAGAACGCCACAAAGAATGCCAGATAGAATGTCAGAATATATGTCAGATAGAATGCCAATGTCAGAATATGTGTCAGATAGAATATCAGTTGGTGGGGATCACTCGAAGAAAGTAATTTCGTCGGGGGTTATCCCAACGTAGCTGGGATCCCATGCCAGGAGCTGCACGTGATAGCAAAAGTGCTGAAAGGGGTGCGGCTGTGCGGGAGGTGGCAAGGGTCACATGGTTTGATGGTTTGGATGGTTTGGATGGTGGGGGATATCGTTTCAACAGCCATTCAATGGGAAAATTATGGGAAAATGATGATAAACTATGGGATTTGATGTAGGTCTGCTATTTTCAGAGACACCCAAGTGAAGCTATTTTATGATCGCATCCCCTGTTGGGTGATGGGTCATAAATGATCAAAGATCACCAGCTTTTTGGGGGAGGGACGGACCAAAAATCAGGCCCCAATTTATGGCCAATGGGGTACTCGTACCCTTGAGACAAAGCTATCTTGTTCACATCAAAATAGCTCGTATTGCTGGACATTCATCCTCCCAAATGTAGGAACATCAATAGGTCGGTCTCGACATACTCTGAGCAATTTTGACCCATTCCTGTGCATGACTTCACAGGTCGACATCCTGGAATTAGAGGAAGCTACAGACTGGGACTTGGTGACCTCCCGAAAATGGATGATTCCCCTGCAAATTCGAGAGTTGTCAATCTTTGCATCCACAAAAATCTGAAGTTTTGACTAAGCATGGTAATGTACCTATTATATAGACATGTTGATTTTCCATAGGTATGTGATGGTACGTGTATGTTGAATTTATGGCAGGGTAACAAGAGTTCGCTGGTTCGAAGCCCGGTTTGATTGGTCACATTCTTTGTATCCCTCAGCTCCGCCAGGCTGAAAAGGCCTGGCTGTCGTCGGGGATGGCCCCCACGGGTTTGTTTCAAGATGGGGCATAGTGGCATGTCACCAAATAGCAATTTTAACCTGGAAAATAATGATAAACACCAAAATTTCAAAGGGGTTCGAAACATGTCCAACATCTCCACACGCCAGAAATCGTTGGACATCAGGGAAATTACATGAAATCACTTTTGTATGTGAAGCAGGGACTGGGGAGGATTCCATGACTTTGGCGAGATTCTTTGTAGGTCGTTGCACCGGGTCGCAATCCTTTACAGGACCTCTGGGGAAAACACCTCATGAAAGCCCATGAAAGCCCATGAAAGCCCATGAAAGCGGGGTTTTGGAGTCTTGGGCATTTAAAATTGCCTCGATCCACTTAGAAACACAAGCGTTTTTTGAACATTTTTGGTGACCACGGTGACCATGATATCTATGAATTCCGCAGCATGACCCAAGAACTATGGGTCCCAGGAGTTCTGGCAACTGGCGGCCATTGAAAATGAGGGCTTCTGAGGCGGAAACGTTGCTGGGAGGTCATTAAACATCCTGCAACTTTTTCACCGTTTGCCGCCCTGGGAGGTTCGAAGTGAGACACTACCTGTTTGGGATGCGGCTTGCAGAAATGAACCTGGATTCTGATTGGAGTACTTCAACCGAGCATGATGCATGATTCACATGGTTCAAGAAAAAATGTGCTATGACGCTGCATGGCTTGCTCAACTCGATTTCAGCTTCCTGGCTCCACTGTGGCACGCGTGTAAAAGATACATTGAGATTGACCTCGGCTGTGGTGGCCAAGCCGCCATTGACCGCTTTTCAGTTTTTTGGCCTTCGCGGAGCCTACCCCAAGGGAAGGCTTGCTGGCGATAATGCTATTTCCATCTATTTCCTGCCTCTGGAATCCTGGAACACTGGAAAGGATCAAATATCGACTAAATTGCAATGAACACCAGCAGTATGGTAGTAGCAAGAGCAGAGATTGAGGCAACAGTTATCCTTTTATCGTTGATGTCACCGCGCACAGCTTGGCAAAGCCGGTGCAGACAGATGCAGCTTCTGGACAAAAGGGCGCAGCTTCATCCCCAGGATATGGGTCAACATTGGGACACCCAAAATTTGAAGTGATCAGAAGTGATCAGAAGTGATCAGAAGTGATAAGAAGTGATCAGTAGACGTGAATTTCCCGTCTACATCCGATATAGACGACTCGATTTCAAAGAAGACTCGCTGCCGAGTGCAACTGCATTTGGGCTCGGTGGAGCAGGGCATCATCCGGGGAGTTGTGATGAGTTGTGTTGAACATATCACGGAGTTGCACAGGAAGATGGCAAGAAGTCAAGATTTTGCATTTCAGAAAGTGAGCGGAATTTGTCACAGGAACACGCAAAAATAAATGAGATCTATGAGATTTCGATGAGTCTATTTCTAGGTTTTCATTTTTGACGAGCCAGATGATTTCTGTCTATTTCTGTTGGGTTGAACATGCAGAGGAGACTCGCCATGTTTTCATGAGTTTCCATGGCGCATGATGCTGCTCCCAGGCCAGCGATTAGGAGACCGGCCTGTTGCTGTGCCGGGTAGCAATGCTGTTTGGGCGACAGGTGAACATCAAGAAGCAGGGAAGTTGACGAAAAATTGCTGGAAAATGCCAATACTTAAATATGGGAAAATCATCTGACTAATATATATATATATATATGGGAAACATGTGGGGGATTCACCAACTATGAAAGTTGGTATAGAAACAGAACTGCCAACTTCACAACATCTGCAGAATGAACGGCAGGAAGGTCGCGACATGGCTGACATGAAGCTGGTTTCCTTGATGCTGATGTGATGCCATGACAGCAGGGATTTAGCTGTTCTCTGATTTTTGCCTATGATAAAGACACCTGCAAATAAGGAGGCGTCAATCAATAGAGAAATTCTGGCTGATCATGGTTCTTATGGCTCAGCATGGTTCCTATGGTTCCTACATGTTCCTACTACTTGTGTGTTTTACTAACGTCATTTCAGAATTGGATCGCGAGAGTTACGGCTCCACCACCTGGATCCTGGTAGGCGCATTGAAAGTAGCGCCAAAGTAGCTTCACCAGGACTCGAATGGCAGCCTCCAGCATGAAACTCAGGATTGACAGCTGGAATGACCCATGTACAGGGAAGAAAACTACACTGTTGCATTTGCTTGGATTTCCATGGCCGTGCTAGATTTCTTTCAAGCGTGATAGATGAATTGAGGGTAAACCCCATTGGAAGCTGTTCCGTTGAAGATCCTCAGAGACTACCCTTTAGGTCCCCGAAAACGAGCAGCTGGAGGAACCCGAAAGAAGGCCCTTGCAACCAAGGGCAAAGGGCAATGATGGGCAATGGCTAACAGACCTTGGGTTTTTAAAACCATGTGGAGAATGAGGAGAATATGAGACAGAGACATATGGGTTGCGAATGAATCTAAGCCGAAAGGGGGTTCCAGTTTCGGACATTAAAAAAAACAACAAGGTGGCCCCTTGCGTTGTCATCAGCATCCTTTCGAACATTTTCAAACCTTGCAGGTGGCCGCCTTCCTGCGCAGCCTTCGACAAAGTTCGCAGGCAGAGGTCGAGGCTTGGCTCTTGGGTGTTTCTGTGGCTGTGTGATAGGGTTTTCATGGGTTTGGGGTATTTGAGGAGGTTGGTTTTCATTTTGGTGCGTTCGGGTTTCGGTTGGTTTTTGGATGGTGTTTGATTGGGTTTTGGTAGGTTTTCGGTCGGGATGTGGGGGGTATTTGTTAAGGTTTTGGTTGGCTTTTGTGTGTCTTGGTCGGCTTTTGATTGGGTTGTGGTGAGTCTTGTTGCATAGTCTTTGTTGGGGTTTTGGTGGGTTTTTGGTATGGTTTTGGTAGTTTAGTTTTTTGGGTGGGTTTTGGTGGGTGTTTGACATGATTTTTGGTAGGGTTTTGGTGAGTGTTTGGGTGGGTTTTGGTGTGTTTGTGCTACGGTAAGGTTTTGGTGGGATTGATTCTTTTTTTTGTGGGTTTTGGTTGGTTTTTGGCAGGATTTGGATAGATTTGTTGCGTGATTTGTAATGTCTTTGGAGAAAAGGCCATCTGTGGTTGGCGCATGGATTTTGCACATTTGGCTCAGCTGGCGGCACAATTGCTTTGAGTAAGAGCCGTTCATGATGCCACTGTGAATCAAAGTGGCAGAGCGAGTCCGGAAGTGTTCCACACGCAGCTTTGCGAAATTGGACATAGTTGGGTTTGTCCCATGGGCATCTCAAATGATATGAGTTCTTGGATTCTGAAGTACCAGAATTTGGGCAAACCCAGTCGATGTTTGTTTGTAAAAATCACAAAATCAGAATCAACACATGAGGTGAGCACAATTTGCACAATTAAAATAAAACCTTGAAGTCGCATGCCATGCGGCCCCGAGCAAAGCCACCTGAGGCGATGCGGCTTTGTCATGTCGCAGTTTTTGTTTTTTTTTCATGTCTTGGGGACCCAAATTGCTGTTTGATGTTGAAAAAAACAGAAAACATCCGTTATTCCATGTTATTCCATGTTATTCCATGTTATTCCATGTTATTCCATGTTATTCCATGTTATTCCATGTTATTCCATGTTATTCCCCATTTGACTGCGCACCCCCAAAAAGTCCGAATTGGATAGTTTAAAGATGTTCACAAATGTTCACGAGGTGACAGATGCATACAAATGCCACGATGGCCAAGATGGATGCCCACCCAAAAGGAAAGATGTCCATCTCCTTCTGCAGGGTCTATGTTTTTGGATGTTCTTCTTGGACAGGGGCGCCTCGAACAATACCTGGAAACCCACCGACGAACCCAGGGAGATGTTCGTCTGCTGTTGGCACTAGTTTTTCTTTTGTTGGAAGCAAAGGAGAACTGCCAGTGTATCAGGCCTTGTCCCCTGAAAATCTTCCAGAAACACAGACAGTCTGAAGAAATATGTCCGCCGTCAAAGTAACCCTTGTTCTGCGATCCCATCGAACTTGATCAGTCCCTGCAAGATTGGCAATGCGCCCACTTTAGCCTCGGTCTTTGCGCCGCCCAAGCGAAAGGTGCGAGCGTGGAAGAATACCCCAAACTTCTTGTGATTCGTTCACTAAGATCTCTATGGATATCCAAGATGATTAATTAAGATTCTAAGATTTCCAAGATGGTATATGAACGATGTGGTACCATTACTTCCACATGCAATTTGGGAGTGCTAACAAGACAATTCCAGATGAAACCAGCTGCGATCGGAATTTCGGGTTGGCACTGGCTTGGCTCCAAAGGTCCGCGCTGATGGCAATCTAACAATGAGATAGAACGTTTGAAGGTGTATCAATGCGTTCCGAAACATGAATTCTGTTCGAGAACCAGGGGGCCCTGCTAGTTTCACGGTACCATAACGACACGAGTCCTGAGCTTTGAGACACGAGCCACGAGTTGATGGACTGGATCCAGCATAGCCAGGTGGCGCCAGAGGTTAGCAGAGAAGACAAAGTGAGGCGGTCGTCGGAACGGGTCCCGTTCCCTCTGTTCATGTTAAGACTGGGGATGTTTGCTGCGAATTGTGCTCAATCTGTTGGAAGTTCAATCTGTTGAGACAACCTCTTTGATCATGGTCTGTGTTGGCTTGGATGACCATACTGCATTCAAAGTTTTGACTGTGGTGCATGTGGCAGCCAGTCAAAACTGGGTACGCGAGAAACATCTGTAAACTGGAAATGCACACATCCTGACTGCATATAATAATTATGATAGATTATAGACATCCATGTTGTCTTTAGTGTTGTTGGGGCAGATAGATGTACCACACAACATCACACACAACCCTGTTTTAAGAGTTTTATTTAGCTCTTCGGGGATCAGCAAACCACCGTAATCTTTTTTTTTCATCCTATTGTATTTGTGTACATATATATATATAATATACCCAGCGCTGGGTTCAACCCCTTGGGCCCAGGCAAGCTGTGAAGCAGAGTTGCCCAGCAGATGAAGATGCTATCGAGCCTCGGCGCGTTTTCGGTGCAAAAACATTGCTGATAGTGCTGATTTTCTTCCAATATATATATATACATGGATTATATATGGATTATATATATATATGTACATTATATATATATGTGGACAATATATATATATATAATATATATATATATATATTATAGATCATATATGATTATCAGCCATATCAGCAATGTTTGTATATACATATATATATAAATGATACAGATATGGCTAATATAGATTATATATGAATATATATGTATATGTATATATATATATATACACACTACTGTAGATTGTTAATGATTGTTATAAATTCAGTACTTCAGTAAAGATCTGCATTGACCAGTTGTGGCGACCTTCACCTTTTCCCCTTGTGCTCAGGACTACCTGGCCAATATGGCTGTGTCGCTGGTGGAAGATTTCAATGACGCGGAGTCATTGAGACGGGAATTGGAGGTGGCACCGTTACAAGTTGTATGATATTGTATGCATCTTCCGTTCAGATCTCTAACAAACCATTTAGGGATGATTTAAAGCGCCAGCCACATTCTGTTTCGGAAGAATCATCCCGTGTTTTTGCGGTTCTTTTTTTCTTGTTCACCATTGAGGCCGATTGAGGCCTTGGGGGTTTGACGTTTTTGCGATGTGTTGAAGCTTTCTGAAGGAGGGCTTCTTGCCCATGTTGGAAGAGTACGAAGTCTCCACAGAAGACGCCCGAGCCCTCTGTGCCAAAGTGGTCGAGGCCGTACGCCGTGTCCTGTTGGTTTTTGGTTTCGATCCAAGCTCTGAAATCGGGGTGATCATCCGTTCAACCCCAAAATCGATGGACTTTATGGGCATTCAGATGCACTTAATACATCTTAATATATCTTAATACATCTTAATACTAAAAATTGACATCAAATGCATCCAAATGCTATCCTTGAAGATAAATCCTCAGCAAACAAGTGACATTTGGACATGCCCAGGCTGCTGCACCGGTCGGAGCAGATGCTGCGGAGCCGGCAGAGCAGGGCGCCGTGGATGAAGAGTTTTTATGTTATGTGCCGCTCCTTGGACAGCAGAGTCAGCTGGGATGGGATATGATAGTGATATGATGGGATGTTGGCCAAATTTTGGCCAAATGAGTGTTGACTTTGAAAAGGGGGCCTGGCCGATGAGGAATCCGGGTGTAAAAGGTGGGATCTGAGATGTTTCGGAGTTTGATCAGGGAGCCCTCAGATGTGTGCCGGTTTTGTGGCTGAATCCAGCCCAGGAATCTCTTGCTAATGTACGGTGGCAGTCCAGAGCCATTGCTGCGGGGTGCGTGTCTAGAGATCAGGCTAGGGTCAAAGTGGTATTTGTTGAGCCAAGTGTGCAGAGTTTGAGACATGCTATTCATGCAGGACAAAGTGTTTCGAACACAATGTATCTTATCGTTGTTATCTGGCAGTTTCAAGTGCATGTTCATCATAGCATATTGTATCGTATCATTTCATGACCTATCATATAGTGTCATTATAGCGTCACATCATACCATGCCATGTCAGATCATGTCATGTCACATCTTGTCATATCTAATCGTATGATATATATATAATATTGTATTTTGTTACTATATTACATCATACCATGTAGAATGTAGATACATATCCCAATATATCTGGATCTCTGAGATGGTTATTGATCTCCGCCCATTCTGCGGATTGGATGATCGATGATTGCGGTTCGCAACGGCGCAGGCGCGGACACCGCTACGGAGTGATTGGCTCCAATGGTTCTGGAAAGACCACATTGATGGCCAGGTGCGCCAGGTGGAAAACATCAAGACATCACCGGAGAAGATTAGTGTAAAGTTGGTGTAAAGGATGGAATGAAGCGATGCCATGTCAGATATGTCAGATAAAAAGTATAAACATGTCAGATTGCTGGAGGGTATCTTTGCAAAATCCCAAAAAAAAACAAGGACAGATGTTGTTTGTTTTTTCGATCCAATATCAATTTGATGAATGCCAGGGAACAAGAACACCAATAACAATCTTGATATGTTCATTGCTATTAAATTATTAATTCCCATGAAATCCATGAAATCCAGGAAGAAAAAAACTGGCCATTTTCATAACCATTTTCGACGGTGCCATCCAGGATTGCCAGCAAAGATATCTCTGGGTTTCCTGATCTTCGAGTGGTTTTGCTTCGCCATGAGGCCTGGTTTTTATGCATCGCTGCCAGGTTTTGGAATGCTTAAAAATAGAAAGTGTGTCTGAAGTTGAAGACGAGTTGGAACCCAGAGGTTTTTCCATGCTTTAAGGATCTTTAAGGTATTTTATGGTATTTTATGGTATTTTTAAAGGTTTGGAACCATGGAATTGGCTCAGAGGAGCATCTTACACCTTGAAATTTGATCGATTTTCCAACCATCAAAACCTTCCAGCTTCCATGTGAGCCGTTCGTGTCACCCCGACCTTGGGCCAGGCAATTCTGCAGGGCGTGCGACGGTCAACAAAGGTCGGGAGCTGCATTGGATCATAGAGTCATAGAGGACGTGGATGCCCAGAAACAGTGGGTTTACCATGGGTTTACCATGGTTTACCTATTCGAAAGGTATCCCTGAAGTTCAAATGCCTCATCTTACCTAGCGATAGTGACGATAGTGAAAACCCAAGGGTCGAGTCATGGAGATTTTCTGGAGATGGAAAGATTTGGACAGACTACCATCAATTTAAGCACTCTTTGCATCCTTTTTTATCCTTTTTTCTTTTATTATCCTCAGAATGCTCAGGCTCTTTCAGGCAACATCGCGGTTCTGTTCCAATTCCAGGTCCTTATGTTTGCAGTTTTTAAGGGGTAATACATCACCTGAACTGGTGGTTGAAGAGTGGTTAAATCATGTTAAATTGTCTATTTTTGCGGCCCTCACAAGGTAGTCTTGATGATGTTTTTTCACAAAGGGGAAAGATGGGACAAGTATCTACCTCAATCCGCAATCCCTTTTTAGTTCTCTGGGAATTCGGGAAACATCACCAGTCAAGTTTCGAGGTTTGCGACTACGTGTCGCAGCGCAATGTTGGAGAAGATGCGGCTTCAGCAGAGGAAATGGAGAAGGCTTTGCACATCATGGGCTTCGAGACTGAGGAGACGCTGAACAGTTGACCTCTCTTGGTGGTGAAAGTTTTTGGTTCCGGAAACTGCTTTAATGGGGATGATGAACTAGTCCAATATGAATGTGGAAACGACATGAAAAGAGTACTTGTAGATATATCAATCAGCAGAAAGGGGATGACAGCAGGTCAACAGGCACTTCTCAAAGGATGATGGCGCAAGAGGATTGACCCGCAAATTGGATGGTTTTATACTAAAAATCAAATGACGACAACACGTTTAAGCAGGTCAATTTGCATAGCTGGTGAAACTGCTCTGCAAATTTCTATACAATTCTCGTGCTTATGTGTGTATGTATTAACCATTATTAGTAGCATTTTATTAGCCAGTATTAAAACCAATACTAACACCAGGAACATCAGTAACTCTTATTAACCATTACTAAGCAGTAGCCAGTACTATTCCCAACCATTACTGACCTCAGGACCAAATGGGTAAAGCCGTGTTGGAGTTGAGCGGTGGATGGCAGATGCGTTTGGCCTTGGCATGTGCTGTGGCGCGGAAGGCAGATTGATGCGGATTGGATCCATTTCCTCAGAAAATCCACAGGAAACCCATGGGTGTTTTTACCATGAAATATGGGGCTTTCCTGTCATTTTTTCCACGTAAACCACCAAAAATGAAAAAACCAACCATTTCCATCATTTCCTGTTTTCACGTCCTTTTCATCATTTTTGGGTTGGGGGGCAACCGGTTAAGGACGGTAGCAGCTCGCCAGGCGAATCTCCTACTGTTGGACGAGCCAACCAATCATTTGGACGCTGAAGGTGTGCGATGGCTCGTGGACTTCATCAAGTCGATGCTACGATGAGCACGGCGAAAGATGTGGGGATACTGCAGGGCATTAGCTATTAATGTGGTTATATAAACCATGTTAAACCAATATAATCCAATATATAATAAACTACCCATTTGGGAATGGCTTATACCACTTATCTATGGGGATTTGGGGGATGGTTTATTGTTGTTTTAACCACATTACCTGGGGGAATAACCATTAACCAGGAGAAGCCAGCTATTGTCAGATTTTTAAATCACTTAGGGTACCAGGGTTTTGACTCATAGCCATGTCGAAGTTAAGAGACCAATGAGTTTGCAAGTGGCCTAACAGGGCCAGCACTCTCCAGGACTTCTCATCGTTGAGCTTCAACCAAGTTGGTTTTTCATTGCGTCCAGCTTCACAGTTTCGCTTCCATAATTTCGTTCCCATATTCAATACTATTGTATATACACATACATATACATATAGCAATCCCCAAAAAGATAGAACCATGTTTCCGGGATGGTATACATGGTTACATGGTATTTACCTCTTATTTCCAGATGTACAACTTTTCTATCTTTTTGGGGTTGCTTTATCCACACATGATATATTGTACAGTCATGTTTCTCCAAGTAAGTACACTGCAAGCAGAACCACACAGAATCCAGATTCAATCCGTATTTTTAGAGGTATGCAGAGTTAGGCCAGCAGCCTTGAACAAATCGACAGCTTTTGAAGTCATTCAAATACAAGCCAATTTTGATGCCACAAGGACTTGCGGCGATGGTCAGGGAGCGGCAATGATTGTTTCGCATGACCCGGACTTTCTGGATCTCGTTTGTACAGAGACTCGGCAAAGTGTTCATAGCAACATGGTGGACCAACAACTGTTGATCAGCTTTTGATGACTCACTGCTTTCGATGTTTTGCCGACGTTCCCTTTTTGGAGGCGGTCCAGCCTGTTCTGTTCATATATGTCATCATATGTCATCAATGTTCTGCCTCCAGCATGGGTATAGTATGACGTAGACTCATCATTTGTTACCCAGCAGCTCGTTTTTGAAGATCCAATTTCCATGTCGAGGACGTGGTCCATTTCTCGCCCAGTTCTCAAAAAGGCCAGGGCTTCTGCTGCATTCAGCGTGATAGCTCAGCTTTTCACTGATAGCTCAACTTTTCACTGAGATGAACAAACAAACTCATTTCTCAGTCATGTCTTCACTGGATGTTTTTTTCTTCACCCGTTATCATAGTTATTCATAGTTATATAATATAATATAATATAATATAGTATAATATAATATAATATCATATAATATAATGTTATTATATAATATAACTATAGTATATAAGTTTCTTCAATTTTTCCAATTTCTCACCCGTTTTTTTTTGGTCAGAAACGAAAAAAGTCCTTCACCTTCTCCGGGCGAACATGGCGATCTGCGAGGGAAGCTGGCCTACTACCCGGGCATCTTCTCGGCCTTCAAGGCCAACCAGCTGAAAGGCGATGAGGCCGAGGCCAGCCGACGTGACGACGCTGACGAAAATGATAGATGTTTGATCTCTTATGATATATGCATTGATAATATATATATATATAATATTATATATATAGTTATATATTATATAATTATATATACATATATATATACATATATACATATATATATATATATGATATGCATATCATATATGTATCTTATGTATGATGAAATGAAAATACGAAATCTGCACCCCGTTCTTGCGCCACCATTGGACCGGACAGAAGGAGCTGCGTCCCATGGGGATCCCATGCAAATCCCATGGGGATCCCATTAGGCCAAGCGGCTCCTAGAAACCGAGAAGGAGCCCAGTGTGGCAACTCAGAGACCGAATCATTGGGACCGGACCACCGGACCGGTTCAACTGGAAGGAATCAGTTACCACATGGCCACAGGGCGTGGCGAATTTTGTTGGAGCCGAATCCACCAAAAGTGTGAAGAAAGGCTACTGTACACATCTGTACACTGTCTGCACACTTTGTGAAACTTTGACACTGTGCATTTTTTTCTCACCTGTGATCACCCCTTGCTGTGGAGTGTGTCAGGCTTGGGCTTGGGACCGGACGACGGAAATCGCATGGCCTTTCCCATTCCGGAGACTGGGAGAGAGATGGAGAGACGGCTGGATGGTGGCTGGATGATGGCCCATGCACCACTTGAAGTGCTAACTCCCAATAGCCAGATCACATAGCACAATCATTCAGCCAGGACTTCAATTCTCCGTTTCCTTGTCAAATGGCTAGGTCGTTGTTTGTTGGGCGAGAAACTTGACAATTACTATGCGAGCCCACTTACGTATTCCAGGAGAAGATCGGAGACACCACCGCCGAGCGGAAGGTGAAGCGGATTTGGATTCAAAAGGGTTTAGAGATGTTTAGAGGATCAATAGTGATGGTACGCACACCGCAAAAAGATCCGGATCAATAATCAGAAGATGTTTTTTTTTTTTTAATCAATATTTCGAAACCTTTGAGATATGAATCATGAATGAAACCGAATGAAGCCAGAAATTTCCGGGGCCAATCATGTTGAGCACAGCATGGCTTTCCAGTGAGGCCGCGGTGGTGACTTTGGAGAAAGCAGCTTTCCAGTACAAAGGTGGGCCATCGAGATGATCGACCCGTTTTTTTCGGAACAAAAATCACAGAGCACAGCAACACCGCAAAATATTGGAAAATCATGTAGCTACATTGGTATATGATGGTATATGATGGTATATGATGGTATATGATGGTATATGATGGTATATGATGGTATATGTAGCTATCATGACCTGTGATTACCTTTTTTCAAAGATGCTAAAAAAAATCGAAGATGCTGGTGACAGGGCCAACTCCTGGCGGTTCCACTGCCCCAGGCGCAGCAGAGCCAGTTTTCCAAGACATTTCTGTGGAGCTCAGCATGTCAAGCAGAGTGACTTGGCTCGGCAGTGTTTCGCAGCCAAAATCATGGCCCAGAGGAGGTGGATTATTGACCTCTGGCAATGGATGGTTTATAATGGACAATCCGATTAAAATTGATGATCTAGGTGTACCCGCATTTATGGAAACCCCATATATATATATATATATACACTGTATATACATTGTATATATATATATATATATGGAGATATGATGAAATATGATAATTATGCTCGTTTTCATTCGTTTTCTTCACCAGTGGAAGGTTGTAGTTTTTGGGACTACCATGAGGGTAGTTGCTTCAGAAGACGAACCGCAATAAGCAATGGTTAGTATGTCCCCAACTATGGTTATCATGGGTTATCCCGGTTATCCCATTTAATTCCCATCTCTAACTATCCCAGATGCTCCATGTATGGAATATTTACCTACATTTGGACAATTTTTTGGGCACATGTAGGTAAATATTCCATACATGGAGCATTTGGGTATGGTAGAAAACCAACATTCCAAGCTATGGCTGAGGTCGGCATCGTTGGGAAGAACGGCTCAGGCAAGTCCACTTTGCTGTCGATGCTGGCGGGACGCAAGCAGCCCAGCACGTTGGCCGGCAAGACCGGCAGGACGGGACAGGGGGTGAAGCTTGGGGATCAAACATTCATGAAGATAAATGAGCATAAATGAACATGAACATGAACATGAAAATGAAGATAAGTGCTTGGATTTTCTCAAATGAACATAAATGAACAATGAACATTTTTCTGAACTACAATTCATCATAATATGGTTTTTCTTGACTTTTTGGAGGTACCCACGTTAAAGACAAATCGCTGTACCATTTTCTACACGTTGAGACATCGTGAAAGTGAGCGATCCTTGACAGGCTTTGGTGGCACAAGGATTTGCGCTTGGCTTACATTGCCCAGCATGCTTTGGTGCACCTGGGGACACTTGACAAAATTTGGATTAATGTGGAGCCTAAGGGAAGCTCACCCATGACGCGGGAATGGTGGATCAATAGCTCTCACTGCTTCCAATGTTCCAATGGCCCACTGGCACGGTGCAGCTAAGAATGGTGGATCGACAAAATCAAACTAACTACTGTATAGGGCTCTGATTGCATGGCTCATCCAGCTGACAAAAGTAATTCTGCAATGTGTTGATTTACCAAAACTGATTCTGGCTCCTTAGTCTTCCAGCAAGTTCCAGTCATTTCCCAGGCTTTTCAGTTGCCTTTTCCGACTTTCAACGTAGCGTATGAAGGGCTAAGGGTCAACTCCAGTATCACCCAGGAACTATGTGGACAAGACGCCCTTGGAATATATGCAAATCCGCTTTCGCCGCGGCTTCGACGAAGAAACTCCAATTGCAGCTAAGCTCCAATGGTTTCAGGGTTCCAATGTGTCTTAAAGAATTTGGTTGTCATATCATATCTCCATGTTTGGCTTATGGCGCGAGAACAACCTTTTTGGCCTGCCTAGCATCTTCACACGGATCTTCCTTTCTGTTTGCAGACGACTGTTGCCTACTTGTCTCCCACATCTTCTTAAGAATTGGCAACAGGTGCAGCTTGTGCCCCAAAAAGTTCTTCAAATTCTGCTCATTGAATGCAGGATATGCAGGTGTAGTTGTATTTTTTACATGTATATGTATATATATATACACACACTCTTACAACAGACTTTATTATTGATCTTTATTTATTGCTGCTGTATGGGATTTTCAAGTCACCGAAACTTGCTGCTTCGGGTGTGCATTGCTCTTCTCACCGAGGTGCGTGGCGAGAAGCTTCTGTCTGCCAAGGAGAGTCCCAACGATCGTCATGCCACGAAGGGTCATATGTTAGTGGATCTAAAGCTATTCAAAACATTTCAAAACTATCATTAGGGTGTTTAATGGTCATGTTCACTCTTATGCATCCACATTTTTTTGATTTTTTTAACCAGTTGAACCAGTTTGAAGTCAGGAGGAGGAGGAGATGCAAAAGGTGGGTATTCGCCATGGAAAGCGTGGCAAGGCCGTTGAAACCTTGATCAATCGTGCCCCATCTGCTGGGTTGGTGACTGGAGGAAGACCGTTTGGAGGTGGACGGTTGGACGGTTGGACCCTGTGAGAATTCACCCTGCCGAGGTATCGAGATCACCGCACCTTGTCTGCACATTGCAATTTTTACCAGCTTAAGATTCAACTGGCTACAGAATTACCATTGCGTACTTTCTCATTGGATCATTTTTCCAAGCATGTCTGAAGCTCACCCCAAAGCATTCCAAACGGGTTGAAATGAAGTGTGAAATCCAGACAAAATCCAGACAAAATCAGTGGCTGAGTCTTTTTGCTCCCTCAATTGCAGACATACCAACTTTGCAAGGACAAGACTGAAAAGACAAAGGAAAAGGATCGCGAGTTTCTCTACGAAGTGAAGTGGAAGGATCTCAGTCCAGCGGAAAACACCTTCGAGTCCGTTAGCAGGTGCCCGTTGTTGATCGTGCAGCCCATGTAACGCCAAAAAAATCCGTGGCTGTTTTTCATGGGTGTTTCCTGAAATAAGGCTAACACCAAATCATCCCAGTAGACCAGTTCAATATTATAGAACATTATAGACACTATGTCAATATGTATGATTGATATATAATCATATATTATATATAAACACATGTATATATATATATATCAATGTATATTGTAGATGTAGCATATTTTCGGTATTGCCATGATAGGGATGCTTCTGCCAGGCTTAAGCAGCTGAAGGCCTTGAAGTTGGTGGAGGATCTGAACGCCCGGATCTGGGCGGCCTGGGCTGGTTGTCCTCAACGACCTCTGACGCAGCCCAGCTGCAGCCATGGATTGGGCTGGTGATGAATGTTTTGAGCGGAAAAAAACCATGGGGGATATTCAAAAATATCAACCGTGTTGGTTTTTTTTGACTGTGGCCGGGATTTGTGACCGTCAAAGTTGTGGGGAATTTTAGCGATGGAGGCATTGGCTGGGATATGATGTGACGCACACAACACACACACATATATATATATATACATATACATATATGTATATATATATGTATATATATATATGTATACATATATATATACACATATATATATACATATATATATATGTATACATATATATATATACATATATATATACATATATATATACACACATATATATATATATACATATATATACATATATATATACATATATATATACATATATATATATACATATATATATATACACATAGATATACATACACATGCATATCAGATGCTTGGATTAATATCGTTATTAATTGAGGTGGTGGACCCCTGACCCTGGGCCGGATCAACCATGGGATGGGATGGGCTCCCCGAAGTTTCAGAAAAGTGAGGTGTCAATGGTTCCAAGTCACACCTTCGAAGAGGGAAGTTTGCGATCCATCGTGCAGTTCTTCCACCTTAAAACCATATCAGTCATCATATAAATTATTATGAATTCACATATCAATTATATCAGTTATATCAGTCATCATTTTTCAATTCATAGATTTTCAATATTTTTCAATTGAAGAGTCAGTTATATCAGTCATCATAATTGCAATGATTTTTCCATGATTTTTCCATGATTTCCACAGCATCAACATCGATATTGACATCCAGAAATCATGGATCGATCCGAGGGATCGCGAAGTGCTGCAGCACATGGAACCCTTTGGCCTTGATGAGGAGATACCGGTGGCCTTCGGTGATCGACAGAAATGATGTATGAACATAGTATGAACATGGATATATATATATATATAGTATATATATATAGTATATGATGTATGATATAGTATGTAGTACTTAATATATCATAATATAGTATGATGATAGTATGATCTTGCTTTAACATATGATAGCAATGTAGTCTAATTCTTCTAATTACTTGCCATTTTGATCAGAGAATTATTGTATATTTGGTATTGCTATTTCATACGTACTCTATCTTACAGTGATCGTAAGAATGTAATTTTAATAGACTATTAGTGTGACATTTTTTTTCAACAATATGTACTGATTAGTCTCTATAGAGTAGTATTTGTATTATATAATATTACCAGCAACAATAGAGTTGATATTATTTGCTAGAATGATATTACTAGTAAGACTAGTAGACATGTAATGTCAATATAAACAGTAGTAGTAAAAACACGTGCAGTAATGATGAGCATCATCACTATCATCGCGATTTTGGTTTAATCATCATCATGGTCATAATAAGATGAAACGTATATACAGTACAAATTACAAGCTTAATAATAAAGATGATAACAATAAGAAACATCATCAGGAGGAGGTGATGTGGTAAACCTCATGCCATAAAGCTACAATTTGAGTGGGTTTATACAATCCATGCCTGGAAAAAGTGAGGCTAGTTTATTATTGGATAGTTTATTCCATGTTGATTCGGTGATAGTCATGATAGCAATTGTCGTTGTTTCTTGGCTGCCCTGTGAAGACGGTTTTTTTGTTGATCCTGGATTGCCTCAACCGTTTTTCCATGCCCCTAAGGCGTGAAGACTCAGGGAACCAAATGCTTTCCCGAACCGTTTGCTCCATGTTTTCTTTTTTCACTATCAACCATCAGACTTTCATCAATTTTGGTGTAGCTACAGTGTTTGAGCAGCCATTTTGGGATGACTATGACTGATCCACGAAAATTCCGTGTGGCGCCGTATCACTCGATCGGAGCCATGTTGGAGCCGTGCCAGGATGTGCTGTGCCACCGGAGAATCTCAATGCTTTCCTCAGGGCAGAAATGCAAACTTGCATTGGGCGCTGCATTTTGGACCAGGCCGCGATCAATTCCATGATGACTTACATCTTGATCTGGAAAAAAACCCTCGAACGTGGCCAGAAGACCCCCAGATATCAAGAAATGTCGAAGAGATATATAGTTTTTTTGAACAGATCCTGTGGAAGCCTTGGATTTTACAGGATTTTTATGTGGAGCTGGGACGATGTCAGGCATTAATCCGTGTAACGTTAACGTGTGGCCCAATGCTGGCCAGGCCGCATGTGATTTGCTTGGACGAGCCAACGAACTACTTAGGCACGAGATGGCACGAGCAATTGATTTCCATCCATTGGTTAAACATGGCTAAACCTTAGTTGGTTTCTGTTTAAAGTGATTTCCATTTCCAGTTTCCCTTAGAGGAACCCAATTTTCTCGTGATTTTTTATATGAGAGGTAGTGAAAACTGGTGATTTTTATTGATTTTTACTGGTGAAAACTGGGCCATTGCCAGACACTGACACCGTGGAGCTGCTGAAACGTGCCATGCGTGCCTTCCGTGGCGGCTTTGCAGTGGTGTCCCACAGCGAGAAGCTGATTGAAGAGGCAGCGAAATTGGCTCTGTCCGAGTTATTTTTGGACAGAATTTATGGCTATTTGATATCATTTATTGGGGATTTGGGGTTTTATTATTATTTTCTTTTTTAACAAAATATATTTTTAATTCTTTTTATATATACGTAGGTTTCTATGCATATAGATATCATTAAATGACATTTGACGGGGACAATGAGTATCAACCAGTGGATTTTGGGCACCCATTTTCTGACACATGCCTGGAATTCACCCTAAAAACTATGGGAGCGTCCCAAAACCAGTCCCCCATACTCGTACAAATCTCATCAAAATTTCCTGTTTCCCTTCAATGTTTGGGAGTTTGGCATTTCCACTTCCACTGCTATGGACACTTGCTCATGTGTTTCGTGTTTTGCTTTGCATTGCGTTGAATTCGATTTTGTCATGCGACACCAAACTTGTCTCTGTCCCGTTGAAAGAAGAGCGAAGGTTCGTGCTTCAAGATAACTTGCTATTTCTTCCTTATTTTTCTTATTTTTGCGATCCCGTGGCATTTCATAATTTCAGATGGGTTCCAACTTTCAGGTCTGCGACGAAGTGTGGACAATGGAAGATGGTATCAGTCTCAGCTTGGACAGTTTATTTTGGTTTAAACATGTGGATATTGTATATATATATGTAATTATATGTATATGTATATATATATATACATACATATCAATACACACATATATATATATACATACGTATATATTTATACACATACACATATCAATACATATACACATATCAATACATATATACATATATATATATACATATCAATACATATATATATATATGTATGCACACATAGATGGACGTACACATGTATCCCATGTACGTACACTCTTTGCGGTCTGCATCGCTAAGCGGTGGAGCTTGGCGACTTGGGAATAGGATTCATCAATCTATATCTATATATCCTGTAATAATATCTAGTATAAATATGTATAGATTATAGATCTATACTGTCTATACTAGATGATCTATAAGTCTTTATGTAGTAAGTCAAGCAGATAGACAGATGGAGCCTCGGCATGTACACCGCGGGGCACAGAGTCGACGCGTCGGCGCATGCGTTCATATTTAAGGAGCGGAATACTTAACAACATGAATAGGTTATACGCCTTTAAACTATTACTCTCTGTACACACACACAGACAGATATATATAATAATGATATATATATATATATGTATACATACATACACAATATATATATAAGATTATACCATTATATATTATACTATGTTACACTATACTATTATCATTATATATTATACTATATGATACTATAATATACTATATTATATTATATATACTAGCCATATATCCTATGAATATCTGCTTGTCTCCATGGAAACCAAAGAAACCAAGGCTGTGTGACCGCGGAGCGCAGGGCCCGTCGCAAGTGACGCGCCGCAACGCCGCAACGCCGCGGCTGTGCGCTGCGGTGACGCCGTGATGCGGTGACGGTCCAAAAAAAAGAGCAGAGCTATGGGCTCCACCAGGAAGATGAGGACGGATAGATTAAGGTAGAGAGAATGATGAATTTGCAGAGACACGTTCGTATACATCCTAGTAAATGGGCTTTCTGAACATGGGGGTACCCAAACATGGATGGTTTATAATACAAAATCCTAGTAACATGGGATGATTTGGGGGTACCCCCCGTTTTAGGAAGCCTCCATTTCAAATCATTTCACACTATGGGTAAGCAGTTGACAGCAAGTGTCAGTACTTAGTAGAAAGGCGTGCGCAAAAAAATCATTGGGAAGAATGTGCCCCAGTCCTTCTTGTGTGTGTGTGTTTTTTTAAAGGCGGATCGATTTTTGTTGTTCTTTTGAATCTCAGAAGGCTCAAAAAACAACAAAAACCGACCGGCCAAATCAAAAAAAATAATAGTACAAGTTGTTGCCCAGCTGCTACTCGGGGACCTGGAAGTCAAAAGTCACAAAATCTTTCCAAGAGAGCTTCAAACACGTGCTCTGTACTGTACGGGTCTGTCTCAAAATGTGGGACACCCCAAATACTAGGGTCCCTCCTTCCAAGATATGCGACCAGAGGATAGCTTTTGTGAGGCCCCCAACGTTGGGAATTTGCCATATGGCTAAATGATGCTAAATGATGTTTGTTATGATACATACAAATTCAGTTCTAGTTGGTGATTTCTCCTTTGAAGTGTGTATCATATCGTATCATATCATATCATGTCATATCATATCATATCATATCATATTAAACGTCGATTCTGTTTATGCATACAACAATATTCCTACCATGTGTCACTGCGATCTCACGCAGGTGTTGAGCGCAGCAGGGGGATTGCTCCTTTTGGCGGCCAAGATGAAACCCAAGGATTTTGCGCTTCTCACGGGTTGCACCTTGGGTTGCCCGGCTGCCCGGCTGCCACTTTCAGAACCACGTTTTTTGGGCAAAGTTCAGGAGCCACTGGGCCCGTTTGCAGGACCATTCGCAAAGCATCGTGGCCTTGGGCAATCGACAGCTCTGGGAGGAGGCTCCCTTGGGACGTGTGTAGGCTGTGCCATGCTGTGCTAACGCTGTGCCATGCTGTGCCATGCTGTGCGATGGCCAGGGCAGGTGAGGCTGATCTCTTGTTGGTTTGATGCTGCAGGCCTTGCAGCTCTTGGTAAAGGGTAGCGACCTAGATGTGTACTGGCCTTGGTCCGCTGTCGAAATCTGTGAAGTCTGTGAAGTTGAAATCTTGGGCCAAACATGAAGCCCTGATGGTGAACTGTCAGCGAATTCAATCTACTGCAGTTCACATGTTGCTTTGTGTTCGAGTTTGACTTTTGCCAGGGTTCCTGATAGCCGATGGCCCAGGATCTCCTGTAACGCAGGCATCAGTGCTTGCGTCAAAGTTCAGCAGTGGGATCAGGCAGTGGGGCTGATTTGGGTCGCCATGACTGGCTGAAAAGATGTTGCGATATAAGTCCGGTAACGAATAAAATGGCTCACAAGTGCAATCACAACTTTCTTTTTTTGCGTGTGTGTGTGTGCTTGGATGTGGCTCAGAGAAGTTGCTGATGTCATGCTGAAACACATGAACAAAAACAGAAAGCTGTGGGGATGATGAACTTGGCAGCTTTCATCCAGCATATCGTTGCCCTGCAGCTGGAACTGATGGGATTCAAACCAGGAAAATTATAGGAATGACATGCGATTGACACACATGGGGATCCCCAGTCGTCACCATGAGTTTCAATACAAAGTCATGGTGTAATGACTTGGATTTGGGTCCCCATTTTAGGAAATCTCGATATGTCTTGTATCTATTCATTGTATCTATTCATTGTATCTATTCATTGTAGCACGAGGATCAAGCTCACACCTGGCAACATGGGATCTATAGCCTGCCTTTCCCACGGTCGCAAGCGAGTCAGCGGGGCCGAGTTGCTGCTGCCATGGCCATGGGAGATGACTGTGCCTGAAGGCGGTGCCGAGATCGCCCCATGGGGTTCCCGACAATTCTAGGCCAAGACTCAGACATGTTTGAATATGTGCATGTGTGTATGCATGTGTATGTGTATATAGTGTGTATATATATATATATGCATGTATGCAGACACACATATTATACACATATACATATATACATATTGGTATAATTATACATATGTAATATGAGTGTCTGCGTTGTCCACCTATATGCATACGTATATCTATATACGTATTATATCTGTGCGTATATGCGTATAGTTATAGATCCCCATTGCCCATCCACATGACTAACTTCAATGTCAATTTACCTTGATCCAACTTTGTGCAGTTGGGACATCTAGCAACCACTGTGAGCTGTTCAGAAGTAGAGTTGTATCTCTCTTATGCAGATTTGCAGGGCCCAAATATTGGGATTGCCCAATTAAATATTGGGATTGTCTCCTGATTAGGGTTGTTTATATCGTCACTAATGTGGCATCATAAACCACCCCCAGATCACCATTTTTATAGGTGGTATAAACATGTATAAACCATTCCCAAATGGGTGGTTTATGATTGCTTTAACCACATTAGTGACGCGTTAGAGGGACCAAGTTCCCTTGGATCCAGGCCCCAAAGAAGTTGCTTGGCTGCATCGGGGTGGATGCGATTGTGCATATTTGCGGGTACGGAAACATATATATAGGAGAAACAAGGAAAGATGCAGCAAGATGCAAGTTGCAAGACTTTTTTGGATCTTTTGGGTTTCTTGTTTTTGGAGGATGTTGACAACGGTTGATGTTTCGATCATGTTGGAACATGCTTTGTGGCCGATTTTTTGACTCCGCAGATGTGTTGGCTTCCCGCCAAGGCTGGTGTGTCCAATGGGACACAGAACCGCGTCTCCAAATTTTGGACTTTTCGAACGGTGCCTTGGCTGTTGACCGAAACCTGCTGCAGGATGGGGCAGGGCAGGGTGCTGTCCCAAGGTTGGCCAATTGCTGGGTCGCTCATGGGAAACCATAGCTACTTGGCTGATGGTGTGAAGATCCTCAGCTCACCCAAATGGGGGGATTTTCCTTGGACTTTCGAGGTGCGGTCATGGTTTGGGATAAGATCAAAAGGATTGAAAGTGATTGAACCCTAAAACGGCTGGTTTAAGACTAGACTAAGACCCATCAATTTCATGGGTCCGTTTCTCCTGCACTTGTGAACCATATCCATTCCACATCCATTCCTTCCAGCAGTGTCGGTCATGCGGCGAAGCCGTTTTCACCTCAGGAGAAACTCCATATGCCAAGCGTGATTTCCGAAGAGCCCAAGGATGTGGATCTCAACGTGGCAGCCGAAGGCCCTGCGGGAGTTGTTTCGAGGTTCCTTCAAGTAGTTTCCAACATCCGCAGATGGGAAATGGTATCGAACCCTGGCCAACCTCAGCATAACTGAGGGTAAGGGGAACTAAACATAGCTCGAATGGCTTGTTTCAGATGGTGACTTATGGATCTTATGAGTGTAATATTTATACGCCAGGGTCAAAACTTGAAACCTTGAGATACCTTGAGATACCTTGAGACACCTTGAGATACCTTGAGATACCTTGAGATACCTTGAGATACGGTGAGGATACGGTGAGATACTGTGAGATACCTTGAGCACTGAATGAGAACTGTGGCTGAGAGCCACAGCTTGCATCAAACCCAATTTTCGGTTGCCGAGCCGAGGTGATTCCGAGCAGACGGCCGCGCTTGTGGATGGGCCAAATAGCTCTCCAGTGACTCGTTGTATTCTTCCACTCTGAAAGCTACTATTCTTTTTGGTAAGAAATGTGTTGGCATATGTTGGTATATAGTGTTGATCATACAACTCAACCTCCTGATTATGCTACTGACATGTTGCATCTTCACATTCTGCGAAAATTGCTAGTGAGTTTTTCAAGATCGCCAAGGGTCCCTTCAAGGGTGGCCTCACAGGTGTATGGCATCATGCCAAGGTCAAAGCTGGTACGTGTCCCAATGTTGGGCGTGACATATTAGACGGTAAGTAGTTTTTTTCCCCCAAAGTCTTTATTCGATTTAACAATTAGGGTATTCAAATTATTTTTAGATACCAATATTATTATTATTATTGTTGGAAGGTACCTAATTAGGGTATTTAACCTTCCAACATGTCACATTTTTTGATCAACAATGCCCAGTACGCTTGGGCACCCATGACATCCATGACGGGTGTTGCAGGTGAGCCTGATTGCACCACATTTAGCCTGGCGGCGACAAGCTTTGTTGCTGCAGGAAGGTGCAGCAGCTGCCAACGATGGGCTAAAAAAACACATGTATACACATGTCAAAAGCTAAAAAATAGAAACTGTAGCTTAAATCCCAATCAATCCCAATCAATCCCAATTACAGTAACCATATGTAACCACCACATCATCATGACTTTTGAGGTCTTCATGTGGCTGCGGTTCACATCGCCTCATTGCTGGGATGCGAAGAAGGTGGTGACTTGGAGGAAATCATGGACATATCCACAAGGCTGGTAAAAGGATTGGAAAAAGCTGGGAATTCTTCTGGGAATTCGCATAGTTTGACCATGTCTCACCTGAAAAAATCTAAACACATCATAAGATTTCATAAGATTTCCATGTTGCAACCAAGACACATTGGATGAACCCAGTTCCGTCCGACCGCGTTTTTGGATCCTCCGAGGTTGGGAGAACTTCGACTTCGAAGCTCTGGAGGACTGGACGGGATGGGTCAAAAAACTCCCCATATCCCATGGAATCCCATAAAAAAAGGTGCAGTATGGTACAGTAAACGATCTGGTTGTATATGAACCATGATAAATTAAGTATAATTAAGTGATAAACTTGACATAACTTGACTATGGAAAAAATACCCTCCGGAGTCATCAAAGATGGCAATGATATGCAAGGATGAAAATCCCATGTTTAGTTCGATGATCTTCCCAGCGAACGAAACCTCCATTTAGGTTGGGGGATTTCCCAGCTATGTTTAGCAGAGGGTATTTTCATAGCCAGCCTTGGAGAGGAGCAAGTGCAGTTCACCCTTCACGGACTTTTGCAAGGGCTGGAGGTCCGTTTTTTGTCCATCGCTCATGGCCCATCCCATGGCATGCCATAGCCGTGTCCAGCTGCTGCACTTGTGACTTTTTCGTAGGAAAACACATGAAATGCTGCGAGCCATGGCTGCAGGCCTGCAATTTGAGGCTGGAGAGACTGTATGTGGACTTCGATTGCTTGGATGACGGTGCTGCCGAAGGTCCGAAACTGGAGGGCAAGCCTTGCCAAAAGGATGATCGTTCCAATGTAGGATTTCTAGGATCGTTTGGGCAAATTCATATGAAATTCTTCACCGAGATTCGAAAGCCGTAGAAAAATGTGTCTTGCTGCTGAATCTGCTCAAAGAAGGACAGTAGAGGTGAGAGTCATTGTGGGTAGGAAATACATGGAAATACTCTATACCGGTCTGCAGGGATGGAACAATGCTCCCGCCTCGAAGAGAATTGATATCAAAAATGGTTGATGCTGCTGGATGTGCTGCTGACCTGAATCTTCATTTCAAATTTCACAAAAAACATCAGCTATGAAAGACCCTGAAATCAACTCCAAACCCTATGGATTTTTGCTTTGGTTGTGTGATGTCCTTTTGATTCAGGCCTCTTTGGTTCCGAGGGAATGTTAAAGGAAGAGCTTCAGGAGATCCAGGTGCACCTCACACTGTGACTGTCATGGACCCCCCAAAGAGGTGGCGAAACAACTTCGGAGTCTTTGGCTTGCGTATAAGTCAGATTATGTGAGACTTTTACATCTTTTACCCTGGTTTTTGGTGGGGGTTTTGTCAATTTTGTGCTTTGACGATCCAACTTGAAGCAGAGCTTTACGGAAAGCATTGTGGTTTTCCGGGTTCCATTCACTACTTGTGGGTGCAGTTCCACTGATGAGTGGGGGCCCCAACTTACCCAACTTATGGAGGTGACCAAATATGACTTGGTGGTTCATCCCACTTATTATAACATATTATAAGCCTGGTTATAAATGGGCTAAGTAGGGTTAGTCCACTCCAAACAGGGTTATCACATGTTACTGGTATCACCATTATCACCTAGCAACTGGGATGAAACACCAACCATTCACTACAAATCCATCGCAGTCCAGGAGGTGCAAGGTGACTGTGCCGCACTGCAGAAGCGCAGCAATGGCTGGCTGCGGTGTTCTGATCGTGCCAGGGCCTGGGAGATCAAGGAGACTTTGGGGTAGCTGCCGATGACCAGGTCGTTGGTCGTTTTTGCTAAGAGCATCACTTTGGGAATGGTTTATGAATTGTTTATGAATGGTTTATGTTCATACCATCCCAAAATTTCAAGCTATTTATGGGTTTCATGGTGATTTTATGGTGGTTTGGGGGATGCCCTGAGGCCACGGGTCATGTCATGGGCCTTGAAGCGTTGGCGGATTTCCTAGAGGAGGCCCATATTTCGCGCGGGAAACTGCCCCAGATGGGCGGTTTTCGTAAGTAAGGGTTACCCCAAAACTGGATGGCTTATAAGGGAAAATCCTACTAAAATGGATGATATGGGAGTACATCTCAGGAACCCCCCATATATTTACCATATTTGATCATATTTGGTTCGATGGATTTTCCCAGCTGGAAAGAATGATTTTGGGCATTTCCAGGCACGTGACTTCTGATTCGTTCGTGGTTTCTATCTGGGGATTGATCAATGGATCAAAACCTCCAAGACATTCGACCGGTTTCACCAGATAAACGATGATTTTTTTTATGTAGAAAAGCGATGATTTCCCGGAAAATGATCTGAGTTTTCCACATCTGCCGGTCCACAAAAGGGATGATCCCAGTGAAAAAATGAAGCAGCTGTTGGGCCAAGTTCATTCACAACATATTTGAGTTGGACAGCAAAGTGCTGTTTGTACTCATCATTGGTCATACATTTACAAGATGATCAATTCCAATCGCAAAGTTGTATATATACATATGATTACATATGTTACATATACGTATGTGTATTCATATTTGTATCATCTTCATATTTCTGGATGGTGACAATCCCTTTTCTTCTAGTTGGCATCTTTAGATTTACTAGCTAAATCGGTCTAGTCTTTCTATTGGATGATCAGTTGAATCCCTACCTTTCCGCTGGGAAAAAAAAGCGTCTGAAATCATACAACAAATCACCTCTGCTGTTGAATTCCGTTTTTGATCCCAATTTCTGCTGGAAAAACAAGCTGGCTAATAGATCATTCGAAATCCGCACTTCTGAATATTCTTACGGTTCAATCATTCAATCCCAAAAGAATCCCTGCATTTCTGGTACCCACTGGTAATCAAACATGGCAACGGACAATCGCCCATTTAGTTCGATGATTTTCCCAGCCATTCTCCATGTCGTTCGGGGATTTCCCTTCATATTTCCCAGCGCAAGCCACCTTTTTTTACAGCACGCGTCGGATATCTCCCAATCTGAATGCCCAGTGAGTATCTGCAGTATCTCAGTTTTTATATGGTTGCATATTGTTATCCCATGATATTCCCATGATATTCCCACACCGTACTGATCAATATTCCCCACTGATCAACTCCAGGCCGTCCCAGAGATGGATCGCTTGGTCTCCTGTTGTGGCGACTTCGCGGCCCGGCGCCGCGCTGCAGTGGCGCGGGCCAAGGTGCACACAATGGCACAGCAGATTATGTAGGGATAGAATTTTAGTCGGATTTACTTGTCATATCTTGCAAGGTTTTGGGTGATTCTACTTTGATTTTTCTTTGATTTGACTTTTTGCTGGGAGATAGATAGCCCATATCTTAGAACTTTAGCATCGGATTTGATGGGGTAACGTGGAAAAAATGACTAGGGATATCAGATCAGACATTTTATGGCATGGGATTGAGCCGTTCACAATCAGCGTATTTTACTGGGATGTAATGGGTAAAAGGCAATCCAACATGGTGAGACATCAAAACACAGGTAAAACAATGGGGATACCGGGATACAACAGGTATCATATTGAATATCATACCATTAGATGGTAATATGATACCTGTGGGTCTGAAAGTCTGGGGACTAAGCTGCTTAAAATTCGTCAAAGGTGGTGATGATTTGCACAGGCTGCCATTGAAACTGCAGATGCAGAGGAACGTGCCTCCGCTGTGGGATTGCTACAGGCTCCATGGGGGACCGATGGGCTCCCGGTTTGGGTCTGGATGCAGTGTTGCAGCCACATTCTATCAAACCATATCTAAGCCATATCATAGTAGTGGTTAGATTCTCCAAAAATATCATGTAGTGGTAACTGTTAGATTCTCCATAAATATCATAGTTCTAAACTGGGTTTGCAAAACGAGGTTACTGGCGGTACCCCGGCCCTGCCGCTAGTTGGTTCCAGGAAGCGCTCTCGCCGTCCAGTCGTGGGGGATCCTGAGGGTGTATGCAAAGGTCTTGTAAGATATGTATATACAACTGCATCAACCATTCAATCTTCGGGCCCGCCATTTTCATACGCAAATCTGAAAGACACTCAGAGTATATTGCAGCAGATATGACTCGTGATGTGAACCGTTTGAAGTTGGAAGGACACGTTTGCGGGTTTTCTCCAATTTGTTTCCTTCTTCGGTTACTTCGGTTTGTCTTAAGAATCTGCGACGCAATTTGAAAAACACTTGGCCATTCTCTATTGTTCACCATTTCAACACATCAAAGCTATGAAGGTTCCCAAGATTTTGCAGTTCCACACGGCCTTGGACTTCAGATAGGGCTTCCGTTTTTGAACTCCAAGAAGTATTGCGACAGGCATCGACAGGCTATAATGGCTATAGTGGCTATAGTTGACCGATTCTCCAAACATCTCCAAACATCTCCAAACATCTCCAAACTCAGGTGTAGACTTTCCGCGAATCACAGAAATCTGTCAGCGCGTGGCTGATCGACCGGATGAGGTTTGCCGCGGTTTGCCAACTCTGGGGGAAAGGGCTTGAGTCGTTGGGCAGTGACTAGCACTGTTGTCGTTGGGGCATTGAGCAGGACTCAGCATAGCCTGATTTGGGGTCTCAGAATTTGGAAGGGGTAAATTCATGAGATTTATTCCGGGATTTATCAAGGATTTATATTGCTTACTTTGATTTATCATGATTTTGTTTCGTCAGTGTTTTAGAATATCCATAGAGGGATCTCCCAGAGACCGCACACCAGGCCGAGCAGAGCGCAGCGATGCTATGGGCAGCTTTGTCGAGTGAGGTCAATTCAATCGAGGCCTTTGAACATTTTCTGACTGGTTTATACTAATGTTGATACTGCAATTTTATGCAATTTTGGCATAAAACAATTTTCTGAATGCTTTTTGGACATTTTCTGAAGGTTTTTTCATGAATCGATATACCATAAATAGCCAAAACAGGCGATGGTCAAAATAGGCGATTCTTTCTGACCTTTTCAGGGCCATGAAGCACCTCGACGACAGCTCAAGGTGGGGTACCAAAGATGCCATCCATTGGGGTCATGGAATGGTCATGGAATGACAACAGACCATGGCATGATCAACGAAATGACTATGATGATCCAATTTTGGGTATCTTGATGATTCTTGATGTATCTTGTTCCCCGAAATCAAATTTTGTAGGGTATCCCTACAATTTTGTAGCCTCCAACAGGGGCCCCTCATAAGCTGGACGCTGGGGAAAAGCCGAAAGATCCTCGAGAAAATGGGATACTCAAAGATGATCCTGCATTGTATGGTCACTGTGGGATCCTCAATGCTAGAAACCATCTCCAATAGATTCGTGGTTAATGAAATTGGGTATACGGTATACCCTACAAAGTGGATAGTTCATTTCATAGCCTCGCTGTTTTTTTTTCACTTTTGTAGTTGGGGATGGTTCCACATGATGTTGAGTATAGCCTGTCCAATATAGAATGTCTCAAGAGATGTCAGATTGAATGCCTGATAGAATGTGAGGGAGAATGTCAGATCGAATGCCAGAACATATGCGAAATATATGCCTTGAAATGCCATGGTGGGGATCACTCAAAGTATTTTTTTTTCGGGATTATAAACCCTAAATATACAAATCCCATATAAACATCGACTCATCCCGACGTTTTTTCACGTCAGGCCCTGACCATCGCCCATGAGCTGCTGTACGACGATCGCGTGCTCTTAGCCTTCACGGAACAGGACACAACACCTTTGAAAGGCAGGGAAACAGGAGAAAAATCACCCGGGAGAGTGGAGAAGTCTTATATAGTTGTTTCGTTTTTTTTGGATGATAATATACGTAGATATATAATATAATGTAATATAATATAAGATAATAAAAGACAATATGATGTAAAATGATACACTATGCTATTACTATTACTAGTACTAGCACCAGTACTATTACTATACTATTACTATTACTATTGCTATTACTATTACTCTTACTATTGCTACTACTACTATTACTATACTATACTAGTAGTATACGAGTACTATACTATTACTATACTATTACTACTACTATTACTATTACTATTACTATTACTAGTACTAGTACTAGTACTAGTACTAGTACTACTACTACTACTACTACTTTTCTATTACTATTACTATTACTATTACTATTACTATTACTATACTATACTATACTATACTATTACCATACTATTACTATACTAATACTATACTAATACTATTACCATACTATTACTATACTAATACTATACTAATACTATTCTATTACTATTATATTACAATACTATTACAATACGATTACTATACTCTTCCTATACTATTATTACCCACAGACGCCGTGTGTTGCCCAGACATTAACATTGAGAATGTCGTGCTGTCGAATATATGATAGGAGAGACTGCAGAAAATACTGCGTATACGCAGTGTTTTCCAGTTCAGGATTCAAAGTTTTCAGAGCCTAGGTTTTAGGGTTTAGGGTTTTAGGGTTTGGGGTTTTAGGGTTTGGGATGGTTTAGGGTTTTAGGGTTTAGGGTTCGTCGTCTGGGAAGTCTCAAAACACTGGCCCTGCGCAGGTGTTTGAGCATGTTCAAGGATAATGTTTAAGCATGTTTAAACGCCATTTGAACCTTCCGGGCAACACACACAGCGCCTGGCCGTATTATTATACGATTACTATACTACTACTATACTATACCATACTATACTATACTACACTATGCTATGCTTTACTTTACCATACCATACCATACCACAACATACAATACCATACCATACCATACCATACCATACTATACTATACTATACTATACTGTAATATACTTTGATATATAATATAATATAATATAATATAATATGATATAATATAATATAATACAATGTAATATAATATAATGTAGTATCGATTGATCAGTCCCTGAATTTTCTTGGATGGTTATGGAACCAAATGACGTTTGGATAGAAAACTGGGATTTTTGGGATTGTCACCTGAGTGGCAGAGGCTTGGAGTCCTCAAGGCCGGGAACACTTGGCAGAGCTGCAGAGGCAAGGTCAATGGACGAAACCCCCAATTCTGGGTTTCAAGGATGCTGAAGTTCACTATTTGTTTAACCAGATTCATGATTATATATATATAGGTTATTTGTTTCGCAAGGAATCCCACTCTGGCTCAAAATTGACTTGATATTTTTGGATCAGATGGGATCAAATCTGACATACGGAAAATCACCATTTCTAATCTGTAAAATCATTTGTACATGGGCGATGTTCATCAATTTTCCATCGCTATGTTCCTGCAGGAAGCCATGCGAATGCTGGCAGCCGAAGTACGCCGCCGCGTGGAGGAAGCTCGAGAGAAGCGTGGCACCAGGCGCGTCGTGTGGATTTAGATCCTTTTATGGCCATCTACTACCAATAAAAAATGGCATGTTGACCAACACATGGAGCCATCCAACAGCTGACCTGAGGCGGACCCGGGATTTTGGTCAAACGCGAGTTAGAAACCCCCCACGATGTTTCATGTATGATTGTGAGTAAAACCGAGTTATGATCTCAAACCCGACAAATTTCCAGGGTTTAGAAGCAAAGGGTATATATATATATAATTATATATAATGTATATTTTTCTGGTGTAACCTCCAAAATGATAAAACCATATATTATCATATATTATCCCTATTTCAGCAGGATTCCACTTTTCTGTTTTTTAGGGACTAATATATACATATCCATATGTATTGTGTATGTGTAAACCTGCAAAGGGTATGCGGCTGTTTTTTGATGGGTAAAACCAATCTTTAAACCACTGGAATTGGGGCAACCATGGGCAACCGATTTTCCAGCTCCGGTGCATGTGGAATCGGGGTCACTTTTGTGGGGTGCTTTTTCAAGCAGATGGTCGTGATGGTATTATATATTATTAGTGGTGTTTGTCTTGTTTCTTCAGTTTCAAGAAAAAGAACATGCTTGAAATGTATTATAGATCTATCATGTTTTATGTGTTTTATTTCGGTCCGGTATCGCCTTTTTTTCCGATAGCAAAAGTTGCAGCCCTGAAGAATATGATGAGTCTTTGTTGCCTCTCCCTGCCCCCAATCCTGCCCAGCAAGTGGTTGAGAACCATGGTTGCGGTTTGCTTGCAGTTCAGATCACACCCTTCAGGACCCACAAATCGTAATACGTACCCTCTGGTAATTTAACATAGCTATTGAAAATGGCACCTTTATAGTGGATTTACCCATTAAGGACGGTGATTTTCTACAGCTATGTTAGTTTACCGGAGGGTATGGAGTACATGCTCTATCTCTCGTAATATCCCGCAGCAAAATCTCTGGTAACATCCCTATCCCAGGAGCCATCTTTTTTTCAGGCGCCACACGACCTGGAGCTTTACCTTACGCCGAGGCACGGCATTGACGTAGCAGCGATGAGGCTTTTAAATTGACGAGGATTGGCTAAAAAAAAACAGAAAGCGATTGGAAGATTTCACGTGGAGATCATTTAAGATGTCAATTTGATGTCATTGAATTTCAGAAACCGTAAAAACACAGGATATCACAGGTTTTTGATCATATTTGATATATGGATTAATAATGATTAATATGGATTGATATGGATTATATCATTGAATATATCCCCCTGGATGTTCCTAAGGAATTTCGTTCCATGGATTTCTTGGGACCATAGGACATTGACGGGATGGTTCCCCCGCGCTCCAACCCACTGGATTTTCTCCAGCAGAATCTGCAGTCAGGGGCTGTTGAAAGAGGTTTAAATGATAAATCATCTGTAAAACATGGATATGCCCATTTCTAGATTTTGTGATTTTGTAGATGGTTTTGACTTATATGTTCCCACCATTTCGAACTATGTTGTCAATATGTGACCCTTTTTCTTGCCACGGTTTTCCCCTTGTCCAAGCTGATTTTTCACGCCCAGGTGATGGCAAATCGCCTGGCTCCAGTCCCAGCGGTCCCCAGCCGAGGTTGAGGCGTTGTTGACCAATGGGCCATGGTCATCCATGACGACTGGATGGGGGACCCCCATGACTTAGGAAACCCAAAAACCATCATCATTGAATGATATTGAATGATCTATAAATTGATGATAGAACCCCCAGGACTATAAAAACCATGACTTAGGAATGATTGAATGGTTGGTTTCTATAGATTCTCAGATCTAAAGGGCAGTGGAACTCGCAACTCAAAACGTGTCTTTCCCTTTCACAAACGCTTCCCCAAAGGGTTCCCAAACGGGGGTTATTCCATTCATCTTCAAGCAAAACATCCCCATCTTCAGTGATTCCCCAAGTGACTTATGGCGATGGCCTTATGGCTGTTTCAGAAAAGATATGGAGAGATACAAATCAATGTTCTGATCGATTTTCTAAATGTTTTTTCCTGAGAGTTGGTTACCAGGTTGTTTACCCAGCCCGGTGAGTTTTTAGAGATGCCCATGCATCCGATCAAACGTTTCAGGCAAGTGTTGGGCAAGTTTCACGCAAATTTCATGCTGATGATCATTCATCAACCAACCAACATCAACCAACTAACATCAACCAATAACCGTAACTAACCGCAACTAACCGCAACTAACCGCAACTAACCGTAACTAACCGTAACCAACCAACAAACATCAAGTAACCAACTGACCAACCTGGCAGGAACTCCGGCCCAGGAGCTCCAAATCCATGCCCTTGGAGGTGCAGTGCTCTGTGCTTTCTGGTGCCAAACTGGAGGTTCGCGCTGCAGGGAGTGGTGAAGAAACTGGTGGTTGATTTCATGGAAAATCCATGAAAATCCATCTATAAAATCTATAAATGGATGATTTATGATGATTTTGGGGTAGCCCTATGACTTAGAAAACCTCCAAACATGAAAATATCTGCGGAATGAAGAGATATCAAGAGATCTGCAGAAAACATCATTGATCTGTTTGTGCCGCCGTTTTTGCTCAAGTTCGAGGGACGGACAGTGTAGCAGGATATTCACAACAGATTTGGAAGCACAACTTTTCAAGATGTGTCTCGGCTTTGGGATTTCGAGATGTACAGAGCCCTTGTTGAATCTGCATTTTTTTTTTTGGGGGGGGGGGAGGCATGTGTGGTCGGTTCAAAACTTTGGAACTCTGGAAGTTTGCGCTGTACTCGAGTTTCATGCTGCGTCAGTGGGCTCTCACAGCATCTCACAGCTGCTGAGTCTCAGTTTTGATTGGGAACATGCTAGCTAGATCTAGCTAGTGTACTTTCTTCTGGATGACCATCGGTTTTCCAGAAACGGATGGGTGGTTCATACTTCTCATGTTTTCCATACAGAAAATCATCTCATGACTGAGCTCAGGGCAGGTGCCCGACTTCACTTTCTGCATGGTCCAGGCAGGCCGAGGGCTGTGACTGGGATCCAAAAGTTTACAATCCGTATATGGAGGTTTCCATAAATGTGGGTATCCGTAGAATGGACAATCCTACTATAAATGGATGATTTGGGGGTACCCCCATTTTAGGAAACCTCCATATATTCCATATAATCCCGTATATAAGTCGGATTAAGTGGGGATATTCCATATGTAACTGGGGATAATACAGTATTGCGAAGTGGGATGCACCCCCAAGTCGCGATGCGATGGAAAAGATGTACCCCAAGTCATCCACACTCCCGAATATATAGCCCATCCAATGGTCGCTTTGGGAAGCTGGTGACCGGTTTTCTGCTACCTCCGGTGGTTGTTGGGACAGGTGGAGCTCCGTGGATTGGTGGCGGCTTCGAGGATACCATCAATGAATTTCTCACGTATCGAGAAGCTTTGATGATGAGGCCATGGGGCCGCGAGACTGGAAAATCACCACCTGAAAAATAGGTATTAGGTGTAAATCAACTATTTCAATGGGCAACTTTCAACTAGCTATATGTTAAATTACCAGAGGGTAAGATGTTTTCAATATGAAACTCTAGCAGCCACTTTTTTTATGCCGACTCTGAGAGATATCACTAAGCAGGTGCACTACTGCACTACTTGTGTGTGAGGCTGCGACTGACTCTACTTGCAGGGCGCCCAGATTTGCCTGTGCATTTGGAGCAACGTGCCCTGGCAATTGGATTTCAGGACAAGAGAAAGAATGACTTCTGGTGAAGAGTCAAGACCTACTTATTGTATTGGGGGTCAGATGACATGGGAATATCTTTTTTTTTACCCCATACGTTGAGCAGATGACATGAGCGTGGTTTTGACCCGACACATGTGCAGGCACATGACTTGAGAGTTGCAAGCGTATATGTGATGACATACTTGTGAATATCACGTGAACGAAAAATGTCATATGTCATAGGGCAAACGCATGTTTCTTGTCCTGTTTTGTTTTTTCTTTTCAGATGGGCTGGAGATCGCATGTCATGAGCTCATATTTTTCGGAGGGCGGGCAGCGGGCGTAACACAAACCTATCGCAAAAAAAGTAGGTTATGTACTTTTTGGTTCCTAAAGCAGATGGCATGTTCGCTATTCTTTTGTGTCAAATAAGTGCACTTGGCACATGACATGAGAAGAGCGTTTTTTTTCTAAATAAAAACGTTTCACTACACTCATGTCATGTCAGCACAGTATATGATTACATTTGATATCATTTGATCAGTCATTTGATCAATCATTTATCAGTCATTTTTTCTATACAATCTCTGATCAAACCATGCATGTCGCGGTGCCAGGTCGCAGTGCACAGGAGGGTCTTTTGGAGCTCCAGGATGGTCATTTGACTAAGCCTGCGACATCGCTGCGGATCCCCCTGCTCATGTCGGATATTGTCTACGCAACTTGCCGCAAGTCGCGTGCGGGCCCTGCATTTTGATTTTTTTGATTTTCGGAGAGTCACCATATGTATCCAAATGTCAGCATGAGAGTCACAATCAATGAGGACTTGCCGCAGTCACAAGAATTATGCTGTCTGAACCGTAGAAGGCATAATTTCTAATACGAAGCATGGTGTGTTTGTGTTTGTGCCTGTGTGTGTGTGTGTCCTAGCTTGAATTTCAGCGGTGCTTGTGACGTTTTTTCAATCATTGAAACCGGAAAATCAGGAACGCGTTCCCACGGATTTGCGTCACCTCGGGGACTACATCATGGCAGTCGCACCTAGAGGGCCAACGCTCCGTTTAGGCGCTGCAAAAATCCTGCAGGGCTGTGTTTCCACATGGCTTTCCCCTGCAGGCGAAGGTGTCGAGAGTGATTTGAAGCAGGTGTGGTTCCTGTGTTTTAGAGGCCGGCACTTGTCCAAGCTGCGAAATTTGACATCAACAAATATCAACAAACTTTCAGACATTTCTATGGGTGACCAGCTGATCCTTGCTGATCCAATGTTTGAGGAATTTGTGCGTCGCAGGTGCGCAAAAAAAGTTCGAAGAATTCCTGTCAGGGACCCATGCAGCTGATGAGCAATCTTCTCGAGAATAGAACAGACAGCCAACTCATCACCCAATTTCCCAATTTTGTTTTCAGTTTCTGTCCTTGATGTGCAAGTTGATTATGGCACTTCTCCTGATTCCTCAACTCCCCTATGGATGGTCAGCATTGACCAGCAAATCTGGATGCCCTTTTTGCGAGATGGGAGACGCCTTGGAGTTGAACCATCAATCATCATCAATCCCTCAAAGCACTTGGCGATGGCGTTACAGTCATGTCCACTTCAGTTTTAAGTTTTATCTCAGGGTTATTAATAATCGGTTAATCCAATCACAGTAGCGACTCAAAAAAAGACTCCCAACTTGACATGGATTACAAACAGCATCATATGTGCCAGGGTCAGACGCGAAAGGGGAAGGTCATCAAATCCATCAATAGGGGTCAATATATCCATCGCATTCCATTGTAAGTAATCCCATTCATGATGGTCGGATGACCATACCGTTACTTTTCCCTTGTAACTTGACCCTGGCACATGGCTGTCTATCTGCCAACAATGTTCGAAATAGGACCACGTTGGTTATCATCAAGGTCCCTGATTAAGTTACCTCCCCTGAAAGTTTATTCCGTCAGCATAGTTGTCACGAAAGCTAGCTGTGCTAGCTGAAGTTGCTCTTGCTTCAGCAAGGAATAGGCAGGCACCAGGACCGTTGGAAACCCTGAAACTTTCGAGTTAGACCCGCCCTGGCAGGCCCAGGTTCGATCCTTTTGTGGTCCCCCACCGAGAGGAGATTTCCGGCTGGTACCCTCATTTTCATCTTCCATCCTCACCCTCCTCACCCTCCTCATCCTCATATCCTCATCATCCTCCTCATCCTCATCCTCATCCTCATCCTCCTCATCCTCATCCTCCTCCTCCTCATCCTCCTCCTCCTCCTCATCCTCATCCTCATCCTCATCCTCATCCTCATCCTCATCCTCATCCTCATCCTCATCCTCATCCTCATCCTCATCATCATCATCATCATCATCATCCTCATCCTCATCCTCATCCTCATCCTCATCCTCATCCTCATCCTCATCCTCATCATCTTCTTCGTCCTCTTCGTCCTCCTCACCGTTGATCAGCATCCTCATCCCCTGGTCCCGCTGGGCCGTTGGTTTCCTGCAGGTATAGGGTCGTCCTCTTCCGTATTTCATCTTCAGGACGTCATGTTCAGGAAACCAAGCATCAACTCTATAAAATCATCATCGGAAACTTGCCGGCTTCCAAATGGTCATGATTATCTTCCTCCTCCTCCTCCTCCTCCTCCCCCTCCTCGTCGTCGTCATCATCAGCATCATCATCGTCATCATCATCAATCATCATCATCATCATCATCACCATCATCATCATCATCATCAACAACATCCTCATCATCATCATCATCATCCTCATCCTCATCCTCAGCCTCATCCTCCACCCCCATCTCCATCCTCATCCTCATCCTCATCCTGCTCATCATCATCTTCCTCCTCCTCCTCATCATCATCATCATCATCATAATCCCCATCATTGGCAGCATCCACATCATCCACATCATCATCATCACCATCATCATCATCAACAACATCCTCATCATCATCCTCATTCTCATCCTTATCCTCATCCTCCATCCCCATCTCCGTCCTCATCCTCATCCTCATCCCCATCCTCATCCTCATCCTCCTCATCATCTTCCTCCTCCTCCTCATCGTCATCATCATCATCATCATTATCATCAACAACATCCTCATCATCATCCTCATTCTCATCCTCATCATCATCCTTATTATCATCATACATATTTTATCATATTTTGCATTGTTTTGAACATCTTTATGCAGATTCAGGCTTCCATTTTTGGGGCGTATTTTTTTTTTTTGATTTTTGTTTCTTTTGCTTACAAGCCTTGGCGAGAGACGATTACTGCATTGGGGGGTTTCGCTTGTTGGACCCAATAGATTTTGCAGCCCTACAACAGACCTGCTCATCATAATCATCATCCTCATTTTCATCATCATTCTCATCCTCAGCATCCTCATCATCCCCATCATCCTCATCATCTTCATCATCCTCATCATCCTCTTCGTCCTCATGATCGTCGTCATCAACTCATTACTGTTACCATCACTTTCGTCATCATCAGTTTCCTTCATCGTTCTGGTCAGCAACCTCATCAACATCAAAAGATTGGCACTGTTTGTGACTTGCAGCAACTCCAAAAAACCGCGTGAGACCGTTGCCGCATTCCGACTTAACCTTGCTAATCCCCCTTTACGATTACCACCCTACCCCAGCCCTGCTAGCTTTCGTACCTCCCCCCTGGCCTCAAGTTTCTCACCCCTTTATTCCCCAAACAGTGTGTCCACACTGAGGGGTTCTTACGGTAAGTGCAAACGCCGGAGCTTGATCAGGGTGCTCACTCTGGGCCGCGGCATTTTTCCTGTAAATTTCCATATAAAGTGGCTCTTGTGAAATATTGACATGCGTTTCGACTGCGCAGGCTCACACAAAGTGTGGGCCGTTGTTTTGAGCTGCTGCATTTTTCTTGCAAATTTCTGTATAAAGTGGCTCCTGTGAAATTTTGACATGCGTTTCGACTGCGCAGGCTCGCACAAAGTGTGTGTCTGCGCTCCGGGCTCAATGGAGGGCCGCGGCATTTTTCCATGCGTCCTACCTTAGGAAATTATTTTGAGGTGGGGGTTGGTTCCAAAATATTTTTTTAAAAATAATTTCCAATTTTTAACATAAATTTTATGTTAAAATCACCCGACAAGAGCCATAGCAAAATAATTTTTGCACCCGTACCTTGATGATGGTGCAAAATAATTTTCCACCTACAGAGGTTGAAGCACCTTGAAATAATTTTAAACAAACAACTTAAGGCACCTCAAAATAATTTCTCAGTTGAACTGGGGAAATTATTTCATATAGTTCCAACTGTATAAAATAATTACCAGACACCCATGATGAAAATTATTTCATGGGGTGGGGGTACTTGCAAACCACCTGCAAAATAATTTCAGCATATTACATCAAATTTCAACTACATATTTCAACATGTTCAGTCAGGATATTCTTTGAATCAATCTGCAGCCATTTCCAACTTCATTCAAGCCACATCCCGTCAATCCCAACACATCCCAGGGAAGTTGAGTTTTGCCAAGGTTAGGTTTTTTTGGATTTCTGGGGTGGTCTAGTAGTTAACCACCCCCAAAATAATTTTTGGGGAGAGAGGAATCGATTCAGGTTTCTTTGCCCAAAAGCCGATGCTAAGTCGATGTTCTAAAAAATAATTAGTTCAGCCAGTAATTCATGGTAAATCTCAGGGTTTGTCTGTTCGAGGCAATTTGGATTTTGAACTACTCAATGGGAAGTTAATTTTGCCAGTTTAGGCTATTATTATTTCTGGGGTGGTTTAGTAGTTAACCACCCCCAAAATAATTTATGGGGTAGGAAGGGGTCGATTCAGATTTCTTTGTCCAAAAATCGATGGTCTAAATCATAGGTGGTTTAGTAGTTAACCACCCCCAAAATAATTAGGTTCTCATGGTTTGATTCTTTCAGACAGTTTGGGTCAATTTGGATCAGGTTTGGCATTTTTGACCTATTCCAGGGAAGTTGAGTTTTGCAAGGTTAGGTTATTTTGGATTTCTGGGGTGGTCTAGTAGTTAACCACCCCCAAAATAATTTTTGGGGAGAGAGGAATCGATTCAGGTTTCTTTGCCCAAAAGCCGATGCTAAGTCGATGTTCTAAAAAATAATTAGTTCAGCAAGTAATTCATGGTAAATCTCAGGGTTTGTCTGTTCGAGGCAATTTGGATTTTGAACTACTCAATGGGAAGTTAATTTTGCCAGTTTAGGCTATTATTATTTCTGGGGTGGTTTAGTAGTTAACCACCCCCAAAATAATTTATGGGGTAGGAAGGGGTCGATTCAGATTTCTTTGTCCAAAAATCGATGGTCTAAATCATGAAATTCCGACAATGCTTGTCGGGTGCATTCGGGAGGATAGGTAGGGTGACCCCCCAAAATAATTTTGTGGGGATTTTTGCTAATTATTTTGAGGTGGTTCTACTTGTTTTTTCAATCATCCAAAACCATCTTAAACCACCTTGAAATAATTTCCAAAATTATTTTGAACTAAGGGAAGTGTTTTTGAGTAATAGTAGAACCCTACAAAATAATTTATTTGCAAATTTTCAGAAATTATTTTGAGGAGGTGGGTAGTGATAAAGGATATTATTTTGGGGTGGTTAGAGTGTTTTGGAAAAAAATATTTTGTAGTGGGTTATGTACTAGAAGCACCTCAGAATAAATCCCAGAAATTATTTTGGGGGGTCACCCTAGTGATTTTACCCAGGGTAGCCCGCATATTTTTCCTGTAAATTTCCGCATAAAGTGACTCTTGTGAAATCTTGACATGCGTTTCGACTGCGCAGGCTCGCACAAAATGTGTGTCCGCGTTCCGGGCTCAATGGAGGGCGGCATTTTTCCTGAAAATTCCAGTATAAAGTGCCTCTTGTGACATGTTGAAGTGCATTTCGACATCGCAGGCTCGCACAAAGTGTGTGTCCGCGTTCTGGGCTCATTCTGGTTTGCGGCATTTTTCTTGTAAATTTCCGTAAAGTGGCTCTTCTGAATTGTTGACATGCATTTCGAGTGCGCAGGCTCGCACAAAGGCACAAAGTGTGGGTCCCAGTCTTGGGATCGGTTTTCCTCCTCAACGTCATCCTTCTCAACATCATCATCATCATCTTCCTCCTTCTCTACATCATCATCCTCCACCTGTTCATCCTCCACTTTATCTCCTGTGTTATCATCATCATCATCATCATCACCATCATCATCATCATCATGATCATCACCGTCCTCACCACCATCATCATCATCATCGTCATCATCATCATCACCATCCTCACCAGCATCATCATGACCATCATCATCATCATCATCATCATCACCATCATCACCGTCATTGTCACCATCATCATCATCTTCTTCATCATCTTCTTCATCATCATCATCCGCACCACCGTCATCATCATTACCACCATCATCATCATCATCATCATCACCGGCTTCTTCTTCTTCTTCTTCTTCACCATCATCATCATCATCATCTTCATCTTCATCTTCATCTTCATCAGCAGCATCATCATTATCATCATCATCATCATCATCACCATCATCATCATCATCTTTATCATCTTCATCATCCACAGTATCATGCGTTATCCCCCCCCCGCTCCCCCAGACTGTTTGGGGTCTCTTGCCGGGATAATTTTTGTTGACCTGTCATGGCTTGCTTGTCTACTAACGTGGTAAACCCAGCAATAGACAATCACATAAACCAACCATGTGGGGGGTCCTTTTACATTATCCCACATAGGGGCAACCCCAATAATGAACTTCTTTATTTTTATTGTTGGATTTACCACATTATCATCTTTGTTGGCAACATCCCGATGGTTCAGGGTTGTTCTTGGGGTCCAGTGCTATTCTTGTTTCTCATATCCCAATGACTTGATGGTTCGTTCTCATTCCAGGCATTTCAATGGATGGATGTATTGTAGACACTCACTCGGATGTATGTTTAGTCTTGATTGGCTTGGATAGGTTTATCAGTTTATCATTCAATTTGGGTAACATATTTGGGGCAATGAACGCCCATTTTCCCGCTACCTTGCTTTTCAATGCGTTTCACCAAGGTTTTGACATGTAAAAAAAGGAGTTTTTCGTCGCCATCACCCCCAAGGTCCCAGCTTTGCCATGCTGGTGCTCTACGTTGGGACGCCATGGACGTATTGAGCCAAACGTGGCGTCTGTTGCATGTGGGGCGCTGCACAGTGGCGTCCTGCTGGCCCAGGACCGAGTAAGGGAAGATCAACATGCGGGAAACATGGTGTTAAACAATCAACTGTTTGTAAGCTATCTAAAAAATATATAAAATGAAATGTATTTTCAAAATATATATAATAAAAACAATAAAAAATAAATATGATATATATATATATGTTAAAAAAGCCTATTATATATTGAATATATATATATATAACAAATGTAGAATATAAATAATATAGAAAATGAAATGTATATCTATTACTGAAAAAATTATATCTATGTTTTTTATTTGCTATTTATCGCATATAAACCCATAAAAATAAAATATATCATATAAATTATATTGAAGATCTGATATAGACTTTGTATAATATAAATATAAAATTCCATATAATATATATAAGATATCAAATTTAATATACATATATACAATATATAAAATATTCAATTTAATAATACAAATATTATTGTCTAAATATTTTTTAATATTTATATTATATTTTCGTGAAATATTACATAACTATTAAAAATATATTTATATATACATATATATATATGAAATTTAATTTCTATGATATATATTTTACATATGTTACTGTTTTATCTAACATTCATGTAATCATATATATATATATACATATATATATAATATAGAAAGTATTTATTTATAGAATTATATATATATATATTATATTTAAAATATTTTTTTTATTATCTATAGAAGAAAGGAAATAATGAATTTAAAACATATAGTATGTTCATAAAAATATCATATTTAAGATAATTAAGATAATAGATTTGATACACAATAATATATATATATAATATATAAATAGTAATTAAACCATATTATCTATATAATATACTACTTATTCAATATTTTATATATGTAGTATATTTTTTTATAAATATACATTTATTTTTTTTAATGATATTAAACATATTTTTATATAGTATAGAATATATATAAATTATAGTCTGTATAATATATAAACATATATTCTTTATTAAATAAATAGTATCCAATATTTCGAATATATCATCCATTTCCAATATACCTTAAACTTAAATAATATATATAATTTAAAACATCAATAATATTTTAGTTTGTAAATATTTATTATTTAAAATACATTATATATATATATAACCTATAATAAAATATAATCTAACATATTTCGTAATATGATATAATATAATATAGCATAACGTAATATAATACAATATAACATAGTATAATATACAAGCTAATATAATGTAATTTCAAATAGTATAGCATAGTATAAAATAATTTAATTCAATATGATATGATATATACTTTTTTCATGTTTTTGCAGGTGTGTATGCACACATAAATTTATATATGTACACCTACATCAAGCAAAGCCATGAAAAAAACCGGCCGAACCATCAAAACGTGGTTTTTGGCCAGTTTCTGTGAAAAACCAGGGTTTAGTCTACAACACCAGGTTCTTGATCAAGCAGCTTTGCCACAACCCTAGAAAACATCAGAAACCCACAAAAATCAATCGAAAACCCAAAAGCACTCATAAAACACCCGTCGTCCAAAACTGGGTTTTTCTCCCTCCACATCAAACTTTGTTTTTTCTCTCCAAAACATGTTTTACCCGTACTGGCAGAACTTTTTTTTTTGGGTGGTTTTGGGTTGACCTAGGTATATATATATATTGTGTATATATATATAGTGTGTATATATATATATATACTATATATATATATACAATATATATATACAATGTATATATATATTATATACGATATATATATATAGTGGTTATAGCAGTCCGTTGTAGCAGTCGGCTGCAGGCCAACCTACCTGAAGTGCTGAATGGACCCCAATTTCCAAGAAGAGAGTAATCAATTTACGGAAATCAATCATGTCTAATGTAAGAATTGAGGGATGTATCTCGTTTCACAGATGCAATGGGTACTTATTGGCCGAAGGAAGTTTAGAAGTCAAGCTTCCAACAGTATGGACAGATGAAAAGCAGAGATGGGAAGAGTCAGAGAAGAGAAGAGAAGAAGAAAGAAGATCAAAAAGAGGAGAGAAGAGAAGAAGAAAGAAAATCCAGGTGCGCGAAAAGGTAGGAAAGTCGCGAAACACAGTGTTTTTCCAATGATTTGTGGCTCTGGAGGGTCGAAAAGTAGGCTCGCGAAAGCGGCGGGTGCGGAGCCAGCTGGCCAGATGAGAGATGAGAAAGTGCACGCAGTTGTGGCGCGAAGCAGATTTCAAAGGCAAAAGTGTCAAAACCTGACGGGTTCGGAGCACTTTTGGAAGTTGAAATGTCGAAAAGTGCACGCCGTTGTGGCGCGAAGCAGATTTCAAAGTCAAATGTGTCAAAAACTGACGGGTTCGGCACACTTTTGGGAGTTGAGATGTCGAAAAGTGCACGCCGTTGTGGTGCGAAGCACATTTCGAAGTCAAAATGTACAAAGCACCTCAGCTTCGGAGCACTTTTGGAAGTTGATATGTCGAAAAAGTGCACGCCGTTGTGGCGCGAAGCACATTTCCAAGTCAAAATCTACCATGTCTACAAAGCACCACATGTACGTGCGACTTTTGGACGTTGAAGCGTGGTTTTGCGTGGCCGGCGCAAGGGATTGTGCACCTTGTCAAAAGTGAGCAAAACGTGAGGGTCTTGTAGCATTTCCAAAAACGATTGCAAGCGTGCGACATTTGAAGAGGATCTGCAAAGATGCATTTTTCGTGGCAGGCGCAGTACAAGAGACATGTTCATCAGAGCTGTTCGGAGGTCCGGGCGCTGATTTCCTGAGAGGGGTTGCATTTTGGAGCATCAGATCTTCAGGTTTGCTAAGATGATTTTGCGTGACAGGGGCAGCACTTCGTATGACCTGGCGTGACTTTTCCGTGGCAGGGGCAGCACTTTACACAGATGGAATGGAAAAATCGCAAAACGCATTGGTACGAGGCTGCACTCAACTTTCCATTTTTAAAGGAAGTCTCGCAGGATTGCTTAGTTTTTGATGTTGTCAACTTCAAAAATTGAAGGAAGTCTCGCAGAATTGCTTCGTTTTTGATGTTGCCAACTGCGAAAATTGAGGAAGTCTCGCAGAATTGCTGCGTTTTCAAGCGTGCAGATAGACAGATAGATGGATGGATGGATAGATAGATAGATGGATGGATAGATAGATAGATAGAGAGAGAGAGATAGATAGATAGATAGATAGATAGATAGATAGATAGATAGATAGAAGAAAGATAGATAGATAGATAGATAGATAGATAGATAGACAGATAGATAGATAGATAGATAGACAGACAACTACAACTACAACTACAACTGCAACTACAACTACAACTACAACTACAACTACTACAACTACAACTACCGCTACAGCTATTGCTACAGCTACACCACTGCTACAGCTACAAATGCAAATATACTACGCTACATTACACTATATACACTAACTACACAACACTACGCTGCACTAATTACATCTAAATACGCTACACTACATCAATTACACTACAATTTCAACAACTACTACTGCCACAGCTACAAGTACAAGTACAACTACACTACATTGCACTACACTACGCTAATTACATTGCAGCACACTACAACTACAAATACAACTACAACCACACTACATTACACAACACTATGCTACTACACTGACTACATGCATTACGCCACAGCTACAACTAATCCCTTCCCCTAATACTAAACCCCCCCTCCCCCCCTCCCCAAATAATAAACACTTCAGGTAGCTTTTTTTATTAGGGGGTTATTTATTAATAGGGATCCCTATTAAAAAAATCTAAAACCTTAACAAAAATCACTATTTTTCCGATTTCAAAATCAATTAAATTTGCTTTTGTAATAATAAAAACTATTTTTCCCCAACAGCGTAAGCTAATGGGGTCTTCAGCCCCGAATAGCTCCGGTGTGCACTGGTGCAGGCGCCGGGTCAGGTTCAACGATATTCCGGAGAAGGCTCCGAAGGTTGGGAGGCTTTGGTGCAGAGCCAGGTCACGTTCAACAAGGTTCCGGAGAAGGTTCCGAGGACCTTCCTACACTACACTACACTACATTACACTACACTACACTACACTATACCACACGACATTGCACTGCACTGCACTACACTACACTGCACTGCACTACACTACACTGCACTACACTACACTGCACTGCACTACACTACACTACGCTACACTATACCACACTACATTACACTACACTACACTACATTACACTACACTACACTACATTACACTACACTACACTATACCACACGACATTGCACTGCACTGCACTGCGCTACACTACACTACACTGCACTGCACTACACTACACCACACTGCACTACACTACACTGCACTACACTACGCTACACTATACCACACTACATTACACTACACTACGCTACACTGCACTACACTAATTACATTACATTACACGACAGCTGCAACTACCACTACATTGCCCTACACGCTTGCAACTACAACTACACTACTTTACTTTACACTACAATACACTAGGCTACACTACACTATACCACGCTACAGTACACAACACTACAGTACACTACAATACATTGCACTAATTACACGGCACCACAGCTACAACTGCAAGTGCCACTACACTACACTAATTTCACTACAAGACAACGACAACTTACAACTACAACTCCACTACGCTACAACTACAACTACAACTGCGCTACGCCACACTACATCCAGCAGTTGCTGAAGAAGGGTCTACCAGGTTTGCCTTTATTCCACTCACATGTCTCCCACTGAAGGAGATATGTGGGTGGCAGGGGCACTGTAGCTTTGCGGTCAAAGGGACCAGGGCCGATACAATATTGGCTACTCTTACTATATAGCGTGAGTTTGATGTGACCTGGGCTGGCAGGGTGAACAAGTCTGGAGGAACTCCTGCAGGCAACATGTCCCGAGGGTTTTGATCCCGTTCTGTAATGAATTCTAGTGACTCATCGGTGCCATGTTCAAATGATGTCAACATATTTCAAATGTTGGGTCGACTCAAGCCCTTCACATCAGTCTCTGAGATAGTCCTTCTGGAAGATCATTCCTGTTCGTTTTGTGTCCCAGGATGGCCATTGGCACCACCAAAGATAGCGGAAAAGTGGCGTTGCCAGCATGTGTCGCCGTCAAGACCATGGATTTTTCAGCAGTAGAGATGGAGAATCTGGGCTGGTGGAGGTCGCTTATAAAGCATGCCTCGTTGGGCTTTGCGTCATCTGAAATTCCCCATGGCAACGTTGTGATTCCATGAGCCTCACGCATTCAAACCGTTTCCCTGATGTTCACCTCCCCCTATCCGCGTTCTGAGGAAAGAGTTGAAGATTCTCAGACGATGCCACCACCATCCAAGCATCAACAGCTTTATGGGCATTTTTTGCCTTGAAGATCCCTCAAAGATTCCAGCTTCAGCCACTCAGGCGACGTGGGACCGGTGGGACCGGTGGGACCGGTGGGACCGGTGGGACCGGTGGGACCGTGCAAAATGGTAGGGGTGCTGGCCATGCAGCCAGGGACGATGCTGGGCCATGGTGACCGCATTGGAAAGTGGCCACTTGGCTGTTCGCTCCATCACTTGGGTGAACATGTACGAGCCAAGGCGACCATGGAGAATACATGCGTCTCTCTCAAAGCGTGGTATACCGGTATACCATGGTATACCATGGTATACCAATAAATTGCCACTGAATATTGAAAATATTTGAAAATGATGATTAACCAATGGATTTATATAGAGGTACCCAATTTTGACCCATATGATGAGAGCAATTCTGAAACCCAAACATCTCAGCTTTATGCAACTTTGAGCCCAATGCTCCGCTCCTGCCAACATGGGTCCGCGCTCAGGAAACGACCTCCAAAGAAGAGTTGAAGCCAGGCTGGGAGTTGACTGTCACAGCCTGGGTCCGTTGGTGATGCCAGTCGAGTCATTTACTCATTGAGCTGTTGACTGTACGTGTAGATGTATTGATTTATCATGATTTCCCTCTGTATCTCGCAATCCATCTCCCTTTTTCTGGCTTGGTTATATTTATTTGAGGAATCAGAATCAGTTAGACCTATTTCTTCTGTGCACTTGTTGTCGATCATTTCTCCATTTAAGCCACGGCATTGCCGTCCAAAGGTTTCGGGCTGCGATGCTTACCTTTCAGTCATTGATCCCTTGTAAAACTGTCCTGTCGTGGATGAACTTAGTTTCTGTTTGGCGTTTATCTCGCACGTGTGTTCTGACTGATTTGACATGGTCCAATGACAAGAATGAGGACTGCAACGAAGTAGTTTAAAACTTCCAGAGAACCTTCCTGAAGGACTAATCAAGAGTTGGCTTTTATCTTTGGATTTTTTGGCTTATCCATTTGTCTGGCTACTATGTCTAGCTCTTTTTTTTACAAACATACTGCACTGTTTTTCTTGTACATTTGCATGAGTTTACAAGTGCATGTAACCAGTGCCAATGTGTATGTATATATTAATATATATATATTGAATATATATATATATATATATTGAATATATATATATACATAGGTCGTGTCAATGTGTGTATTCAGATGCCTATATAATGTTTGTAGATCGATTAGATAGATTGGTCAATTCAAAGTTGGGTACGTTTCGGATGGTAACGAATGGGTGCATAGACAGATCGGCATGTATGTGCACGAATGTGCATGTTCTTCGTCGACCCAGGCCTGGGTTATGAAACCAACATGACTCAAACCAGCTTTTAGATATCCGGGATTCGTCCTAGACCACAGCCTCCATTCTGCAATATATTCGCTGGGTGAATTGCAATAACATGCACTTGTATATTACATATAACTATATATTTTTGTATATTTGTTGTCGCAGAATCGATAATCCACAGCTGTGTTGTTGACATGGAGACTGCACATCATCTTGATGCGCCAGGAAATTCCTGGAAGAAGCTACAGTCTCTTCTCTCAGTTGTGCCAACATTGTTGTGACATACATACCCTTTGCTAATCAAACATGGCAATGGAAGATCCTGCATTCATAGATTTTTTTCCCACATCAAAACCATAAAACATCCATTGATCAGAGATTTCCCACTGCTACGTATTTGATTAGCAGAGGCTACTCCTTCCAGTGCTGTGTTTTTCCGTGTCGAAAACTCTCGATCTCCGGAAGGTCGTGAAAGCGATGTTAGGAGTGAGTGGTGCTGTGGCCTTCCTTCACAAATTGAACATCATTCATCGAAGGGTGGAGCTTGGACCTCAGTTGAAAATGGAAGTCAAACCCCAAGTTATGGTCACTCCATAAGGAAAGTGATGATGAACCAACAGGATCTAAAAGAAATATCCGAAATACCCTTTGGGACACTCCATTTTCAGACAAACTCAAATGTCGGACTGCCTGTTTTCCGTCATTTTCCATTTCGTTTTTTTTCGAATATCCAACTGTCGATAGGGTTGAAAGATCTTGAAACTCTTTTCGCCGCAGCAGCCCACATTTCCTGAGGGCATCACACATTTTGCTCAACTACGAGGGCACTGGTATCCTCACAGACTTCAGTTCTGCCGTGCCTAGGACGCTTTGTGAGTCTGGGCACTTCAGAATCCAACGGATTCCTTGAGAAGTCCCGGAAAACCGTGGATCAATGCTTTCTTGCGCTTCTTGAAACAAAGGAACATGATGGAACATGTTCTTTTTTTTTTCTCTACTTTGGGAAGGTTTGGTTCAGATTTCTTCAGTGCTGGGCGTTTTCAAAACTGGCAACTGAGGTGGATCTTTCTGAGACTCCCAGCCATTGGGCACCCATTCCGAGCAACCCAAACACTGCCCCGGAGATCCCGACGGGAAAGTACGATGGGATGGTGGATGTTTTCGGAATTGGAGCAACTTGTCTTGAGCGAACGAGATCTTTAGTTCATGGAGTCTCCAGAAAGGTCCCACGGAGGATGGAACATGGAACTACGAAAAAGACCTTGAGTTGTGCATCGGATCTCTTTTGGTCAAAATTTGCCCAAAATTCCTCAAAATTCAATGGGACCCATTATGGTACATTATGGTGACTTGGGAAAAAGTGGGACCCTGTTCCAGCTAAGTATCCAAATATTCCACGTGGACGCCGAGGTGGTTCTATACTTTGCCCTTTGTGGCAGTTTGCCCTTCACTATAGGCGGGGACAACCTAAACTGCGTGGACTGGCGTCCGTTTTTGGGTGAAACTTGGCTAAGAAAAAGGATCGTGAAGATATGTTAAGATTAACGATTGCCAAAAATCTCTGGTCTCATGTGAATTTCTGACCCATCTTCATATCATGGCAATTCCATTGGTGCATCACCGCCCTAAAATTGCCACAACTTGGATCGCCATCGCCATCCTCGGGCACACATCCCTATGCCTGTCATTATATGCTCATATACCCAGGATATACCTGTTGTATCAATTATAGCCCCGTTAATGGTTTGGGCGTTTGGGTTTTTGTCATCCCATTCTATCATTTTTCATAGAAAATACTGTATCGCCATGAAATCCCTAATAAGTCTAATAGATGCTACATTTGTACATGTCTAACGTATTTGATGTTTAGATTCCCACCGGTAAATCAGATGTTTATGATGGTTCATAATTACATCACCAGTGCTAATGGATCTTACTGGTTCCCCTCCTGTAAACTGACAATGAATGTATATAAATAAATTTCCTAGGAACACCGTGGGTTTTCCACATTTGTATGTTTACCCTGGGGTAATTGTTGATGAAACTTTTGTCTTGAGATGTGACAACGTAGCGCGTGGCTAAGCTCGGGGAGGTACCGAAAGGACCAGGAAGCAGGGCAAAGTCAACTACACTATCGCCGCCACTGGACAACAATCTGTGGTACCAGTAACCCCCAAAAAGATAGACACTTGTAACGTCTAGTAACTCCCAATTACTTTACTTCGAGTGATCCCCACCGTGGCATGTTCGACAACTGTTCAGATTCCAAGTTTGCAATCAGACATCAAGAAGAGAGTAGTATCAAACATATATCCTGACATACTTTCTGGCATTTCTTTGGGCATTCATTCTGGCATTCTATCTGACATCTATTCTGACATTCTTTCTGACATTCTATCTGACATTCACATTCCCCCTGGCATTCAATCTGACATTCTTTCTGGCATTCCATCTGACACTCTTTCTGACATCTATTCTGACATTCCATCTGACATTCTTCTGACATTTTTTCTGGCATTCTTTCTGGCCATCTCTTTGGCATGTGTTCGGGTCCAGGCATGGCCCACAGCAGGAGCTGGCGATATATGGTGTTGGGGCCCAGGCGTGCCCAGCTGCGTCTGGAGCTGGCAGAGAAGGAGAAGGAGTAGCACGTTCGTTAGAATCTAGAGACCCTCACCCGACAGGTGGGGAAAAAAATAGAGAAGTGATGATGAGTTGAATTTACATTTGCTCTATCAAAGCTGGAATTTATCAAATTCTGCATCGTGTTCGGGTGTGCTATAGTCGAAATGAAGAAATCTGAGAACGTGCGCGCACCGAGAATGTTTCGGACGAGCCAGATCAGTATCATCTCACCAGTGAGAACCCTTGTTTGATATCAAGTAGCAGATCATGTGCTGATCGTTGCGTAGGTGTTTTGTACCTAGATGTTACTTCAAATTCAAGTGGTAAATAAAAAACGCCAGTTGCAGGGCATGAGTAGCCCCCAGTTGTCATCAGCGATCAATCTCACGATTTGTGATGAATGATCCATTGACAAGTGGGGGTTTTCCACTTTCAGGCAACAGCACCACTTACTCTCTGGTTATGTAACATAACTATGGAAAGCGACCTTAAAAAATAGATGGAAAACATATTGACTATTGACTTACCTACAACAAAATGATGATTGTCCAGTTCGCAAGCCGTTAAATGACCAGAGGGTATCGGTATCAGGCCACTGGTCCACTGGGCCCACTGTTTCCAAGGCACTGGACCGTGCATCCAATGGCGTGCGGCTTCTTCTGCGCGCGGCTTTGGCCCGTGATGCGCACCTTGGGTTGACCCACTGGCCCACCGTTTTGGATCTTCCCGAAAAGTATGGAAATGATATATAGACGCTGACCTGTTCTTGCCGACTGGATGCTGGACACTATCCACTGGATACAGTAAGTAGGGCTACCTTCACAGCTAGGGAAATGCCCAATGAACAACCAAAGGGTAAACCACCAAAAACTTATATAATAGTGGCGAATGGATGCAGGTGGTATACAAAACTGGCCCAAACCGATTCTTCCAAACAGGACCTGGTTCACCCCTGTATTTATAATAATACATATCATATTGTTGTTTATATCAGCTTATATCCCGGTAGCATCATTAGCTTCAGCCTGGTCCAGATCAGAATCTCCCGCTACATCACCGAGGCACAATCGTCCAACGGCGAAAGCTGCTTTTGTGGCACTCTGGCACTTGGCCACCGAAGAACAGCGATCCTTCGCATCACGGCTTCCAGGATGCACTGGCAGATTTTCCAGAACTCACCGAGATAGCTACTTAATAGCTGCTTAGTTAGCCTGGAAAATGTTCAATTGACATAATATATCATATATCCCAATGAATTGTACCATTCAAGATGGAGATGTTTTTGTTATCCCAGGCATGGCGTGTTTGTGCGTGTACTGGTCATCATCAAACGCGCTCGTTTCATCGCCTGAGGTCAGCTTTGATGCTCAAGGATGACTGAATCAGCTCACAGCCAAGGGAGCACGGGTATCGACGTTCCCTCTGCTGGTCCCCGAGTTTTGCCTAGTTTTGAGATTTTGAGGAGGCTGATAGGAAACCTGAAACTGAAACGACAGATTGAAACGCATCTCAAGACGTAAAGACTTTATCCCGACCGATTCAACGATTCAAGTGTCAAAGTCTGCATTATCATCCTTTTGAAGCAGTTCTGGGACACCAGTCAGCTGACCTGATCATTCTGTGCAGATAAGCATCGTGAAAGTTGCAGCACTCCGTGCAGTTTGGCACACCCTGTATGCTCACTCCTTGTTTGAGTGCCAGAAGCAGGGGACTGCTTCGCACGTTCAGCTGCATGATGTATGAAAAGACTGTAGCACATCTGGCCTAGACCTGCTTTCTGTTCCGTCTGGTGGAGTTTGGCGCCGATTCCCCACCAAAAGATGGGACGTTCGCAGCACCAATAATTCACAGGACAGGAGGATTCCCGCGGCGCGGTCTGCTTCGGACTTGGAAAATCGCACAGGAGTTCTTCACATTGCAGAACATGATCCAATGATCGAAATCTATCCAACTCCGCATCCAGATTCGCGTGCATCCCGCAGTCCCGCAGTCCAGTGTTTATAATACCAGACTTTATCCAGTAGAATTTCATCGCTGGCAAGAGTGCAGCGAAGGAAGGAACTCGGATGGTCCTACGTATTGATACGTACTGTGCATTGAAAAACAGGCACTGCTCCCTCAATAGGCACGGCTAACGGGCATGTCCAAGTATGAAGGAGGACCAGCCGAGAAACCCAGCTTCCATGCAGCTCTCCGCGAGATTTTTATGACATTTGTGACATTATCATCCAAATATGCACTGAAAAACCATGGAAAACCTGAGAGAAGTCAGACCTTTCAGATGCTTGGATGATGATATCAGGATGATGACTTTAACAGTGATTTTAACATTTCAGAAATTGGCAACAACTTTGCCCGATGAGAGGAGATCTCTGAGATTCCCCCGAGCTATCCATGGATCCGCCTCGGCAGCGGCAAACTGGTTGTTTGATTCATAGAGGGCTGTACCACCAATTGAACAACCAATGGAATTCAATGGAACAAAACCTATCCCTCCAAAAGGACATCTGTCAGTTCACTAATTCACTAATTGTGCTGCACAATTGTCCAGGCGAGTCGTGTGACTAACAGTCAGTTGTGATGGCTCAGGGGTGTTTTCTCACCAATTCGGACATCGTTCGTTCTTCATGCGTTCTGTATTTCAAACCTGGCGTTGTGAAAAGGTTGATGATCACATGATTGCTTCTTAAAATGGGGGATCCCCAATAAGTCACCATAGGTTTCAATCCGAAAATGGTCATCATATGGCCATCCATGACTTGGATGATTTGGGGGTCGCCCTGGACATGGCTGATGTTGCCCTGTCAATGTAGCCAGGTCTTCCTCCGCAAGTTGCGGAGATGGGGTTCCTGGTACCGCTTTGATGGAGAGGAGATGGCACCGGCTTTGTGCCATCATATTGCCATCATTGTGCCATCATTGTGCCATCAAATCTGGTCCAATTTAAGGAGTTGCAGCTGCTGGAAAGCCTCAGGGAGAACTTTCGAGAGCTCTTGAATGCACTGGCACGACTGCGGGAGGACAGCTGACCTTTCCACTAATTTCACAAGACCTTTCCCGCTGTGTTTTGGACATGCAGTGGATGGGAAGAAATCTCCGAGGAGCTGGACTGTTTGGATGATGGGTCCTCATCCATGCCCCTGTCTGCCGCAGTGGAAGAGATGGCACCCTGGTTATTGCTGGCTTCCCAGGTGCAGGCGCAGCATGGCGCAGCTGTTTGCAGATCTTTAGGTCGTCCCAGGTCATCCCAGGTCGTCCCAGGTCGTCCCAGGTTGTCCCAGGTCGTCCCAGGTCATGTTAGGTCGTCCCAGGTTGTCCCAGGTTGTCCCAGGTCCCAGGTCCACGTGCCCACAGGCCACGGCCTCTGGATGGTGCCAAGTCTGTAGCCCCAGTGAAGCCCAGTGACAGCTGCAGGCACATACCAAGTCTCTAAGGCCCTGGCATCCGCAGAAGCTTCGCGTGAACAAGGTTCCCCTTCCAAACTTGTTTCTAAACTTGTTGATAAGGACAGAGCCAAGAGGGCGTGCAGACTTTATGTGGCCAGTCCGCATCTTGAGCCTGCATGTGAAAACAGGTATTCGGCTGGAAGCTGCTGTGGATTCAGAGAAGCTGGCTGATTTCGTGGAAGAGGCTGGCTCAAAGTCCATCAATCGAGCACATTTCGAAGCAGTCCACAAGGAGAGAACGATGATGAACGATGAGTGTGTGTGTGTGAGACACTAATTAATGATAATCCGATAGATTTTATCAATATTTGTCAGTATTTTTTTGCGTGAGATACTGTAATCCCACCATGTTAAAATATTTGGATACTGCGATGTACGACGGAGAAATCAATCAAATCTTGGGTGCACGATCTGTTTCTGTTCCCCTGGTGGCCATGCTTTGAAGCAACCCATAACATTATTTGATGGTCAACGGACTCAAAAATCATGGTCAAACCGTGTCAAACCCATGTCCCCACATGGGGTTCTTACCGTAAGGGTTAAGGCCTGGTGTTGATTCAAGGTGGTCGCATCCGTGTCCAGCAAATTAGGTGACCCTTACAGCGCAGGAGTTCCTTCTTCGCAGATGCGTTCTCACCTGCGTGCCGTGCTTGTTTTTTGACCCATGTCCATTTTTCATGGCGGGCGCTAGCCTTTCGGGACATTTTGCGGTCTGGAACGTCGGTTTGCGTGGCAGTTGCAGGACATCGGACAATTTGTCATCCGCGTGGCAGGCGTGGATCGAAATGAGAGGCGCTTTCGGAGGTCGTCTTTTGTGGCAAGCGTAATATTTGGTGAATTTGGACGATGTTTTGAAAGGCTCCAGAGTCTCTCGTTTTGTGAAACTGACGTCATGTTTGTTTTGGTGCATGGTCATCACTTTGGGCAAGCGCAAAACTTCAGATGCCTCAGGCTCATCTTCGTGGCAGGCGCAGTACTTCAGAGACGAGGAAAAAGGGCCCCGAGACCCAGGTAAAATATGGTAAAACTTCATGTTTGTGATGCGCGCACTGCTTGGTGAGATTCTAACATATGCTCGCACAACCCTTTCATCACATTGTGCGTGCCGGATCGCTATCCTCGTGCAACCTTCTCGGCACTTTGTGCTCTTGTTGTGGCGTGGGAGGAGATCTTGCACATAAGTAGGGAGATGCTTTATAGGGAGTTGGTGTGCTCTCCCATAGAGACCTTGTATATACAGAGATTTTGGATGGAGATCTCTTGTAGGGATCTTGCCAAGAGATCTCTCTTAGAGAGCTTTAAGAGATCTCCAAATAAGATCTATGCTCGAGCTCTCTATAAGAGAATGTCTTAGAAAGTCTGTTAATAAGAGACCTCTTGGCACGATCTCTGAAAGAGATCTCTATACCAGGTCTCTATACTCTATAAGAGGTCTCTTGGCAAAACCTGTGTGCAAAGTCTCAGCAAAAAATCGTTTGGCAAGACCCCGTATACAACGTCTGAAAAAGAGATCTCTTGGCTAGATCGCTGTAGGAGATCACTGCACCAGATCCTCGTAAGAGATCTCTTTACAAGATCTCTGCGCACGTTGCGCGATCTCTACAAGACGTCTCTTGGCAAAATCTCTGTACGAGGTCTCTGAAAGAGATCTGTTGGCAAGATCTTTGTAGAAGATCTCTGTACAATATAATTGTAAGAGATCTCATACAAGATCTCTGTACAAGGTCTCTACAAGAGGTCTCTTGGCAAGATCTCTTTTTTCACGACTTTGTGCAGAAAGGTCTTGCCTGGAGATCTCACATAGAGACTTGGTACATCTTGGTACAGAGATCTCGTCTGTATAGAGATCTCTTATTTCAGAGATCTTGACGAGATGTTTTGTAGCCCCGGGCTGGGGCCCCGGGAGGGGGGCGTAGCCATGGCCTGGCATGGCTGCGCGGGATCAGCCACCACAAAACTGTCCTGGTCCCTATACCGACCTGGGTCAGGAGCCACCAAAGCAGGATGCAATCCACGGCCCAAGGCCTTCACAGGCCTCCGAGCAAACGACATGCCCTACAACGTGCCGCATGGCCAGGAAATGGGAGCCACGCTCAGCGCCTTGCCGGCCTCCAAGGCAGTGCCATAGGGGCTCACCCAGCAACTTGCCAGTGGCAGCAACCCTTGCCAGGTCACCACCAAGGTGATCGCCATCCATGTCACGGTCAGCGGGGAGGTTTTTGTCCCAGGCTCTGTGCAGCCTTGCTTGGGTTTCGTCGCCGGGCTTGCCTACGCATGCCTTGCGACGCAATCTGGTGCGAATTTTGGGTCTGCGACGAGATGGGGAGCCTATCAAGTTCTCGCCTTGATGCTCCCACAGGATGTGAAGTTCGATTCTGCTTAGCCAATGCCAAGCTCTCGCTTCTTGGCTCTTTTGGCTTCTTGGCACATACTCGATCTTTGCGGACTACGCTCTGAGTGGCGTTTACCCAGGCTCTGTGCAGCCTTGCTTGGGTTCGCTCTGAGTGGCGATTCTCATCCCGCTAATGTCAAGCTTGGTGAATTTTCTCACCTGTGCGGGATTAGAGATATTGATATTGTATAGAGATCTCAGTCTCCTAGATCGATTTTGTCAAGAGATTTCTCATAGAGACCTCGTAGAGAGATCTTGTACAGAGATTTACCACAAAGATCTTGACGAAGGGACTCTATATACACAGGATCTCTTGCACAGGACTTCTGCAGTAGTCTGCAGAGATCCTGTCAAGGAGATCTCGCACAAGATCTTTTAAGCAGATATTCGCAAAAAGAGCTTGCAGAATCTACCCCGGCATCTCTTCGTCGTGTTCTTTGCAACACTGTTGGGGGTCTCTAGGTCGGGATAATTCATGATATTTCATGATTACGCCACACTACACCCATTTTGCATAGAGGGTTCTCAATTTTCCCTCAAACCCAGCCATTTCCCCAGGCGCTGACGGCGGAAACCTCCCTAGAGCGCGAAGTGCAGCGCTTTCAACAGCTGCGGCACCAAGCAGTGGCGCGCGCCAAGGCTTTCATTGAGGCCAGCACGTCGTTTTCACCGGTAAAATGTGGGATTTCACCTGGAAAAATGGTTGATTTCACCAGTAGCATATGGAATGTCGCCCGCTAGGATTGGGCCAGCGCATTTTTTTTTTTGGGGGGTGCCAGCAAAAAAAAACAGATTCAGCAATATTTTTTTGGGAAATTACCAGCAGCAGTTTGGATTAACCAGCAAAAACGTGGATCCGAACGGCAAAACGATTGGAATTTGCCGGTGGTTATTTGGATTCCACCAAAAATTGGGAATTCAACCAATAATGGTTAGGAGTTTGAGCAGCAAAAATTTTGATTTACTCCATGGTTGCCCCAGAATTGTCATTTGCCCTAAAATTGTCATGGATCATCCAAACTGGAAAATCACATGTGTTCACGAGAAATCCTCTATGAATGATGAATTGAGTTTTTCGTAGGTGGATCATTGCCATGGCATCGGAGGGTATTGGTCTGGAATGGTTGACCGTGGTGGACTGGAAGTGACCATTGATGAGCGTGGTGTTTGCTGTTTGTTCAGAGGTTGGTCCATTGGATCTCAAAAACAGCTGCAAGAGTGAACAGAGCGAGGGCTCAGACGGATAAGTACAACATGCAATCACATGCAATCACATTCAGACGCCGCTTTCAACGAAGACCCCTTCTCCTTTCTCAGGCAGGACCTTTGCTGGACTTTGAGCCTGAGGTGGGAGAAGATTACTGTAATCTTTTGTGCACGTTGCCGGGTGGACGGACTCAAGATTATATCCCGGGCACTAAACGACTCACAATTTGGAGCCCCAAATCCACCAATTGGACCCGCCGCCAGGACGAAGTGGCAGAAGGCATGGTGTCATGGCTTTGCCACGGTGGTTTTGAGTTTTTTTTTGGTTAAATACTGTATCACCTGAAATGGCGGTGATACTGTCACTCAAGCCCCGCAAAGGGTGAGTTTATGAAGGACAATATAGACGCATACAGCATAGCTGTTGAAGAGCCAAACGGTTTTTTTCAGGACTTGGGCTTGGGTACCAACAGACCTTCCCCTGGGTAAGATGTTGGCAATTCACATATTTTTTCATAGAGGAAGATGTTGGCAATTCACATATTTTTTCATAGAGGTTCCTCATTTGCAGGCATGAGGCTCCTGGACGATGCTCCACTGGAGAGCCTGGAGAGCCAAAAGTGAAATTGGAAGACTTCCGGTGCATGCAGAATCCGATTCATTCAGAGTCTGGAAAGATGTTGGCTTTCAGCTTAACCATTTTCAATTAGTCAGGTATTTGCTGATGATATTATTGTATAACTTACAACCATTCATGACCTAAATCGACGGCAGATGCCTTTTTTCTTTTAATATTGTATGTTTTTTTTGTAGTGACAGCCACTGCATCGCCATCTCACCAGTTGGCGGTTGTTTTTTTTTCCGGGTGACGTCCCCCCCCATGGAGATCCAAGCGTTAGGCAAGGCTGGTCTGCTAAGCAGGCCCCATGGGAGCTGGGTGAATTTGATGAACGGAATGTGCACTGCGGCCGTCGGTCACAAAACAAGTGAGTTCTATACTATTGTCCTTAGCAATTCCCCTAGTCATTGGGATTTCAATGGATTTCATAGTTTCATTCTTCCTGTTCATTTGATGTTTCCCGCAGATGATTGACCGACAGCCAGGTGTACCCAATTCTTTCGGTCCGTTCTTTTTGTTCATCAGCGCCACGCTATGATTTGCAGCCCAAAGAGTTGCTGAAACATTAGCGCTACGGAGTTGCTGGGGGTGATCCGGATGGGGTCTAACGCGTTCTCAATTCTTGCACGGAGTTCACTACTGACTTCAGGATAGTTGGTGTAGATTGCTGGAAATCTCAAGTCTTAGCCTTCCATGTTCCCCAACAGGAAAGAAGGATTGCATGGCACGGAAATCTGGAAACAGGCAGCACCCACTCTTGTTCGGAACACAGCCGCACATCATTGGGCCTGGAAGTCGAATGCCAAGGTGTCATTGTTTCATATTTGGGCCGGGAGGACCAATCGTTTCGTATCGTTTCGTAAGACCCGGCCATTCCATTAAATCCCTTGAGTTCACATCATTTCACATCCATCCGCGGGAGGCAATTGCAGTACTCGCCATGATGCCGGAAAGGACAGTGGCACCCGATACGGTTCGCTCAGTAGTGGCGGCTGGGTAGGGCTGGAATCTTGCAAGGTGACCCAACATCTCATGATATCTCATGGTTGATCATCGTTTTCCCCATCAAAGTAAAGAAACAAAAGGATCTCACCAATTCTTGGGGCAAACGTCCATGCTGCACGCTCCGAAAAACGCAGCTGCACCATGCTGCACAAATGAGAGTTGTTCAATGGGGGTAACTGGACATTGGTTTTCAGATGCGATCTGTAGAGTTTGGTGGCCTGGTTCAAGGACTCACTGGGCAAATTGTGGAGACATCAAAATCAAGTCACTTTCAAAAACGGTGCGCATTTGGATCCTGGGACCTGTTCGTCGCATCACCCGCGCCGGAGCGCCGGTGCGCCATGTGGATTGGTGGCCGAAAGGGTAGGATAGGCCGGTGAGATCCGCGTGTCGTGAAGTTGCCCTTGTACTCTAGCTTGCAGGATTGATGATGTCATAAGGTCAGAAGAGTCCTTTTAGAAAAACTGAAGGGGTCGAATTATATACCTTGCTCTAGCTCTAGTTTGCTATCGGGAACATGTTTGAGGACTTGTTTCTCCATCAAGCAAAACTGTAGGAGTTGCACTGTTGGAGCAAGACTCTGCCATGGTCAATCACACAGTGCAAATTGCTAATACTTGATGTTTGCGTCTTTTTCGTTGGCGACAACTCGCAACTGGAAGATCGATGGCTACCACATGACTTATGATTGCATGTTATAGCATGTTATATCAATAATATCCATGTTCTTAACATTTCCTAGGCATATTGATGGTTATTCCTCCAACTATAGTGATGGTACACATGAGTCGAGTTATCCTTCACTGCAGGCCTTCAAGGTGGAAGTCCTGGAAATGCCGCGGAGCTCAGACATTTTGCTCGGAAAGGGCAAACGACAAACGACGGGCTCCAAATAAGCTCAGAGTATAAAGGTGGTTAGTTAATTAGTTGATGTTAGTTAAGGTGCCCTTTTGAAGATTTTGAAGGTTGTGATTAGTGGAAAAAAAGAGACCATTTATGCTTACTTCAGGTGCAGGAAATGAGGGCTTGCATGGCATCATGAGAGGATTCATCAACGGCCGTGGGAAGGTGCCCATTCTCATGTTTCACCCATTTTTCCGAGGCCAATTGAGACTTTATTCGTGCTTCAAAAAAACACCACCAACTTGAGACTTTGTCAATTTGCAGATCATTTCACAAAAGCTTGAGATTTCGCGAGTTCGCTGCAGTGTTGCCTTTTTTGAGCCGTAACCGGTTGAGGTTCGCGCCCATTCCGGAGATTTGCCCATCGCCCCTGAGTCTGGCGGTGCAGGGCCAGGGCGTCGAAATCTCTACGCCCGGCGACCTGGGTTTCCATAGGGGATACCGCAGCTGGATGATTTATATTGGAAAATCACAAGCAATGGATGATTTTTAGGGTACCCATTTTCTTAAGGAAATACCAAGATATGATATAGTTGGTGTAGTTCTAAGATGTGACCGCAATCTTCAGCATTATAGATGTTAGAAATTTGTGCATCTCTGATAAGTGTTCCATACCAGCGATACGAACCATGCATGCAATGATATTCAATGCATTTTCTTGCATTTTCCATATCATCCCGGCCAAAATTTGGAGGGATATCCCCAGTACTGCAAGAGAACCAAGCCCATGAATATATTAATTGAGCCACTAAACAATATCATAATATCACCAATACCCCTTTCGATAGGTTCAAAACCAGGGGGTTATGAACCTAACTGGTTTCTTGGGGAGTATGAAATAATTCTGATTCAGGGGATACCAGCTGGCATAGTGGGAGGATAATCCAAGGAATTTCCAAGGTAGGTATCCAATTTCTGAGCTTCCCCCCACTTGTACGCTTATTTTACTTGATTTTACCCAACTGGGTAAGAAGGGGAACAACTCTGATAACCCCTGGTTTCATCATTAATCAGCAGTCAAGGCCATGTTGCTGAAGGGTGCTGGAGAAGGCTGGTGAGGAAGAAACAGTCCGATGGTTAAGAAAAGTAATGTACAGATATGTCGTTGGTGTGCAAAATGTCAGACATGCCAATACTCATATTTGTACAAATTGTTGTACAAAGGAGTCGGAAAAGTCGCACAGTTGTCGTCCAAAATCGGAGCTAGCTGCTCCAGGTATGGCTGGAGCACACTTGGAAGTGCACCTTTGCTGCAGTCAACTGGTGTGTCTAATGCGCGCGGTGTAGATCGAAATTTTGTTCCACGGATTCCTCCGCTTTTCAGGAAACCAAACGCATGGAAGAGCGCCTCAAACTTTGTGGTGGGTCAGTCGGGGGGTTCAGTCCAGCCCCCACGTGCTCCACCACCAGACTTCCCGTGCGGGAGCCTGGGCAGTTGCTGGATGCTGTCGAGGTTTGTTTGATTCTTCCGTAAATATCCGTAAATAGATAATAAATAATGATACAAATATTTAATAAATAAATAAATAAATGGGCTGACGCCCTGGTGCCGCCAACCCTGTAAAACATGTTTGACAAGGCTTGGCAGGTAGGGCTTTGTAGAACCAAAGTGGCAAACAACAGTTGACTCTTCGAAGGCGTGACAGTGCGGGGAACGAAAGGTGGCAAACGGCTCTTTCGACACTTTTAAGGAGTCAGCTAAGCGGGGCCGTGTAGAAGCAAAGGTAGCAGTTGGTAGTGTGGAACCGCTTTAGAAACAGTGAAGAGCTTGTTTGGGTAGCGTTCAGCGGCTTGGATTGCAGCCTTGCATTGCAGCCTTGCATTGCAGCCTTGCATTGCAGCCTTGGCAACGGTGCCTAACGCTGCAGCGGAGGGTTTAACACCTTTAAAGGCCGCCGAAACGTTCCACATGGCAGTTTCGAACCGCTATAGAAACAGTGAAAAGGGCTTGTGTGGGCATCGTGCTGCAGCTTGGGTTGCAGCCTTGCAGCCTTGGCAACGGTGACTATAACTCTGCAGCGGAGGGTTTGAGACCTTTAGAGGGTGCACATGACAGTTTTGAACTGCTATAGAAACAGTGAATGGCTTGTTTGGGCAGCGTTCAGCGGCTTGAGTTGCAGCCTTGCAGCCTTGGCAACGGTGCCTAAAACTCTGCAGCGGAGGGTTTGACACCTTTAAAGGGTGCCGAAACGTGCCATATGATGGCAGTTTCGAAGCGCTATTATAGAAACAGTAGCGAGCTTGTTTAGGCAGCGTGCTGCGGCTTGGGTTGCAGCCTTGCAGCCCTGGCAACGGGGCCTAACGCTGCAGCGGTGCCGAAACATGCTACATGGATGTTTCGAACGGCTACATCTGCAAAATTTAGAGCGAGGTCAGCCGAGGTGCGAGGTAGACTTAGCAAATTAACGAGGTGAATTGACTAATTCACTTCCCACGAGGTGATGCCTTGGCTTGCTTTTGGAGTGGACGATGGACCAGAAAAAAATCAGAGGCTGAAAAGTTTTTTTCTGGTTGGTTGGTCGCAGTTGCAATGCTTCTGTCAAGTTCCGAGGGGAAAAAACTTTTCAGCCTGTGAAAAGTTTCTTTTTGCGCATATTTCTTCAGCCACAGCATTTGGCGGAGGGCTAGGGAGCAAGCATTGCACTAGCGTGCCATGGCTTTGCGAGTGCTGGTGCGGTAAGATTTGGGAGTGCTTTAAGTCTCCTGATGCCCCCTTTGGCACCATTCTGGATGAGTATGCTTTGCGAGATGGATGGCATCCTTCCTGCTACAGGGAACACCCCCAATGTTCCACAGGGAACATCCCCAAAGGGGGTATCAGGAGACTTAAAAGCACTCCCAAGTGTGACTGCACCAGCACTCGCAAAGCCATGGCACGCTAGTGCAATGCTCCGTAGCCCTTAGCCCACTGCTGTGGACGAAGAAATATGCGGAAAAAACTTTTCACAGGCTGAAAAGTTTTTTCCCCTCGGGACTTGATAGAAGCATTGCAACTGTGACCAGCCAACCAGAAAAAACTTTTCAGCCTCTGAAAAGTATTTTTTTTTGAAAGAGCACCGCCGTGATGTGTTAGGTAAAGGAACGAGCCCAGTACTTCCCAAAAGTAGAATTAACGAGGCGCGGTGAAACGTCACACATGCGAATTAACAACGAGGTGACGAGGCGCAAATTATTGCAAATTGCCCAGCTACATGGCAGTGTCGGTCCCGTATAGAAACAGTTTGTATGGATATGGAACATGTTTGGAGATGTCGCACGCCTGGATATTGGAACATGTTAGATGTCACACACCTGCGGTGATCCCGGGCGCCGCCTCACCTAAGCCAATGCTAAGCAAGGGTCGGCGTATATATATATATAATATAATTAGATGGATATATATATATATAATACATATATAACTATATATATAAAAATTAGATGGATATATATATAATACACATATGACTATATATATATATAATTTTAAACACATACATCACATACACATACATAATATATACACGACGTATCATCTATGCACATGCTACGACACATATAATATAATCCTGATAATGACGCTAGTAGAAATAGTTAGAATAGCATAAATGGTAATAAGGCATATGTAGTTGTCGCATGCGCGTGTGCAGCCTCTCTCTCTCTCTCTGTAATATGTATATATTTATATGCACAGTGATACAGTGTGTATATAGTGCATATATGTATCTAATGTAACAGAGTGTTGATGCTATTGTACATAATGTTTTGTCATGGTATGGCATGGTGTGGGTTGGTATGACATGAATGTTATGTATGTTATGTATGTGATGTCTGTTATGTATGTTATGTATGTGATGATGACGTGATGCGATGCAAATCGATGTGATATGATGTGATGTGATATGATGGAATGCCATGTCATGTGATGTCACGTCACGTCATGTAATGAGATGCAATGCATGTAATGCAGTGCAATGCATGCATGATGTATGCATGTGTATGATACACACACATACACTATGTATATTTTAACACATACGTACATATGAACAACCGTCAAAACTCGCGTTATGGAAGATATGTATTCGCTGGACATTGGTTGTCATAAAATGCAAAAAACTGAGGTTAGCGATGGGACCTTTCCAAATAGCGATACCCCCATTTGAGATGTTTCATCTGCGCCCCACAGTTTTGGGCTCGGGGTTAGTTGCGCAAAGCACTGTTGTTGCTATGTGTTTCAAGTACAATCTGTTTTGAGCCTTCTTTTGGATGTCTTAAGAACTAGGTAGCCCCCTAACAGGCCCCAAAAGAGGTCTGAAACCAGTTCGAAACATCTTCCTGCTCACCGTCTCAAGACTTCTTCTTTGTCTCTGTCTCTTTCTCCCTTCTCTTCTTTCTTTTCTCGTTCTTTCCTGTTTTTTCTCCAAAGCTGAGGTAGCCTAAGGACAAAAAGAGGTCTGAAACCACTCTGAAACACCCGCTGCTCACCATTTACAACGCTCTCTCTCTCCTCTCCCTCTTCCTCTCTCTCTCTCTCTCTCTCTCGCCTTCTGTTTGTCTCCATGTCTGTCTCGTGCTATCCTCTTTTCCGGACCGCTGCATGTGTTTCAAGTACAATCTGTTTTGAGCCTTCTTTTGGATGTCTTAAGAACTAGGTAGCCCCATAACAGGCCCCAAAGGAGGTCTGAAACCAGTTCGAAACATCTTCCTGCTCACCGTCTCAAGACTTCTTCTTTGTCTCTGTCTCTTTCTCCCTTCTCTTCTTTCTTTTCTCGTTCTTTCCTGTTTTTTCTCCAAAGCTGAGGTAGCCTAAGGACAAAAAGAGGTCTGAAACCACTCTGAAACACCCCGCTGCTCACCATTTACAACGCTCTCTCTCTCTCTCGCCTTCTATTTTTCTCCATCCCTGTCTCGTGCTATCCTCTTTTCCGGACCGCTGCATGTCTTTCCGGGCCGCAATGTCTACAATTAGAGTACGTTTTGGGTGCTTGCAAAGCAGCTCCTCCAGCAGTTCTTCTTCAGATTCATCCAGCTCAGAGAGGTGAAAGCTCGGAGCAGCTGCTTTCTTCATGAACGTGATACCTACTTTAATTGGGTTTAGTATTAGCGATACCCCCCTCCAAACTAATGAAAGCAATGATATGTAAATTGTTACGGGACTGTGGTTAGCGATGGGACCTTTCCAAATTATGTTGATGTCCTTTCCTCAGACAAGGAGTTTCGACAGCCGCACATATATGTACATATATGTATGCTACATGAATTTAAAGTGTATTGTATACATGCATTCCTAGGTTCGTACGAGTTTCGAAGATTGACACTTGTGGTGCAGAGTTGCCCCGAGAATGCACCATCATGTTTGAGTCTTTGAGCGTGGTTGCGCCTTTTGCCTAGGCCGTGGGTTCACGTCGACTCCCATTTGTGCTACAAGGCTTGGTTTTGTTCCACACTTCTTCCATGAATGGAAAGAAGTCAGCACCGAAGTCGACGCACCGGGTGCAATCGCTCTGATCAGTGCAGGCAACATCTGGTAAGACCATGGAAGTCATTGTGAAAGAGATTTCAGTGGACAAGGGCAGTGACTTGACGTTGGTTTTTTTGTTCGCATGGTTTCGGGAGGGGCACCAGCGAAGCTCTGAAATTTAATCAGAATATCAATCAGCAACAATTTTGACAGTACGTGTATGTGTGTTTAGATATGTATATATATATGTACATAATATGCATTGCAACTGATATTACCAATACCATTACCACAACCAACAGCAAGGGGGAATACAACAAGTACTTTTATTGTTTGATGGTCAACACTGTTTTTTCGACACTGCCTTTAGCCATCAATGCATTAGATGGTTTGCTGGCTTTGCGTTACAGACAGGTTTGCGTACCAGGGACTATGATACCGGTCTTTATATCATAATATGATTAAAATATTTTTTCATATATATATAATATCATTTTGTACGTATAAAAAATAAATATATATAAATGATTAAATATGATATGTGACTTACTTATGATCTATTATTTGCGATCTCTATCGACCTGATGTATGATATATGATATGAAACGATACAATATGAACTGATATGGTATGATATGACAACCTGTCTAACATTTTGATATGTATACAGTATATGGCTAGAACATGTCTGGAATGGGCATCTCTGTGCTTTTCAAAACATCGCGATTCGCTGTGACAGCGAGACTCGCTGGTCGGGACACCCGAAGTTGCCTTTTTGATGTCGGAGAATTGTGTATACGTGGGAAGCGTGCTTGTGTGTATGTGCGTGTCTAAATATGAGCACATATTGACACATGCACAGAAAGTGTGTAGTGTGTATGTATAATATATATATATATATTAAAATGTATATATACATACACATGTATACAACAAATGTATGAATCTGTATGAATCTGTATGAATATACGTGTAAAATCAGAGTATTGCACATGGTGACTTGTTTTCGTTGCCCCCATTTTGACTCGGCCGAGGTGTGAAGATTGTTTTTGCCGAGAACGAAAAGATTTGGAAAACCATCCCTATCAGCACTATCACCAGCAAGGCGGCGTCCAGCAATCGATTTCCGTTGAAAGGTAACATTGAGGCCCAGTTGTCCCATTTTGTTTGGTGTTTCCGATAGCTGTTCAATTTTGGATATTCACAAGGCAAAACAGTTAGAGATCCATTCTTTTCAATTTCTTCAACACATCCAAAAATACCCATGTTTTTCCTAAGAATTGAGAGGAACATGAGGAAACAAATGACTGCCATGCCACGCCATGCCCGTTCAGGACAATCCCTTGCTGGGCCAATGGGGCGCTGAGCAACGGGACCGTAGTCGTTCACCTGCCCGCTAGACAGCCGCAAAACCAGGAAGTTTGCGGAGAGTGGATTTGATGTTTAAACTCTTCGGTACGGGACACAAAGCAAAAAAAAATAAAATAAAAACAGGTTCAACATGCTTCAACAACCTTCAGTGATACTACCACCAGATAATGGCCCTGCTGTTTTGATGCGGGCAAAGATGTGCTCCGATGAGTGGGTAATTGGTGGTGTTTTCCTCCGATTTCACAGGCCTTGGTCCAGCAAGACCTGTTCGGAACTTGCACGGTCTGAGAGTATGTGCCAAGAGGTTGCGATTCTACAACCATTGAACCATCCAGAAAGTATAGAGTATAGAGTTGAGGCAAATTAAATCACTGTGATTGGCGTTTATTTCCAACGTCTCTAAATGACTTTATCAAGGAGACCCAAATATTCGGTGTATCTCGGTGCCTTTTTTGGATCTCATAGTTGGTGTTCTTGGAGGGTCCCAGCAAGCCGCGACTGTGGGGCCGGGATCGGCAGATGATCGAAAGACGCTTAAAGAAAAAGAACCGGTCAGACTGGTTTTGCCCTGCTAATCCTGCTGAAGTGATGGTTGATGTATGTGGATGGTGAGGATCTCATCAAAAATGATCATTTCCTTAGAACATAATGCTTGCTTCTGATTGTTCTTGGGGACATCATCAAAATAGCTTCGGCCTTTGGAAGTTCTTGTAAGTTATATATATATATGTGATCCAGCTATGTTTACCGCAACAAGAAGAAAGCCTCTAGGTCTCCGACACTGCAACGATATCCTCGCTGGATTGGTACTGTCCTGTCTGCAAGGAAAGCAGTGTCAGAAACACAATCACCTCAGCCATGAAATGGTTCAGCACGATATTCGGAGGTGTAAACTGTTGCAACAGAGGTACCGCGATGAAACTGAATGAAACACGAATCACAAGTACCGTCTGAAGAGATCTGACCATTGGGCAGTATCATAGATGATAATAGCATATGATAGAGTACAATATAGTACCCATTTTTGGCAAGTCGATTTAGTGTTGTTGGATATCCCGATTGCTCGGTTTGAACACAGCGATTTCACGATTAATGGTCATTGGAGTATGCCGTCTGCTGACAGTGAGATCAGGTCCAGTGGATGATGCGCAACTTTTCCGCTCTGCATGAAAAAGAAACAAGTTTTGGAAGAGTTGCGGAAACTACCAGAAGAGATGCTGAAAGCCTTTGCTCAGTTCTTGTGGAAGCTGAACAAACAGTGTTTGCGCGTGCCAGACATGCTTGCCCTGCAAGATGGCCGGGTTGGTCAGGCCGGGTCAAGAAAAAACCAGGAGACGAAGGTGCCCAACCCTCCCAAACCTCCCAAGTAGAGGTGCGCACAGGTGGAAATGAGCACGCTTCTGTTGGGAGAAAGGGGAACGTCATACAGCAATGAGTTGTATTTTGCAAGCGTTTGCTTGTTTAGAGGCTTCACAGCCAAAGGGCAGTCCGTGAGAGATCTGATCTCGATATAGCTGTCCATATGTATATCAGCCTGGGGCAGATGCGCAGACAAATAGCAGCGGGTTTGGCACAAGGCAAGGACTCAAGCAGTTGGTGCGGGATGCTATTGATGCCGTCCAAGGCGAGCGATCCGCTGCAGGTGCTGTGGAGTTGCGTTTGCCCTTCCCATCTTTCTGTGGGCGCAGCTTAACACGGACGGTTCATGATTTGGACACCGCCATCCAAGATTGGATGGGGCAACATGGAAAGCCGCTGGCCCTTGCAAGGGTCAAAAGCAGACGCTTGCGAGCCATGGTCGAGTCCCTGCACAGACAGCTTTCCAGAAGATTCGGAGACTTGGGGTGTTCCTGAGCTGTCTGCAGGTTTGCAACTGAGCAGCTTTCAATCAGCTGACGATAGCCTTTGTGTGACTCTTCGCTTGTCTGATGGTTCTGAGGCGGTGGGTTTAAAACGGTGGCTGCATGATGCTACATGTTACATGCATGTAGATCATATAGTGGAAATCAAGTCACGCACACATGAATATCTAAAAAGGTCCGTTCTCAAATACCATCTTTTGATATCTTTTGATCTGTTTTGGGATACAGGGATTGCCTTGGTGTGGTTCTTGGTCAACCATCGAGTCGCCGAACAAAATTCCTGACAGGCAGTGGGTTCCTATCGCCAGGATTTCCAGCAGCCCCTCCAAAAACTCAAGGAGCTGAGAGCCTTGCACCAGCTGCGAGGGGATGAGGTTTTCAAAGCAGCGAGGATCGGGAGGATCTGGAAGCTTGAAGAACTGATCAGCCTCAACTGGGGTATCCAATTGGTGGCCTTTAGCCCATGCTCATACTCACCAGTTGCCAGAGATCGTCCTCCAAGTGGTGTCAAACCGTACCTGACTCGATTCCACTGGAGAAACGGAGCATGGCACTGGATCCACACGTGAAAAGGGCGAGATGAAAGATGATGAATCAACAAAAACCTTGGATTTCGCTAACATCTCACAGACATCCTGATGTTGGGGAAGTAAGACAGCGACATAGTAGTATATTAATATTGCATAATATTGCCATATATAATATATATATATATATCCTCATATATTGCCATGTTGCTTCTGGAATATCAGGAACTCTTTGATTTAGATCCGAATTGAGCAACTGGCATGGGCAAAATCTGGAATTGGAATGTCAATGTTCATATTTTAGATGAACCCACCACTTCGTTGTCCATTCCTCTTTCAGAACGCTGGATCAGAAGCCAAATCGACTTAGATCCTCCAATTTGGTGAAGCCCATGAACTCTCAAATCTTCGTCACTGTTGATGTTGACCATCCACTTGTTTGTATCAATTTGATCCAACCCCATAGCAAGCAAGAGAGTAAGACAATTAGGTAGATAGGTACTTCGATAGATTAGATAATGTTATATAGATCATCAGATAGCTTACCCTCTGGTGAATTAACATAGGCCCTGAAAACCACCAATTTTTAGTCGAAACTAATCTTCCAACTCCTGTTTGGGAGGGTCTATATTAATTTACTGGAGGTAGATACGTTGGATAGGTTCGATTAGATTGGAATTGATTAGGTTAGATGCACTAGATGAATCAGATAAAGTAGATGAACGAGATGAACTAGATGAACTAGATGCATTAGATGAGTCAGATGAAGTAGATGAACTAGATAGATAAGATTAGATTGAAGTTGGATTGGATTAGATCAGATGGATACATGGATCATTCAGCTGTCATCTCGCGCCCAGGTCTCTTACAACGCAGCGGCTCTCGTCTCAGCGGCTGGTTTGAAGTTCTGCCAGCGGCTGATTTCTGCCAGCCGAGGTCACAGCGTGTGCTCGAGAGCAGCAGTGGATGTACAGCCCTGATTTTACAACATCCTTCAACTCCAATTACCTGGCTTGTTTGATGATTTGATGCAAAGGATGTGCACGAATCACATATCTCTCCAAGGGATATCAATGATTCCATGTATGCATGTATATACATAATACCTATATAATATATATATATATATTATAATAGTAATAATAGCAGTAATATACAACATGGAGAATATACAAACATATAACATATACTAATATATATATATATATATATATATATATTAGTAGTTGGCCATATACCCAAAAGCGAGATCTTCCCTTTGTGGCCATTGAGGCAGGCCCTGTGGCTCTGGGAGGAAATGCTTCAAGGCCAGGAATCGGACTGGTGAAATGACCATGTTGGAGGTACCCTTCGGTCAAATATGGCACTTGAAATTCCACCAAAACTGGAAGTGTTACTGGGAAAATCCTTTGATGGAGTATGTTCTATTGCCACGTGTGACACCAGCGGGTACACATCATTCATGTCAAATCATCTCCAGCTATCTTCCTGATTTTCCTGACATGTTCCGTTTTTTTGCCTTTCACCAACTTCCATGATGGATGACAACTCCGATGCACAGCAAGTTTTTGGCAGAGTGGTCTAGGTGGAATGGCAGATGTGATCACCTTCAATGCCGCTTTGAGTCGCGCGCTCGGAAAGTTGCGACCGGAAACCACTGGAGTCACTAGGGTTCGTAGGGTTGTCTCAAGTCATGGGAATCATTTGCCACTCAAAATTGTAATCCAAAACCACTGAAGATGATCATCAAAAGACGATCCACATCAAGTTGCACCGGAGGAGTTGGGATTTTATGGGATTTCATGGGATTTCCAGATTTTCATACCCCCCCCCACAGCTGAATCTTTGTTGCTGGATGCGATTTTTTCAGAGCATCCCTCGCCATCAGGCGCATGTGTGAATCGCTCAGACTTTGCCTTCCAGATCTTCCAGGTGACCGATCTCAGGAATCCCCAAGATTCATTGAGTTTCCAGGCTTTCACAAGTTGCAGTATCAAATTTGAGGATCAAAATATATCAAAATGGAGCAACATGAATCCATCTATGTCCATCTATGTCCATCTATGTCCATCTATGTCCATCTATGTCCATCTATGTCCATCTATGTCCTATGTCTCCAGAAATTGTCACCTTGGGAATCTATCCTGGATCCAAAAATCATCCCCATGTGCAGCTTCCCTCAGGAGATGGAGATGCGGCAACTGGATCCGGTGCCTCAACGGATTCCCCAGAAACTCGAGTTTGGATCGATAGGATCATGAGATATAACAGGATTTTAATGGGATATAACTTATATGATATAACCATCATGTATAATGCGATATAATGGGAGTAGGATTTTCATGGGATATACTATGGATATAATGACAGTATCCAAAAGTATCCCATGTCGTTCAGATGGATTTGCAGGTGTTTTGGAGGTTTCGTAAAAATACGAACAACAAGGTGAACAAAAACTTGCTGCTTGGCGACCGAAACAAAACCAGTGCGGTCTTCTTCATGGTCATTGACGATCAAGTCGATCAAGTTCAAGTCAATGGATGTAAAAGGACCTTTAAATGGATGTACATGTAAATATTAGTTGAGGACTCCCAAATACTTCCAATCTATCACTTTTTTGCTGAAGCAGTGGCAGCAGCTGTTTCAGGACCGAGTCAGCTTCAACGCTATGCTAAGTGCCGCAGGCCCAGGCCGTGGCGAATCCTGAATTCAACAGCTGGCAATGGGAACGACAGGCCAGTGGGAACAGGTCCTGAAGCTCTTGGGAAAGATGCCTCTTGGGTTCAACTTGGGGTCCGGATGGAGGGCTAAAAAAAGCAACCATCAGAAGTGTGGATATACATGGCTGGATATACAATAAACCATTTCATCGGGATATATATATATTGGGATGATATATCCAACATGGTTTGGCTCGTCCAATAAGGATAATTGCCATTCAATCATGGAAAAGAATGATACTGTGGGGGTTACCCTGCAGCACTGAGGCGGCATTCCAGGTATGAACCCGACAACATCAGCTGCAGCGCAGCTGTGCTGGGCTGTGTGAGACACTCGGAGACAGCGCGGAGAATTCCGGCGGTCCATTCCGGTCCATTCCCAGCCAGGCGAGAAGTCAAAGCTGGGCTCACAGCTGAGATTGGAGACAACTTGTGCTAGCGAGTGGTGGAATGACCGGTGGTTTATTCACGGTGTCCGAAGGAAGTGGCGCTCTCCATTTTCTTTGACCTTGTAAGAGGCAGGACACATGCTTTGGACGAAACAGTGCAAAAACGTATCATGGCATATCATGGCAAAGCTGGAAGGAGTTTCGAACGTATTGGAAGACCCCAGGCTTGGCTAGACCTGTCCACTAGGCTTGTATTTTATGTATTTTATGTATTTTATGTATTTTATGTATTTTAGTTTTTTGCTTTAAAAACTGCGTTTAGTGAATTGAATAATTGATGTGAATCATCTCGGAGACTTCACCGTGTCAGGGGCCGATATGGTGGCGTGGAATTCTGCCTTGAAAGCGGCACCAAACTGGGCGGCTCGGCGGCTCTGCGAAGGTATCCTGCTGTTCACGTCAATGTTCAGCGGCTAGTTATGAATTTCATCCAAGATTCATCCACCCATTGAGACCCATTGGTCCAAACATTACAATATTGAAACTTAAAGGTTTCAAATGGTGTTTATCCACATTTTGATAGGGGGTCAATACCGAATAATCTCAGAGTTGGGCTGTCGCTCGCATCCCTCGTGACGACTATTCTTTCTGACCAGATGATTACAAAGGTAGCAGGGTTTCGACCTATACACACATCCTAAAAGACTCTTGCAATTTTTATTTGAACTTGGCTTCCCAGTCCTGTTCAGAAGATTCAGAATATATAAACTTGGCCTTGTGGTACCTGACTCGTTTTTTCTGTTTGGGTCTAATCAAGTTGTAAGATTTGTAACACATACTGGTACCATGATGCATCTGGGAATGAACTGATCAGCGAATCACTAGGAGATGGCAGTGGCTTTGTTGCAGCAAATGCGAAAGGTGGGAAGTGTGCAAGCAGGAGACCAGGTGAACATCTTTGGGGCACTAGATTTCTGGCAGCCAATCCATGCCCAGTTAGGACTTGATATTTCTTGATATTTCTGGTCAAAAGTTTTGGGATTCACACTATTTGGCTGCTTTTGAATTCCTGTAACTCTTGCGCCATGATATTTAACATGAGGCATTTGGACCTGATCAGTTTTCTCAGCCACGGCACCACAGCACCACAGCTTTTGTGGCAGGTCTATCTGCAGCCTGATTTGGTGGCATGTTCGACCGCCATCTCCAGATGTGCGGAGGAGTGCCCGGGGGAACTGAGTCGTGTTTCATGCCAATGACTTGTCAAGGTGAGATTCACCAACAAAATGAGGACTGAGGTGAGTAAACTAAACTAACCATTTTATGGAACTTCACTATGGACAAACGATATAAATGAATATGACCATTTGTCAAAAATAGTTGTTTAGAAGTTTAGTATTGGTTGTTGATAATTCATCTGGGTCTACTGTTTTTTCCTCTTCGTTATGAGGCGGCACGCAACTAAATTCAGCAATTCTGCAAGGCAGCGCTAGCAAACCCGCTAGGTTTGCGCTAGGTTTGATTGACAGCCATGGCCTCCATGTCGTGAATGTCTTGCCAGCTTTTCTTACAAGTCTGTCAGTTTCCACATATTCCCAAATTTTTTTTTTTTTTTACGTATTTTACGCGCTAGATCGCCGCTAGCAACGCGCTAGCGAAAATTGCAAATACATGCCCCGGTCCACCCGCAGCCCATTCAGAGGCACAGCCATGTTCACGCTTTGGTAGCTTACAGTAAGGAAACAGCGTTGATCAGGAGGCATGCCAAGAAGCATATTGCATTCAGAGAGGCACACACACAGAGACACACAGTTCAGGAGATAGTACCAGCGACAGCGAATGAAAACCGACGTGCGTTAGCCGATTCCTGTGGTTTTAGAAAGATTTTCAAAGGTAACGAAGAATTTCCACGTTTTCACGTCATCAAGGTAGGTCATGTTTTTTTAAGGCAAACATGAGGCGGCACGCATGGAATTGCGATTTATGAACAAAACCGGGAACAGACATTTTGACAAACCGGCATATATATATATAATCCTCCTTGGAATTATCTCTATAGAATACAGAACCTGGGCATACGATTCTATAGAGATGAAGTTGGTAGGCCAGTGTCTACTATAGAATGGTACCTGGATTGCGCCCATCCAGTTTTGGGAAAAAAACGTATCCAAAAATGATACCAAACTTGAGACATTGCAAACCCAGTTTTCTATTCTATAGGGGGTCTTTTTCCTAATCACTTGGACTAAGTTTTTCATTTTATAGTGGATTATTTGTTAGAAGCAGTGGCCAGTATGAGGCTGGGCTTTCATTTTATAGGAGTGGCAAAATCTTGCAGATGCCCTTGTGGGATTCACTGGGATAACAAGTGGAAAGCCTTGACACAGATCTGATACATTTTGGTACATCTAGGCAATTCTAGGTACTGGCCTAAGCCTAAGCATCCCTGGGATACCCTGGGCAAATGTCAGAGTGCTGCCTATTTTTTTACCAGTTCCTGTGCAGTCAGTCAGGAATTCATTCTATAGGGATGGCATTTGGTAGATTTCACGCCTCTCCACATGGAAACCCATTCTATAGGATCAACATGTCCCCCACCTTTTGCTGCGTTTGTCAAGAAATCTCATAGAATTGGGTGAAATTGGCATGACCTTTCATGAACTCGTTGCTGGCTTGGACGCCGGCTCCGGCTTCACAGACGCTGACGACCCAGGAGCTGCAGCCGGTGCAGGGAGAGCCTCAGATCAGCACGCTGTGAACAGATTTCATTCATCTTCACCCTATTTCTGGAAAAACACATGCATATTCATGCCTTTATGTCGTGTTTAATGCCTATAAAATGAAAACCTGACAGAATCCTGCAGATGCCTTTGGGATCCTTTGGGGTCCCCCTAGGATAACACTTGAAAAGAATTGACGCAGATCTGGTAGATCTAGGCAATTCTAGGTACTGGCCTAAGCATCCCTGGGATACCCTGGGCACATGTCAGAGTGCTGCCTATTCTTTACCAGTTCCTGCGAAGTCAGTCAGGAATTCATTCTATAGGGATGGCATTTGGTGCTTTTCATGCCTCTCCACATGGAAACCCATTCTATAGGATCAACATGTCCCCCACCTTTTGCTGCGTTTGTCAAGAAATCTCATAGAATTGGATGAAATTGGCATGACCTTTCATGAACTCGTTGCTGGCTTGGACGCCGGCTCCGGCTTCACAGACGCTGACGACCCAGGAGCTGCAGCCGGTGCACGGAGAGCCTCAGATCAGCACGCTGTGAACAGATTTCATTCATCTTCACCCTATTTCTGGAAAAACACATGCATATTCATGCCTTTATGTCGTGTTTAATGCCTATAAAATGAAAACCTGACAGAATCCTGCAGATGCCTTTGGGATCCTTTGGGGTCCCCTAGGATAACACTTGAAAAGAATTGACGCAGATCTGGTAGATCTAGGCAATTCTAGGTACTGGCCTAAGCATCCATGGGATACCCTGGGCACATGTCAGAGTGCTGCCTATTCTTTACCAGTTCCTGCGAAGTCAGTCAGGAATTCATTCTATAGGGATGGCATTTGGTGGTTTTCATGCCTCTCCACATGGAAACCCATTCTATAGGATCAACATTTCCCCCTAGCTTTGCTGAATGTCTCATGAAATCCCATTGAATTGGGTGGAATTGGCACGGCCTATCATGAACTCGTTACCCTTCAGCCACTCGGCATCTAGCAGAAGAGACCAAACGTTGCTGAATCATGGTGCTTGAATAATCTTAAAGATACTTGATCTTTATCCATGATTCAGCCACGATGCCGAGTGGCTGAAGGGTAGTGAGTTCATGATGGGCCGTGCCAATTCCACCCAACTCAATGGGATTTCATGAGACATTCAGCAAAAGCTGGGGGAAATGTTGATCCTATAGAATGGGTTTCCATGTGGAGAGGCATGAAAACCACCAAATGCCATCCCTATAGAATGAATTCCTGAGTGACTGCGCAGGAACTGGTAAAAAATAGGCAGCACTCTGACATGTGCCCAGGGTATCCCAGGGATGCTTAGGCCAGTACCTAGAATTGCCTAGATCTACCAGATCTGCGTCAATTCTTTTCAAGTGTTATCCTAGGGGGACCCCAAAGGATCCCAAAGGCATCTGCAGGATTCTGTCAGGTTTTCATTTTATAGGCATTAAACACGACATAAAGGCATGAATATGCATGTGTTTTTCCAGAAATAGGGTGAAGATGAATGAAATCTGTTCACAGCGTGCTGATCTGAGGCTCTCCCTGCACCGGCTGCAGCTCCTGGGTCGTCAGCGTCTGTGAAGCCGGAGCCGGCGTCCAAGCCAGCAACGAGTTCATGAAAGGTCATGCCAATTTCACCCAATTCTTTCAAAATTCTTGAGAAACGCAGCAAAAGGTGGGGGACATGTTGATCCTATAGAATGGGTTTCCATGTGGAGAGGCGTGAAACCTAGCAAATGCCATCCCTATAGAATGAATTCCTGACTGACTGCACAGGAACTGTATAAACAAATAGGCAGCACTCTGACATGTGCCCAGGGTATCCCAGGGATGCTTAGGCCAGTACCTAGAATTGCCTAGATCTACCAGATCTGCGTCAATTCTTTTCAAGTGTTATCCTAGGGGGACCCCAAAGGATCCCAAAGGCATCTGCAGGATTCTGTCAGGTTTTCATTTTATAGGCATTAAACACGACATAAAGGCATGAATATGCATGTGTTTTTCCAGAAATAGGGTGAAGATGAATGAAATCTGTTCACAGCGTGCTGATCTGAGGCTCTCCCTGCACCGGCTGCAGCTCCTGGGTCGTCAGCGTCTGTGAAGCCAGAGCCGGCGTCCAAGCCAGCAACGAGTTCATGAAAGGTCATGCCAATTTCACCCAATTCTTTCAAAATTCTTGAGAAACGCAGCAAAAGGTGGGGGACATGTTGATCCTATAGAATGGGTTTCCATGTGGAGAGGCGTGAAACCTAGCAAATGCCATCCCTATAGAATGAATTCCTGACTGACCGCACAGGAACTGGTAAAAAAATAGGCAGCACCCTGACATTTGCCCAGGGTATCCCAGGGATGCTTAGGCCAGTGCTTAGAATTTCCTAGATGCACCAAAATGTATCAGATCTGTGTCAAGGCTTTCCAATTGTTATCCCAGTGAATCCGAAAAGGGCATCTGCAAGATTCTGTCAGGTTTTCATCATCCTATAAAATGGAAACCCAACCACCCTTCTATAGAATAGTCCCCAAGTATGTTCTTTTGTGGAATGGTTCCAACCCAGATCCAAAAAGTGAAACCAAACTTAAGGCATTGCAAACCCAGTTTTCTATTCTATAGGGGGTCTTTTTCCTAATCACTTGAACCCAGTTTTTCATTTTATAGTGGATTATTTGTTAGTAGCAGTGGCCAGTATGAGGCTGGGTTTTCATTTTATAAGAGCGGCAGGGGGCTGTTGGCTTGGTAGGGTTTCTATTCTATAGGGAAAATCCCCCCCCCTTAGTCCCGGGTTTTCGTTTTAGTCCCTATAGAATCAGACACCCAGGTTTGGTCCGAATTCCAACAGGGATTATATATATACATGGGATCCCTAGTAACCTTATTACATTGTGGGAAGTGGAGCATTAATCGGAAGCCTCAATTTTCTGCAGAATCCCAGTCGGTCGCCAGGAGACCGACGAGTTCTCATGGCAGGTGGCTTTGCGACTTCTCCAGCTGTCAGAGGACCGTAACGAGGCCGGAGCTGGTTGTGATGTCCTGAACTTCACCAGGTTGGAAGATGGGGTCGTTGGTAGTTAATAGATTACAGTAGTCCCTGAACTCAACAGTTGGGGCTGTTGGCTTTCAATTATTGTTTCAATTATTGTGACTTTGCTGAAGCTGGTTTGGAATTGGGGTATATCATAATTCCTCAGAGTTATGTTGTTTGGGTTACCAACCATTTTTGGGTTACCAACCATGTTTGAGTTACTGGCAGTTACTAGTATGTTGTTTGGGTTAATTACCAACTATGTCGTAGAGTTCATACTGTAGGGGTCAAAACCCAGTTTCTGTATCAATTCTTTACTTCCGGGTCAGTGGGCTTCGAGTACATGCTTTGATGGGGATTGTAGAAGCGTTGCCCATGAATCAGGAGTCCCGCTACCAAATCAGGGACATCCATTGGGATTGCAATCATTTCAGGTTGGATTCCTGGCAGGTCACATATGGTGCAGCGGTCACCGTGATGGCCAAGAGTGCACAATGGCAACAGGTAGGGAATGGTAGGGAAAATCAAATCAGATAAATCAGATTTTCCAATGGATGGAAATCATTGAAAATCTGATTTCAATGGATTTTCATATGGATTTTCCCCAAGTTTTCATCAAATCACCACGGGGTTTCCATTGACACAGCTGACACCGAGGCCATGGCCCTCTTGGCTGAAGCGCACGACCGTGGATCCTTGGGAACGGGGACGGTGAATGCGGCGCCGGGGCACCCGGCGACGGCGACCTGAGAAGTACACGGATCCGATAGTCTTGGGGGAATTATGCACAATATGATACCATATGCACAATTACCCCACATGAAAATCATGAAAATCTGGGGTGTTTAATAGTTTTTTTTGGTACAATTGGCCCCACATGATATGATTGGATATGACTGGATACGATTGGATATGATTTGTCATTTGATTTATCGCATTAGTAGGGTCTTTAGACTTTAGATAAATTTGACAACCCGTTCAAGGAGAAGTTTGATAGAGGTTAGGCTTTGATTCCAACCAAGTATATAAGGTGCTCCCACAGACTGACATTGAAAGGAAACATCAAGAAACGCACTAGGACATACTAGGACCAGTTATGGGCTGAAATTTGAAATGGTGAATTCAGAAAGTTGAGATGAAAAATCAAGGCATGGTCCCTGTATGTCCCTGTTGCACACCAGGATCAACGCGTGTGAGCTGTCTCCTCAGCGACTGGGCAGCCGTTTGGTCCCTTGGAGGTTGCACCAAGATCCGGTGAGGCAATCCTTACGTTGGCAGCTTGCACTTGTGCTGCCTGAGACTTGGAGGACCTGAAAAAGTGAATGCGGATTGGGCAGATTTGGGCAGATGGTAGACCTGGTAGTTGTCCGACTTGTCCTGAAGAAATCCAAGGAGTTTGGGATTGGGGCTTCATCCCATGAATTTGAAAAGTCATTTTGTGGTGGATTTATGGACCATCCCCTGAACCAAGAGATGGTCCAAGGTTGGAAAGTCTTCTGGAAGGACAGCCCTACCCAGACGAGATCTCTTATTGCGCCACCATTGGTGTCTTGGCAAAGTGAAGTTTCTGGATGAGAATGTGAGACACAACTGTCCCTGTGGAGCTCAAAGCTTGAGGTGCGTGTGCTGCTGCGACAGAATGGGCGAAGGCAAGGATGATCTTTGAGTCGCACATCTGCTACCTCCTCGAACTAGCATGTTTTAATTGAGGAAAAGAGAGGAAAAGACCGCAACCACGGCAACCAAAGGATTCGAGCCCCTCGAAGCCAAGAAGTGTTGGGCATTTCTACATCTTTGCCATTGTTTACAGTATTGAAGCATCCTATTTGAAATATTTGGATGCCATTCCACGGCTTCTAGCTGCTCAATGTCCAGAACTCCCAAGAGAATGCAGGACATCATGAGAGATAGGGAAAACAGCTGAATGATGAAAGATGATGGAAGCCTAAACGCGTGATTACTTCACATTATAATGCAGATACAATCATATATAACAATCATGTGTGTATATACGTGATATATATATATATATACACACTGTATATTGTACGTTATATTTATCTATATTTACCATATTATATATATAGACATGATTTTGGTATGGAAAATGAGCCTCTCAACTTCCTCAACACCATCACTATCGCACAATAAAGGGCCTTCTTTGGTAGCTGTTCTTTGGTCCCGATGTCGTCCACGGCACCAACTCATGATGGTTACGAAGCCTGCTTTCGATGCAACGCTCGTGCAAGCTGTCGATGGCAATGTCTGGTTTGTCCGGGACGTCATGAAAGTGCTCTTGCTGGGCCCTCTGCCCTTTGCAGGGTCTGTTCACTTCAACCCTGTCCAGTTTGCGGCACTGATGAGTTTGAACTTGCAACAATCTCCAGTTTGCCCGAAACCTCCGATGGCATCTCATTTGTGACAGATCATTCTTTCTTAGCAGAGAGGATTCAGGATCGACTGAGGGGAACAAGTTCATGGTTATCTGCGGGCGAGATTGGCAGAGATTTGGGCTTGAACCAAAGCAGAGATGTGAATCAAGTTCTGTATCTGTTGCAAAGGAGGGGGCTCGTGCGAGAGGAGCACGGTGAGGTTTCACGCTGGCAGCTCTCGACTACCGACCTGGACTGGGTCTAGCAGAAAGTGAATGAAAGATAACGTATGAATTGGAGAACTTCCACGGGAAATGTGTTTCAGGATGTTTCTAGAGATTTCCAGAGTGTGGGAATTTATGAATGGGAAGCGAACACCATTACTTTGTATTTCCTGCTGTCTGTCATTTTGCTGGGGAAGACACCCTTTAGAACGGTAGGTTGCCAAAGGAACATTCATTCCGTACGGGGAGTATATAATGAAGAGCTCCAATCACCCGGCAGGACCGCTCCAGGAGGCAATCTGCAGCGTCCAGTCATGAGACTGACTTGCAACGCAGAATCCGAGAGGTGTTGCAAAATGCCCAGCCAATGACTGCTATAGACATCGCCAGAACATGCGGATTGCAAAGAGCCAGCGATGTGAATCCAAGCCTCTATCAGCTGAGAGAGCAAGGTGTGCTTCACTTTGACCAAATGGCAAAGAATGTGAAGCCATTGTGGTCTCTACGAACCTGACCCACTGATTTTGAAGCGAAGAATTGCAGTGTGACTTGGGCAAAGCCATCAAAGTCACATGCCGCACAGACGGTCGCGATGCAGCTGGTTTTTGTGAGGAGTGATTGAAGTGACAGGCCGCAGGAAAGCGTTGACCAAAAATGAGCAGAGCGAGAGAGAGAGAGAGAGAGAGAGACACAGAGACACAGAGAGAGAGAGAGAGAGAGACACAGAGAGAGAGAGAGAGAGAGCAATGTTGAGCAATGGATATATCTTGGTTTTCTACATGGGTAAGAGTTAATAAACTATCACCCAAAATATCCATGATTTACCACCAAACATATTCAAACATGAAGACGTATACGGGTTGTTCTACCCCATGTTTGACCCAAATGATGGCAGCACTTACGTCCAGTTGTGGCATCCAACGGTTGCGCCTTTGTTGAGGCATTGGAGCTCTCGAAAGACTTCACCAGCGCAGCCACGCTGAGTGCAGCGATGGTGGCATGCGAAGTCCGTCCGGGATCCAGTTCGAACATAAAATGAAACATGAAAAATACCCTGGTTGAATGTCTCTTATAGGGAGTTATACCACCTGGGTTATTGGGGGTTATGAACAAATCCAAACCCATAGTACAGTAGAGAAATCTATCAACCAACTAGAATGACATGGGATGGGGGGTATTTTAATGGCTCAATATTTTGGTTTGGATTGTTGTGGATTGCTGTAGAATTCTGTGTTTTTTTTGCATTAATTGGGGACCTGTAGAAGATCTGTCTTCGCATCAGCCGAAGTGGGTTGCATTGCTCCAAACATGGACATGTCGCGTTGCGACATGTTAGACATGTTTGACTCGTGACTCACCAGGTGTTTTTCACAATGGCCATATTTCAAAGTTGGCTGCCCTCCTTAGAGCCACCAAGGCGGAGCCTGGGAGCAGGCCCTGGCACTCCTGCAGCAGATGCAGCACAGCAGTGTCCTGGTGGAATCTGGTGGGATTGCACCAAGCACTGGGATTTCATACTGGGATATAATGGGATAATAATATTATATAGTATATTAATATATCATAATATCCCATTTATATCATAATATTACCCACAGACACCGTGTGTTGCCCAGACCCACAACTGACACGTTAGATGTTGTTAGATGTTGTTAGATGATGATGATGATTATGATGATGAAGATGATGATGATGCTGATGATGATGATGATGAAGATGATGATGACGCTGATGATGATGATGATGATGATGATGATGATGATATTATTATCCGCAACACGCGGTGGCTGTGGGCTATTTCTCAGATATGGAAGATATGGGATCTAACATGTAAGATATCTTCATATCATCATGAGGTATTAAAATCCGCCACCCCCTTGAACTCTATATTGATATGGGATCTAACATGTAAGATATCTTCATATCATCATGCGGTATTAAAATCCGCCACCCCTTGAACTCTATCTTGATATGGGATCTAACATGTAAGATATCTTCATATCATCATGAGGTATTAAAATCCGCCACCCCCTTGAACTCTATATTGATATGGGATCTAACATGTAAGATATCTTCATTTCATCATGAGGTATTAAAATCCGCCACCCCCTTGAACTCTATATTGATATGGGATCTAACATGTAAGATATATTCATATCTTCATATCATCATCATCATCGTCATCATCATCATCATCATCATCGTCATCATCATCATCGTCATCATCATCATCATCATTGTCATCATCATCATCATCAAGATCAAGATCAACATGCCGGGAACGTCCTTGTAAATCTCCGGGCAACACAAGGCGTCTGGCCGTAATATTAGTATATCATATTACATAATGTATTACACATCAATGTATATGATATTATATAGTATATTTATATATATTTATAACATGGAAGATAACACTTTAATCAATATAATATGTGGGGATGGGTCGAAACAGACCAGGAAACTGTTTGATGCGAACATCCAAGTAGTGTAGTTATAGGTACTTAGGGTGCGGCAGTGGGGCAAAAAAATAAGGCGCGAAAACAAGAAAGGGTTAGCCAAATTTAAGCCGTAGATTCATTTGTCTAAGAATTGGGATACCCCAGTGGATGACAAAAAACAGCGCGGTAAAACATATATAAGGTTTTGCAGCTGATAGGGGGTCTTTGGAAATGGATTCTAGGGTCCTTGGTGATGTAGTTCTACCTCTGATTGTGTGATATATGTTTTCCATTATTTATTTCTTTATCTATCTTATCTATCAAGGTAGGTGGCCTTGGTATATACTAATGAAAATGATCCCAAAGGAAAGATCGTCTTGGGCTAGTGTCCCTTGGATGTTTCAATATATTGTTACTTCTTATCCGCCATTCGGCAATCATGCCAAGATGGGGGTTGAGAATTAGTGTCTCCATCCATTTACCCTTCTATTCGTGGAAGTGCCAGTCAGAACAAACGATCACCATTCGATCGTAGTTCAAATATGTTTTTTTTTTGGTTGGGTACTTTGATAAAATATTATATATATATATGCAGCAGATAGGGGGTCTTTGGAAATGGATTCTAGGGTCCTTGGTGATTTAGTTCTACCTCTGATTGTGTGAGATATGTTTTCCATTATTTATTTCTTTATCTATCTTATCTATCAAGGTAGGTGGCCTTGGTATATACTAGTGAAAATGATCCCAAAGGAAAGATCGTCTTGGGCTAGTGTCCCTTGGATGTTTCAATATATTGTTACTTCTTATCCGCCATTCGGCAATCATGCCAAGATGGGGGTTGAGAATTAGTGTCTCCATCCATTTACCCTTCTATTCGTGGAAGTGCCAGTCAGAACAAACGATCACCATTCGATCGTAGTTCAAATAGTTTTTTTGGTTGGGTACTTTGATAAAATATTAAATATTTTATATATATATATATCAATATATGCAGCAGATAGGGGGTCTTTGGAATTTGATTCTAGGGTCCTTGGTGATTTAGTTCTACCTCTGATTGTGTGATATATGTTTTCCATTATTTATTTCTTTATCTATCTTATCTATCAAGGTAGGTGGCCTTGGTATATACTAGTGAAAATGATCCCAAAGGAAAGATCGTCTTGGGTTAGTGTCCCTTGGATGTTTCAATATTATTAATTCTTATCCTTCTTTCGGTAGTCATGCCAAGATGGGGGTTGATAATTAGTCTCTCCATCCATCTACCCTTCTATTTATGGAAGTGCCAGTCAGGACAAACGATCACCATTCGATCGTAGTTCAGATAGGTTTTTTTTTGGGGTTGGTACTTCGATAAAATATAAAATAAAATATTGTTATGCGACGGATGTGCGGATGCGACGGATACGGGGTCCCCCAAGGCAAAAGATCGGCAATTTTTTTTCCCTAAATCTCAAAATCAAGGCCCCGGATCCTCTGCGGCAAAAATCATGGTAGAATATAATAGTAGGGCTGCTTCCCAAGTCCACATGCCAATTTCTGCACCCTGAGATCGGCCAAAAAAAAAAATCCTAAATCCCAGGGTACAACCTCTGTATTGCCCAAGTCTAGGTGCAGATTTTTGCGACCTTACTTAGGCAATACCCCACCAAACACCTAGGATATCGTCAAAAACAAATGTTTTTTTTCCTAACTCAGGGTGCTGATTTCTGCGCCCTGACTTCGGCAAATTAGCTGTTGGACATTGCATTTAAAGGATATATGATGTAGATGTAGAAATAATGGGGGAAATTTAGTACTTGAAAAAAATAATGATAATCAGGGATAACATTAACATTGGTGGCTTTATACCAAAGGTATATGGGGGCACCACCCTAGAAAAAACAAGAGCGTGGTTGATACCTTTTCCATTTTGATCCAGCAATTGGTTGGTACCCTTCAGAAATGGTAGTGGACCCCAGTTAATCCAAGGAATATAATAAAATAAAATAACCCTAACCGTTACTGGGACAACCAAGTGGTTGCCTAAGAATGAACATAATAATGCACATAAAATTTTCTATGAGTATGGTAAAAAACAAATAGTTATATTAAATAACCAATGGTAAGATGATACCCATTTAATCAACCAATTGGTTACCTCATAGGGAAAAGTAATAAAGTACCTATAATACAATTCAATTCCACTATCATATATTAAATAGTTGGAAAGACCCAAGAATCCATTTCCAGAGAACCCAGATCAATTGCACAACATAGATATAATATATTCTATATTTTATCGAAGTACCCAACCCCCCATAAAAAACTATTTGAACTACGATCGAATGGTGATCGTTTGTTCTGACTGGCACTTCCACAAATAGAAGGGTAAATGGATGGAGAGACTAATTATCAACCCCCATCTTGGCATGACTACCGAAAGAAGGATAAGAATTAATAATATTGAAACATCCAAGGGACACTAACCCAAGACGATCTTTCCTTTGGGATCATTTTCACTAGTATTTACCAAGGCCACCTACCTTGATAGATAAGATAGATAAAGAAATAAATAATGGAAAACATATATCACACAATCAGAGGTAGAACTAAATCACCAAGGACCCTAGAATCAAATTCCAAAGACCCCCTATCGGCTGCATATATTGATATATATATAAAATATATTTATATTTTATCAAAGTACCCAACCCAAAAAAAACTATTTGAACTACGATCGAATGGTGATCGTTTGTTCTGACTGGCACTTCCACGAATAGAAGGGTAAATGGATGGAGACACTAATTATCAATCCCCATCTTGGCATGATTACCGAATGGCGGATAAGAATTAACAATATATTGAAACATCCAAGGGACACTAGCCCAAGACGATCTTTCCTTTGGGATCATTTTCACTAGTATATACCAAGGCCACCTACCTTGATAGATAAGATAGATAAAGAAATAAATAATGGAAAACATATATCACACAATCAGAGGTAGAACTAAATCACCAAGGACCCTAGAATCCATTTCCAAAGACCCCCTATCAGCTGCAAAACCTTATATGATAAAAGCAATAACGTGTGTTTGGAAATGCCAAAATTTGAGACACATATATATATATCTACCCTCTGGTAATTTAGCATAGCTATTGAAAATGGTGATTTATAGTGGATTTACCCATTGAAAACGGTGGATCTTTCCATAGTTTTTTGTATGTTTACCAGAGGGTATCATATATCCATCAGGGTTCCAGTCTCCCCTACGAAACATGGGGTATCTTCCCTACGACCCCACAGCCCTGAATCCGTAGAATCCAATGACGGGGGCACTACCTCCTGTAGTGAAGCAGTTTTAAGGAACCCAGGACCATGTGTTTCGTAGTCGTAGTTCCATTTTGGATATGTGTTTGTTTTTTTTTAAACAGTTTTTGGCTGTTTTTCTTTGCCCTTCATAAACTGCCATCCTGCTTTGTAGTTGGCCCCTGCATTTTGTAGCGACTTTTCTTGGGGATTACTTGATTGAGAGAATAGAAAACAGTGCAATAATTTTGTAGTGATTGGTGAAAACTCAATTTTGCGCAAATTCATCCAGGTCTTAGTTTCCACTGCGAAAACCCGGCTGGGTGATGCAAGTGCCCGAGTCATGACATTAGCAGACTCTAGCAGCCCAAGATTCGGACAAGATCTATGTACTTATGTACATGGACTAGTGCGATAGGAACAAATAAGGATTCTCATGGATTCTCCCCATTTGTTTTTGAAAGATACTTGGGAACCTGGAAATGTAGAAAATTAAGCGCCTAAGCAGATCATTTTGTAGACACCAGGTATCTAGGTGAGGATTTGTAGCTACAAAACCGGGAGGTTACTAAAGTGGTTACCCTCTAAATTGCAGCCCTGATCAATATCCATCATATTCCAGAATTAATTACTGTAAATGACCACAAATGATGGTTCAAAAAAGACAACAACAACACAAAATATGGTTCCCGAAACCTACCGTTTTCTGTGATGCTCCCTTGAACCAATCCATTGATCATAGTTGGTTTGGTTTAAAACCCATTTTTGATTCTTAGATCGTCCTGGATCCCCATTTTTCCACCCTTTTTTCCAAGGTTTAGAAGTCACTGACCTGACCTTTCGAGCAGTCACTTGAAGGGAATCCGGAAATCCGGGAGATCCAGAAGGACAACTGGACAGGGACAGAGACCAACGGATATCCATGGATACACTTGAACATGATTTATGTGTAATCTTACATGCAGTATTTGAACAGTATTTGTGTAAATATACATATATTATATGATATGATATATATGTATATTATATATATATATATTATATAATGATGTATTGTTAGATCATATATTATGATGGATCTCTATTGTATGACATAGTATGATCGTTGTGATCGTTGTGATCGTTATTGTCCATTGGGATGAGGGTTTGCGGGTTGGCGACCAAGCTTAGTTTCAACAATTTCACAGGTTTCCAGATTGGGCTTTCAGACCCGGATGATAAGAAGAACTCTTTTTGTTTGGCTAAGATGATTGATGATGATTGTCCCCAATGTGTTCAGACAAGGCAATGGGCGCATGCCATAGCACTGCAGCAATGCGCTGGGAGCGATCTGTAGACCTACTGCAAAGAATGCAGTGCGCAGGATCAGCGACAAGTGAGCAACTGGTCTTCCAATCTGAGTTCAGTTCGCGCGGGTGTCTTTTGAAGCGGTGTTTCAATCCATTTCACATTGCTACTTTGTGTGGAAAGGACTGCCCCCAGCGACCCTGAGCTATAACTTTGCAATCACTGCTTTTGACGCCCGGCAGCAGAGTTTCCACCTGCACAAGTGTACTTCATTCGAGTTATGACTTCAAATGCAAGACAGTACAAATACACATAATATATACACACATATGTATACACATGTATATGCGTGTGATTCAGGGGTTGTTTGTCTATCCGGTCATTTACGTTTGCAAACTATTGATTCAACAATCGATTGACATATTAATCACGATCATTCATACTGCAGTACTTGTTTGCTTATTGATTTAATCACTGACTCATTCACTTTGCCATTCATTGTGTTATCCCTTTCCCTGTTTTTGTCATGTGGTTGTTGATCTACTGTCCATCTTATTTCAATGATGCGGCAAAAAATTGACCAAGTTTGCCATTGGAATTGTTGGACATTTTGCCGAGGGCCAGGTCCCGCCAGGTGACAATGATTGGTTTGATCTGGAATTATTCACTATAGATAAATGGATAATCTATGGATAATCTATGGTTTATGGTTAATAGTTACCCTCTGGTAAATATATGATTGGGTTTCCAATTTTACTTCCAACATTCACTAGGTGACTCAACCACGGATTCCGAGGGGCGAGGCATGGAATGGGCCCTGGCTCTAACAGCCGGAAGCCGTCCGTTGGCCTCAGTGGGCAAGCGGATGCAGTGGATGCAGTGGATGCAGTGGATGCAGTGGATGCAGTGGAGCGGTCACAAGGTTAGGGTACTCTATATTCTATACATCTCTAATCATCTAAAAATATCATACTGGATTAGCAAATGATTCTATAATTTTTCAGGGGATTACCATGGATTACCCGGTATCATTTTCTAATTCCATATGGCAAGGTCGATGGGGGTCGATGGGGGTCAGGAGCTGACACTGCCAATCATCCCACCGAGGGATCACGCGAAAACTCACTACGGTGGCAAGCTGAGAAAATGATGCGGCGATTTTTTGCGGTTTTAACATGGTTTTGATATGTTTTGTCTTCAGAGCACCAAGGAAAAAAACATAAAAAAACATTGAATGCTTGAAGAAACATGACCAACTTGTTTGTTGTTTCTTGTTTTCCCAAATGACTCATTTTTTGGGGGATGTGTTGAAACTCGTTGAAACCCCAAAGCCGCTGAAACTCGTCGTTTCCAAGTCCGGAACCTTTGCAACGCTGTCGAGTGCCTGCGATCGCGGTGCGGCAGCTTAGTTCAGCGAGCATCAGTTGCCATGTTTCAGCCAGCCGGGATGGTACTGTATATCCCAATGATTTATCCCCAACAATGTCCTCATTCATATCCCCATCATTGTGTTCCCATTGAATCCCATTTGAACCATAAAAAATACCGTGGTCGATTGGTTACTATAGGGACTTATACTACCTAATTTGCTGGGGATTACGATGACCTACAGTAGGGAAACCTGTCAACATCTATCAACGTATCAACCTTAAGTACTTCATGAGATAGGTAGTAGTATAGTATAGGCTCCTCAGGAATTACCTCGTAAATTAATGTAAATTATAACCATTCCATTACCATTCCGACCTAATGAGATGGGATGAGATGGGTATGGTAGGGGTATTTCTTCATGGCGCAACGCAGGTCTCCAATGGGCCCGGACATTGGAATTGCTCAGAATCTCCACAGTGGAAGGCACCGATCGCCAGCTCCCAAAATGGGGAGCTGAGGAGGGGTCAACACCATTCAACACCGATATTATGATATCATATGGAAGCCGATCCTAGAATATCGTGAATGCAAGTCTAAGAATTTTGAACGGGCATGTTTATTTTGATCAACATCCGTTTTTCATAAATATGGATACACATCCACAAATGTATTTTGATGTATTTTAATGTGAACACCATGACATCATGTTTTAAAAATCCATAGCCACTTCTGAAGACTGCAGTGAAAGCTGTCGCGAGGTAAAGGATCTGTGCTGTCCGGCACTCCAACCAATGGAAATCACCACGCTATGGTGGAAAAAACATCTATAAACAGCTTTAATAAATCTACATATATCTATAAGCAAAATAATATAGATGGATATAGATTGAAGGATTTTCCATTACCATCCTAGATTGCCTATCCGACTATCCCATTTTTGCAATCAGTCCAATGGATTTTTCACAGGTCTGCAATCCAGCATCATGATCTACGGAACTTCGATCAGTGTGCTTCTCTCAACCGGATCGCCTCATCAACTGGCAGTGTGTCAAAATAGCTGGGATTTATGGATGTTCATCCCATAAAAATGGTATTAATAGGTATTGATCCATACCCAACTCTCAAGATTTCCGTGCTCCTCTTCCCCCCCAAAGATTTTTTGAACCTGCTATGGCAGCCATGGCATGGCGGCATTCATGGCATCACACATGGATTCGCCAAGCCGCGGCCAAGGCACAGGAAAAAGTCAGCCACTGGCGTTGCCGCCTAAGAGCTGGAAACAAGCTGTCTCCGATAAACTGGAGCATGGATTTCTTTGTCAGTTTCGAGGAAACCTATGGAAACCTATGGAAACCTATGGTAACCTATGGAAACCTTGAAGATTTCCAATGTTTCCATAGGTTTAGGTAATGTTTCCAGACATGTTTCCAGACATGTTTCCAGAAATGTTTCGATAGGTTCCAAGGTTTCTATGAAATCTCAATTTTTTCCAGAACATCTCGAAGAAATGTCAAGGCATTGGACTTGGTCTCCTTCGAAGCCTGAGACGTCAAGGCATTGGGATCCCAGAAAAAGGAAGGTGACGCCAAGCCAAATTGGTCATGTGCTTGTAGATGATTGTTATATATATTGTGTTAGTTATTATTGTTACATGGTTATAATTATAATTTATCTTCTACAGTAGATTCTTATGATGGGATATGATATAAATACAGTGGGACAGAAATCTAGGAGATAACGTGGTTAGAAAAAAAACATGTCCATCAACCTGCATGGGCAGTGAAGAGAATATTTCATCGTGACACCGTAAGTTGGATATCTGAAGCGCCGAACATTGAATGGCCTAGTCTCCGTTTCAGGCCTATTGTTTGACTTTTTCCGATGCAAAATCGCAGTGAAGCGGATGCTTTCATGATCTGTCTGTACTATCATATGTTGCACGTGAAATTGAATCGTCCGAGTTCGTTTGAATCCCTTGCATGTAGATGATTCAGAGCACATTGTTTCGTCCAAAAATATCACCCATGGTATGTTTTCTTTTTTACATAGTTTAAGATTTAAGATAGTTTAAAGATGGTTAAAGCATGTTAAACCAAGCACTTTATGGAGATGTCATCCCATTCAGAGGGGATTTCCATTGGAAATTTTGCAGGTCTGGAAGCTGAAGTGGTGACCTGCAACTCAGTACCTCGGTGGAGTACCTGAAGCGCCGATCCTCCCAGGTGTGGATGTCTGTCCTAAATATGTTTGGGATATACGAAATATACGAAATTAGTATGGATGTTAGGAGATCCCCATTGAAGAGGTGATGAACACTATGGTCGGTGCCGGAATTATAGAACGGAAGTTGAGGAGTACGAAGGTACGGTTATTTACCGTACCCTGTTGTTCTATAATTCTGTTTTCCTCGGAAGGTGTGAAAAAAAACGTGTCTGAATTTACTCCTAACTTTTTTCGTCGTTCTATAATTCTTGTCGGAGCGCTGCTGTTCTATAATTCTGTTTTCCCCCCATTTTTCTCACATTTCCCATTTTCGTTCTATAATTAATGTTTCCCAGGCCCCGTTCTATAATTAATTTTTCCGTCGAACGGAAACATTAATTATAGAACGGAAAAATTAATTATAGAACGGAAAAACTAATTAATAAGAATCATTTTATCTTCATTTTATCCTCATTTTATCATCGTTTCCTCATCAAATCTTCATTTTATCTGCATTTTTTCTTAATATCCTCATCAAATCCTCATTAAATCCTCATTAAATCTTCATTTTACAGATTGTATATGTACAAATATGCAGTAAGTATCATGTCAGTGCCAGAAATTATAGATCGGAGCCAGGAGTAATTTAATTATAGAACGGGGAAATTTAATTATAATAGAACGGGAAAATTTAATTATAGAACGGATCCCCGTTCTATAATTAAATTTCCCGACTCCGCGCGGAATCGGAACCCGGAGGAGTACAAAGGTACGGTATTTTACCGTACTTTTGTACTCCTGGCTCCGTTCTATAATTCTGGCACCACCTGTATACATTTTTCTGTTGATATACCAGAGTATACTACAACATGCTGAATCAATAATCCTTATGTATTGCTATGATGAACAACGTATATAACATGTCTTCTGACTGAGTTTTCTTGGGAATCAACTAAATGAATTTAAATGATGGAATTGTCACAGCGGATCAAGTTGCCCAAGCGCCGACGCTTTACCAAAGCCATGGAGCTTTGCTACCACAAGACCTTCATCGATGTGAATGAAGAGGTGTCTGTGGCTTTAGCACAAAGTGCACGAAGTCAAAGCGCTCCGAATCTTCGGTGAGGATTTTTAAGGGAAGGTCTTGGGGTTGGAAAAACAATGGAAAACATGGGGAATCGGTCCAGACTGCCAGCAACAGTTCTTGCATCTGAGATGACGGTGCCAACCAATCGAGGAAGCGAGTTGTCTTAAATGATGCAGTGGATGTCCCCGCTTTGGAGCACCAGTACAAGGACAAGCAGATGGGCAGGCGCGCATTACAGCAAACATAGTAGACCATTAAACCATCCTCCTTGTTTTGCAATGGCTTCCAAAGGTCTCACTGGTTTTCTCTATCAAACTGAAATGGTGCATTTCCTTAACATCAGGTGGCTATGCTACAGCAGAGATCCAAGCTGAGTTCATTGAAATCCCCATCCGGTTTCGAAGCACCCAGCAGCTCTCAGCACAGCGAATTTGAGGTGCAGACCAAGAATCTGATGGAACATCTGACTTGTTGTTGGAGTTACCACCTTCTTTTGTTGATTTAAAGTAAGTTGTGAACAGGATATTTTAAGCAGACGCAGATGTTCTGATTTCAACGTAACCAGATCCACCAGGTTGATTTCTCAAGAGGCAGCTACGGTCATCCGACGATATGTCAACGGCGGTGCATCCTTTTCGTTAAGGGCAACTGCGACGCGCAAATTGCCATTTCTGCCACCTGACTCAGACTCGGCAACGATTCAGCCAGGCAAACCGGAGTTCGAAGGGAAATTTTCCGCACCAAATTAGGGCATGAACGAAGCCTGGCAAATTGTTACTGGGTTTGCTCTTGCGCCATTGCAATGACGCCACATTCATGAAATCATATGAAATCCTTGAGCGATTGCAGTGGCTATCGGATGATATCCCATGTCTACCCAGTTTGCTAAGTTTGCTATACTTCCCAAATCTTCCCAACTCGTTGATTTCCTACATGATATTGGCCATCTAATCAAGATATCTAATTGAGTTGATTGGGGAGGGGCCTTCTAAATTTGATCCACAAGAATTTTGGAGGAACTGACAACACCTTCTCCGTACAAGCACACGCGAGACTACTTGAAGTCGCTCCACCCTGTCAGCTTCATGGAGATGATCCTACCCTATGTCCGCAAACATGTGGAGGACTGGAACCGAGGAACTGCAGTTTTTAGAAGGCACCAGAGTCATCCAGAGTCATCCAGAGTCACTAGTGAAATAGCATCAGTCCGAAGTACTTGAAGTACCAGAGTCACTTGTGACTGCCCGCCTTTTGCAGATCCATTGCCCTCGATGCACAAGGAGAGTGATCTCCCGGGAGCGCAATCTGTGCTTCAAATGCTTCAGAATGAGATTGCTGTCCGATCATTTTCAAACCGTTCAAAGCCTCCTCCACCACCAGGGACTGATTACACAACTAGTACTGTAGGGTGTTGAAACGGATGAGTCTGACCGCACTAGTGAGTTTGCTTTGCTCTGTTCTGTCGGAGACCACCTTTCCAAAGTTTCTAAGTTTTGAACTGAAGAAGTTGCGACAAACTACAAAGACCTTAAAGGTCGGATGAAATTTACGTGAGGCTGGCTGTTTCAAAGCTCTTTATCAGCAGGGTTTACAGAAGAGACAAAGAGACTCTGTTTTAGCAGCAGATACTCTTTGTTTTTTGATTGGTTCAATTGCTTCTCTGATATGGATAGCCTCTCGGTTGGCAAGTTTGTTGTAACTCAAAGGTGGCTCAAACTGAGTTGCTGTGGAAAGCGCTGAAAGCGTGAAAATGACATGACCCCTGGGCTGTCAAATTTAAGCATGAAGTTAGCCTTTGGCCTTCTGTCTTCACGTTGTCATACGTTGTCAAATCATCGGTCGCGATGTGACATGCCGCAGAGCCGAAGATCGAGGCATCATGAGAGAAGAGGGGCATGTTTAATCACATTCATGAAATGCGATCTCTTTGTTGAATGTCCTTCAGCGAGGCTGGAAGCGGCACGTCAGAGGGAACAGCGGGTTTGAAAGATGTTTAAGGTGCATGTCAGAGCGCAGACTTGGCACTGCTGGTTGTCCATGCACATAAGAATGGAAGAGCCAGGTAGTCGGGGAATTGCTTCAGTTCGACTGCCATTTGCTGCAGTCCAACTGAAAATCTGAAGGCCAAGTAGTTTGGTTCCCCCGGACCCCCATCTATCGACGGGATGGCATATCATGGCATCAGCCCGGCATCAGCTATAGTAAAGTCCGAGAGAACATGTGACAACTGGAGGAAGAAATTGAAATCCTCACATATGTCTTCGGAATGAAGTGATCCTATTGCACAATGCCATTTGTCTTCCGAGTTGTTCATGATACAATGGAACTGTATCTTAGGTGTTTCATGGTATTCCTATTGATCTCTCCAATGTCACCTTGGGACCTTTAGAAGCAGCTGCCTGCTTGGCGCCATGGTTCAACAATCTTGAACAGAGAGATTTTGTCAACACCTCAGACTCGCTCCGTGCGTGCAGTGTTAGTGGTCCGCAGCAACCAGTTCCCGCTTCCCTTTGCCTGTTCTGAAACCTGCAGCAGCAGAGGAAATATATTAACATGAGCATATGAGCAGCTATCCGTCTATCCAGCCCCTGCACAGGCTTTCAATAAATGTTCCAATCCAACTTGTTGAATCTCGATAGGAATGGAAACGATCGGCTGGGTAGTCGAGACGGTACCGCTCCGGTTTGACCCATATTTGGAGATTTTGAAGATGCTGGAAGCATTCCTCAACTGTTCCTTGATTTTTCAAAAGTTTACCTTGAGAAGACCCTGCTTCTTGCAGTTTGAATCCTTAGTGGCCCTAGTGATGTAGTTGTTCAATGTTGCAAGGTCAACCAAAGAGGGTGAGAACAAAATTCCACCATATATCATCATATCATATTGTGCCCAATATTCACCTGAAAGAAACACGATATGATATATATGTTTTTTTTGGACACTGCTGAGTTTCTGGTATGTGAAAATCAGCTCTGATGTGTCTGATGTGTCGAATTACGCGTCAAAAACCACCTTGTCTGGAAACCACAGAGCCGTGAAAGAGTGAAAATAGTCAAACTTTGCTTCCGGGAGAGAGCCTGTGGCGGAAGAGTTGAATCATGCGCATGGGCTTGGCTGGCCTCATTGGAGGCCAGATGTTCCTGAAACTTTGGATACCTTCACCCCTACCTCAATCTACCTCATATAATTTAGCTAACTAAAGTCAAATTAATTAGCATAGAAGAAATTATTTGGGGTCCACCTAACCCAAGAAAAAATGGTAGTTCCCCCACTCTTGAATAATTTTGCCTGAAATTAATTTATGTGGGTGGGAAGAGTACCATTTATATCCATCTATTACATTCAGGTGGGGGGAAGTGCTGCCGAGCAAATTAATAGAGGTACCTTGAAGCAGTAAGGACCCTTGGATTAATACTTTTATTAATGTCCCTTTAGGAGAGAGTCATAATAAATCAAACTTGTTGCCAGTGAAATCCCCCCCACTTTTTGAATCCGAAATTCAGTTGGCCCATGTTCGACCCCCCCGTCGCTGTTCCAAGGCCCTGAGTGCCTGTGAGAGCCTTTGGCTTGTGTTCATCCAGTTGTTCAACATCCCCAGGGTCTTTGTTCATCATATTCCCATAAAAAGTTGCCCAGTTGCCATCTGAAAAAAGATGGGTGTTGTGCTCCATTGAAAAATATTGAAAAGCCCAACTCATTGTTTTGAGGGCCTGTGAATTGCAGATGTTTCTGCGGATGTGCCATGTTTTCAGCAAAGATCCAGACATATCCAGACTTACTTGTTGAATCTTGATGTCATTTTGGCCGCACAATTAGAAAACATGTTTTTCCGGTGCCAGGAAGGGCAGTCTTTGGGAATGGGCCCTTGAGCTTGTCTCCCAGGACTCCCAAGAAGGGATGCTGAAAGTTCGGCTGGGAAACTATGGAAAGATCTGAGATATATGGGAAACTGATAAAAAGTGATGATCAACTATTGATCAATCTTATTTAAAGATGCATGTTCAGAGTGTTTTTGCAGTGAAAGGGTGGGATCCATTTTGTTTCAGGAGATGCTCCAGCAAGATGTTCGCTGTGACGAGATCAGTTTCAACGTGCGGGAGAGACAGTTCCACGTGGCACCGTATTTCGGGGTCAACGCATCACAGGTCATCAGGAGTCCCCTACAGTAGTTCATTTTCACATTTTTCACATGAGACAAATATCCGACTATCCTCAGAAAGTGAACTTTTGGCATCAATAATTGGAAGGGTATGATGCCTTCGATCCACACAGAAGAATTAAGGGGGTCGCCAGGCAGCTATTGGTGCTTGCCGAGAGAACTGGTGCGCTGCCGGACTCTGTTTAGAGGTGCGTCTCCACCAGGATTTTTTTTTTTGAATGCTTGAGGTAGGCTGGTCATGACAATGAGGATTTGATTTGCACAAAGACGGTGACATCTCGAATTGCTGGAATTGGTGTATTCTTTCTGTTGTGCAAAGTCGAGGAAGATTTTGGAATATGGAAATTGTCGGTCCCACAGTCGTGCTCCCCAAATGCTTGGATTGATAGGCAATGCAGTCACAGAGACTGACACCTGATGTGGTAACTTGTGGACTTCTCATTCGCTCAGAGGCACAGACCGCTACGATGCAATGCAGCATGGTTGATGAATGTGGAGCCATGAAACGAACATTGTGGTGACAGAGAAAACATACAGCCGATCTATGTCATGAGCATAGCCAGGCACAGCAGGTTGCATGGACCCCGGTACTCAGAGCCCACTTGAGTCAATCACCAGACGCTCCGGCTCCGCGCCGTCAAGCAGCTTGGTGACACCAGCAGCCCCCGGGCCCAAATTTCCAATATCTTGCTGTCTGTTCTTTGGGATGCCACTTGACTCATACTTTGGAGATAGCTGACTCAATAGCCAGTGAGATTTATTGGATTTCCCATGATTTCCCACTATTTCCCACTATTTCCCACTTCTATTTTGACAAAGTGTTCTGAGTTGTGTGTCTGGATAGAGCTGCGATATACAGTGATATTATCTATGTATATATAATAATATATATATATATATATAATGTAGATTATATATATACACTCTATCTATATATATATATGTATATATATTGATATAAATAATATAATATATATATAAATAATAATATATATATATAGACAATATAGACAATATGAATTATAAATATATTATATAGTATACTGTATATACCCAGCTCAGTTTCACTGAGGTGGAGGCTCTAGAATTACTGGAGGCGAGAAATTTCCCCAAGGGAAAAACACATTGGCCAACATCGAAACACCACCTGAATGAGATCTGGTTGGTTTCTATGAGATTTCATAAGATTTCAAGATATGTTTGGAAATTCGTTTGTTCCAAGGGTTGATTCCAATTGACTTCCATACTTTTGAGGTGGTTGGATCATGTTGGAGCGGAAACATGGACCCCGTAAGATGCCTTTGCCGCAAGAACCCCTTGTGATGTTTTCGACTGGTTGGTTTAGAGGTCGTGTTCAGTAAACCTTAAGTCCATATGACATCAGTAAACATGTCACTCCTGAGCAAATGAACGATCTGAGCATGAGTACTGCACTCGAAGTCATGTCAGTAGCCATTGGCTATCTCAGTTATCAGACGCACAACTTCACCAATATCACCAACGCCGGCAACACCGCACCCCAACATCCGTTGCCGCAGCGTCTTGTTCTTATCTTCTTCTTTTTTGGTAGGCGATAGATGGGCTACCTGATGCAGCAATCTGCAGCTTCAAAGACGCCACATATCAGCCGAGCGTGTGAGTTCCTCAGTTCCTCAGTTCCTCAGTTCCTGTGCAGTTCTGCGGGCAGCAAGGTATCCAGCCTTGAAGGAGCTCATTCTGAAGCCAGCCGAGTCAGGTCAGGAAATGATCCGCGTTGTATGAGATTCCTTCAAACTTTTCGTTGATGAAGTGTGTCTTGAAGTGAGCATCGCATGTTGGCTTTTGCATGAATTGAACCTGCTAGAACAGTAGGGGACTCACAAAGCACGATTTTGTGTTGTCTGTTTGTGTGTGATTGGTATGCATTGTTCTATTGTGTGTAATGTAATGTGATGAAATGTTATGTTATGTTACAGTACTTGGTATTATATTGTGTATATAATGTAAGTGCATGTATATGTGAATATGTTCGAATTCATTATATGATTATGTATACTGTGTATATATGCATATGCCGTACATATACACATAAATTATGTATAAATGTACACAATTGTATATATATATATATACAGTACACGTATAGGTACATGATGATTAGCATACGTGAAAAACGTGCCTCTGTTCCTTGCGCCCACGCCACAGGTGCAAGGCGTTGGCAATCGCCTGCCTTGGAGCAGCAGTTTTCCCTGGGGAAGAAATTCACTGCGCGTGCCTTGCAGGAGAAAACTGTCGTAAAAAGCGATGTGGGAATGGGCCAAAAGCTATAGACCTGGGGGACCAAAGATTTTAGTCTATGTTTAACATTAACCATCTATATAAGTCTTTGGGTAAAAAATGTTGTTATCACAAAATGAGGTATGTGTTTGAGGGGAATGGCCATTGGCAGTGAGAGTCTTGCTATAATCTCAGAACCATTTTGCCGAAGAAGCTTGTGGTTTTGTCAGAAACTCCAATAATTTCAATGATTGTAATCCTGAACATGCAGGACCATGACTCTGACACACTGTGACGTCCATCGAAATCCTAGACTCCTAGAAGACTGAAGATGAGCGTTCATGGAAGATATCCTCTACCATCTATGGATGTATTTGATGTATATATCGTAACTCGAAAAGACGAATTCTTAATCTCAAAGCATCATCTCTTCTACGTGTGAAGCTTGTTTCAAGACCCTGACTTTTCACCCAGATTAGACCCGCTTGGGTGCAGATCACAACTTGATATCTTAGGACCCACAGATATCGTTTTATGATGTTTCATGGTATGACATGATGAAGGTCTGGGGTCAAGAAATGGTGTAAGATGTTTCACCAGTTTCACCCTTCCAGGCCCTTCCACAAGCCACTGTCTTTGGAGGATAGCGGTATCTCAGATGTCTCCACAGAGTGGATCAGCACTGCACGCAGAGCTGCTTGGACTGTTGGGACCTTGATCCTGCGCAAGTTGGCATTGGGATTCGGTCACTTCTGCGACGGGGCATCGAGGTGTTGGCTTCGACAGAATCTCCTGCTGTGGCTGCTATGGACTGCAAACAACGGGTCGCTTTTCGCGGGGCTACGGCCATCAATTGGGTATCAATATCAAGTCATAGTAGCGTTGCCAAAGGACTCGGATGGTTGAATCATGGTCAACCTGTTTGGTTTTGGTTGGTCTGAGATGACTGGTCACACGAAAAATAGTCAAGAAACATCAAGAAACTATAAGAAACTGTAAGCAGGAGCCTGTAGCTGCAGCCATTGCCGCCTGGGTTCCTCTGCTGCAAGCCCTTGGATGCTTGAATTGCTGGCCTCTCATTGCAACTGAACAGGGATTTATAGGGATTGAATGGGATTGATTCTAATATAGGGTTGTGTCACCTTTGATTTGGGTATTCCCCGACATAGACATTCTTGTGCTTGAAAGTGTCAGACCATGGTCAAGCATCACGGGATGAGAAGGGGCTTTTTCATGCTTTGTCCAGACAAACTGGTCCCCAAATGGTCCAACTGTTGGACATGGAGAACTCACCCCATGATATGGCAACGTTGAGGGACGCGTGAGCTTGCACTCCAGGTATCGCAGACCCTTCGACGCAAGCTGCCTAGCAGACACTTGGCAAGGTGAAGTGATGGATGGGGGGTCAAAAGTTAGAGTAGATTTTAACATATTTTAACATAAAAAGCTTTAATTCCATCAATTCCTGAGATGGTCATACAAGGGATATATATTCCCTGGCGCGCTCCCCCTTGCGTCTGCCGGGGTCGGCGGATATGGATATATAAGGATGATATAAGGATTTACAGGCATTCTACAATGGGCCAATCATTGGCTTCCCATCACCAGTGGTGGTCAACATTGAAGACGGGGACCGTTCCATTTTGGGGTTCGGATTGATCTTGAAAAAAAATGACTTGCCATTTGATCACGATGTCACTGAAAAAGGGTATATACCCTCTGGTAATTTAACATAGCTATTGAACATATACCATTTAGTTCATTTAGTTCGTTGATTTACCTATTCAAAATGGTGATTTTCGCTATGTAAATGTTTACCAGGCCGGGTAAATATCTGCAGTCATGGCTGGTCAATGGCTGGAAATGGCTGGGGCTCATCCCTCTCCGGGACTCAGGTTGGACTGGGGGCTTTGGCGCTGCCAAGGTTGGTTTTCGCTTGGCTTTGTTGCGCATGGCTTTGTCTGATTTTTTTTGGGTATGTTGGGGCTTTCGAAGGAATGTATTAATGTATGGTTTGTAATTTAGAATGGACAAATCCACAACAAAAAATCGATGATTGATTTTGGGTACCCCATTTTAGGAAACCTCCATATGGTACCCCCTACCCTACTGTAATTCTCTGATAAATTTTGATACAGTAAATAATGTTCCTCATTGCATTTGGTATTTTTGGGTACAGCGGATTTCAGACACAACCATATGTTGTGGTAATAAAGGTCCTGAGCAAGGATTTAAGATTGTCATCGCAAAAAGAGCACCGGAAAGAAGCATCACTTCGGGGGGTATCCAATTTTCAGACAAATTCATCAAATTCAACTGAGATTACCAACCCATAAAGCTGGATGGAATGGCGTTGCCCAGGCTGGCAGTCCCTTGCCAATCTTCGTAGAACATGATCGCTCGCAACACGCAGAGCGTCCTGGCATCCCAGATGTGGCCGTGTCCAATTGTCTTTGTATGAAGCCTCAGCTGGAACAATCCTCCTTGTAATGACACCGATTGTAGCCGACGAACATCGACGAACTAAGGTGGTCTTCTGCAAGCACTGCTGAGAGGGGTGACATGCGAAAGCTGAAAAGAGACATTGAGACATACGACCTTTCTGTTCAACTGTTCAACACATTTCCCCCCAGAAAGCTAATGCTCCGCGATATCATGCGATAATGCATTACCGTTTAGACTAGACAGTATGGGACGGATGGCATTTCTTTCATTTTCAGTCTCTATATTCGTCAGAGTTGAGCCGTGATGCCGCAACTATCATGGCTGTGCCACTGGTTTGGCTCCAGGGTTCTGGATATTCCTTGCAACAGGCCTTTCTAGTTTGCAGTCATGCGAGGGTGCCGTGGGCCAGGGGTGTATCAAATCGTTCGGAAGTCACCATGGTTTCTGCCAATCATCCCCTACTATAGCCTATGTCGAGACAAGTCTTCTAAAGCTTTGGAACACTTTACCTCACATTCAGAGCGGCAGCATTGACGAAATACCAAGCCGACAGGGCTTCTGCTAGACAGCTGGTATCAGCTGGGAATGCTACGTGCTTGACAGGATGATTTGATTTCAGACAAACAAGCAATTCCAGTGAGTCAATGAGTTCGCGCATGCTATGCCACAAAATCTGACGTGTGCCGGCTGGAGCACAGTGCACGTTGCCATCGTGGTTTCCTGTGGCTTTGCGGCCAATGATCGATCCCCAAAATGGTTCAACCATGTTCGACAGTTGAATATGCACAATATCTACCTTATTATCCTCCAGTAAATTAACATAGACCCTGCCAGATGGAAGATTAGTTTCCAAGAAATCCGCTAAAAATTGGCTAATTTCAGGGTCTATGTTACTTTACCAGAGGGATCCAGAGGGTAACAATGACTAATTTCATCCAGATTGTTTGCGTTTTTTCATGAAACTTGGTGACAGCCAGGTGGTGAGGATGGATGGAACAGGCACTGCTTCGTGGCACTGCTTCCATTGCAGATGCCGCCAAGAAAGGCAGAGTGGAAGAGGTGCCGTGGGTGCGCTGAGACGCAGTGCCAAAGTTTATGGAAAGATTGAGACATATAGGATCGTTGTGTCTCCTTGGTATGAGAGTTGATAGATGTTGACAGCTTTATCTTTGGATCGTAGGGCTGGTAGGGTGACTGGCTGCAGCGAAGATTTTGTTGAGCTCCGACCAGCCAGACCCTGCAAAGTCACCTGTGTTGGCCGGTCCATGTAGAAACCCCTCTTTATCCTTATATTGTCAGAATGGCTGTGCATGGAGATAAGCTCTATTTCTAGACAAACCCACATGTAGATTATATCCCAGGTTTCACGGTCCCCCCTTTGGTTTCCCGACAACCAATCTATTGATTTCTTGTCTCGTTAAGCCCAATGATAAACCATCCCCAACGAAAAGCGACTCGCAAATGGTCCGTGATATATTTTGTGGTACATCCAAGAATGAACTACCAATTATTGGTGGTAAGATTGGGGACGGTTTAGCACTTGGTCTACCACATAATAGGGGTTTGTTGACCCCCAAGAATAGATGCTTGAGTTTCGCCCTGACACCCAACCATTATTGGGGGCGTCAGTGCGTTAGGGTTTATTCTTGTGAACGATCACCGTGATTTATCCATTATTGAACTATCATTATGAATTGTTGTCAAATGTTGTCAACTTTTATGATGATGATGATAGTTAGTATAACAATATACCATCATCATTAATCATTAATTAATCATGAATCATGAATCATTAGTAATTGCTCATCAATGATTGATTACTGTATGCACATAATCACGAATCATAATAATTATACGAACCATTACTATGATTATTATGAATCATTCTGAATCATTAATCATCAACCATTGACTACGATGGTTTTCGAAGCGACAGGCGCTGGGCCTCCTGTCGAAGCTGCGCACGCGGAAGCTCCGCCTGGATGCCGTGGCTCACCATGCAGCGCTGGGTGCCCTGCGCCGGAGATGGCGCCGGGCCTTGTGGCTGGCGCAAGAGATGGCAGAGGCCGGAATGAGCGGAATGGGGGATGGCTGGTCCCACAGGGTACTGTAAAAAGGTATATATATATACACATATCATATATATATATATCCTATATATCTCATATCTTATCATATATATATATATATCAAATATATATATAATTATATATCACATGATATATAGATATATTTGTATACGACCATGTTAAAATGTGAAAACATAGTTATTCTTGTTTTTGTCTTTATCTATGTATATATATATATACATATCTACACATTTTTGTTTGTATGTATCTCCTATATATATATACATAATCATACTCATAATCATACACATAATTATGTGTATGTATATATATACTATATACACGTGCGGGGATGTTAAAAATGGTTATGGGTCACAAAACGGATGGTTTAATACTACAAATGACCGATTTTGTGGGTCCGTTGGTGCCCCGATGCTGCATGACTCTAAGATATTGGAATTCCAACGGCCGTAGGCCGTCACGTTGCGATCCAAAAACTGGCACCGCGGCAACGCGTGCAAGTGACACAGATTGGGAAATTCTGTATATGCGCTTCACATTCTTGTACTTAATCGAGTTTGCAGCAAGCTCGGCAAGTAGTTTTTTGGTGGGGCTTCCCTTACTCTCAGAGGCGTGCTATTTTTTTTTCCATCATCTCTTCTCGCATCTCTGATTCTCTTCTTTTGGCTCATGCTGCTCTCAGGGGTGGGTGGGTGGGTGGGTGGGTGAGGGGGTGGGTGAGGGGGTGTAATAACGTTCTACTTTCAGGCTACGCTACTAGTTTACCACGCCACTACGGTCGCAAAGGGAAACCGCACCTTGTTCTTCCTAGGTCAATGCTTGGTTAATGAGTTGTGGCACTTCGGAGAAAAAGGTAGGACACCCCAGTGATTCCTGCAGGATGGCCTCTCATTCACCCCAGTGACTTTCACGTCTCTCGGGAGCTGGTCTTAAGGCCAGGGGATTTGGGAATAGTTTCTATTGATCTTTCCCCAAGATTAGACAGTTGAAGAATGTTTAAGATTGAAAATAGCAAACTTTGTGGGTCTATGGAACCCATACCACGTTGTTTGTTTGGCAGCTCATGCCGCAGATATCAAGAGTCATTTAAGCCATTGACAAACGAATCCTTTGGCTTTGTAAAGTGATAGCAAGGGAATGTCAAGAGATCTAAATGATTCTGCTGAGATGTTAGAGACACCCTTAAATTTACCAACCCATGGTATATGTAGTGGGACACTGGTTGGGTATCTCCATGTGGCTTCAGAGCAGGCATGGGATATAGCCTAGCATAAAATACCGCCGTATGTTAAGTTTTCATGTGGACAATTATATGTTGAACTGTTCAAACGTATGCGTAAAAGATCGTAAACACATCGAATTTGGAGGCCCGGAAATCCTGTTGTCCCACTACATGCCATTCTGGTTGTATCGTCCCACTAGATACCATTCTGGTTGGTTAATGAAAAATCAATCATGAGATACAGAAAGATATCGTGAAGTTGGCAAATGATATCCGACCTGCAAGGTCGCCCCACTGATAATTTATATATATCCCCTCAACTACATAAGGTCTAGAGTACCCAGGCCTCCAGGCTTCGGGGGCCCAGGGTCTAGAGTACTTCCAGGAGCACTGTAGACCCTCTGCATTTAAGCTACTATAGACCCTTGAGCGTGTCTATGTTGGACATGATATATGGATGTCCCATCATAATTTTCAACTTTGAAGATGTAAGGCAGATCTTGTTTTTTCAAAGGTCTGGACAGCTTTTCTGGCAATCATCAGGACAGGTTGGTTTTGCTGACCATTGTAGCTCTAGACCTTTGCCAAGCTAGATTCCCCAGTTCTTACAGAGGTCTGGACAGCGTTTCTGGCACTGATCAAGATAGGTTGGTTTTGCTGACCATTGTAGCCCTAGACCTTTGCCAAGCTAGATTCCAAAGTTTGTCCAAAGGTCTGGACAGCGTTTCTGGCCTTGATCAACACAGATTGGTTTTGCTGGCCATTGTGTTTCTAGACCTTGCCACACTAGATTCATAAGATTTCATAAGATTTTCCCAAATTGTTATTCATAAGATTTGATATTTTTTTTTTCCAAAGTGTTATTCATAAGATTTCATAAGATTTTTTTTGCAAATTGTTATTCATAAGATTTGATAAGATCTTTTTTCCAAATTGTTATTCATAAGATTTCATAAGTTTTTTTTCCAAATTGTTATTCATAAGATTTCTTAAGATTTTTTCCAAATTGTTTTTCATAAGATTTCATAAGATGTTTTTTCCAAATTGTTTTTCGTAAGATTTCATAAGATTTTTTCCAAATTGTTATTCATAAGATTTCATAAGATTTTTTTTCCAAATTGTTATTCATAAGATTTGATAAGTTTTTTTCCAAATTGTTATTCATAAGATTTCATTATTTTTTTTTCAAATTGTTATTCATAAGATTTGATAAGATTTTTTCCAAATTGTTATTCATAAGATTTCATAAGTTTTTTTCCAAATGTGAAAAACTTGTGACAGCAGCGAAGAAAAATGAGCGAGAGAAAACATGTTGTTTGGAACATTTTTTTTGTATTTTTGACGCATGGGTAAATGTCTTCAGACCTTCAGCATCTGTAAGGTCGAAGGGTCTAGACTATTGAGATTGTTTTACGTGATTTAGCTATGTAACTCTTCTTCAGACCCCGTTTTTAGGGTCTACAGTGTAAGATCCAGGGTCCCTGCCAGGTAGCTGATGGTATTTATATATAGTTTATAAAGTCCATTAATCATAGATATATCTATAGGTACTATGAACTTTTAATCATTTGCCTCGTTATCACACCAACTTAGCTGTAAAAAAAACGGGGAAATCTGGTTGGTATCCAGTTGCCGAAGGGTAGCCGAGGCTTTTGCTTACAGCTTGCCGGCCTCATCGTTGGATCCTAGCCGATCTGCTGCTGCTCCAAGCCGGAAGCAAAGCCAGTCCAGCAGCATGGAATGTGGCCTTAGGACCTGCTCGACCGCTAGATTTCGTTCCGACTTCGAGACACCTAGGGTTTTTACAAAGAGACCCTACTGAAGCAACATTAATGGCGCCATGTTTGCAAAGCTCGACGAAGTTTGTAGAGGTGCTCCAAGTGCGCTGATTTGTACTCACTCTGACAATTTATGGAGTCTCCTTGGCTCCTTGGATCTAAAATTTCTGGAGGTGTCATTGAGTTTTACGGATCTAATTTTCCTGGAGCATCCTTTTCCATGGTTTCAAGCGAAGCGTCGGGAGGAATTTCTGCGTCGCCAAAGCATGCGATACAACGCTGGCAACAGATGAGAGGAGCGCTTCTGAGGCGAATCAATTTGGGCCGCTCGAATAGGTTTCCATAAATGGGTGATCTCCAAATTGTATTGTCTATATTGGAAAATCACCAGAAAAAATGGATGATTCAGGTGTAGCCCTATAGAAACGGAACCCCCCAATATGGATTTGCCGAAAAATGAAGGATACCCTCAAGTTATAGCAATTTCAAATATTTCAAGGAGGAACATATAGGAAAATGATGACACATCATGGTCAACCAGGAATTGATTGGTACCAAATTTTCACACAAAACCATAGCTCACACTCTTTCATCACGATGATAGCTGCTCAGGCATAGGCCAAACAAGGTGCCTCGTGGCACATCGTGGCACAGCCGAATTTTCTTGTGAGGCCAGATGACGTGAGCTATGGAGCAATGGTGAGCAGTTGCAGTAGCTGAAAGCTCAACTGTTGGAGGACCTACATTGAAATTGAAATACATTGAAATACATTGAATCATTATGAATCATTGAATGTAACAAGTGTTCACTTGTTTGTATCACATACTACTAGTATGGTTATTTCTTGACTGTTCTATGGGGGTGGAGCATTCAGGTTTGAATCAGAATCGGCAGGCCAAGGAGACCTTTATACCGTAGCCACTGTTTCCTCACAGCTTGGGGGCATGCGTATTTGCTGATCCTTTCCTAAACGTTCTGACTGGTGCCCCAAATAGGCTGGGGACGACTTAAAACCCCAACTATTGCAGCCCATTGCAGCTTAGGTACAAGTTTCCACTGGTTGGAGGCGTTCCACATATTGGACTTGGCTGTGAGTAATGGCTGCAGGCTTCGATTCTGGTGGCTTCCTTGATGTTTTTGGCCAGCATTCACAGCTCCATGGGTGACAGTTCAATAGCTGGACTTAGTGGATCTTGCTCGGTCCATAGCAGTGGCTTGACTCGTTGGAGGCTCTCGCAGAGTGGCTATTGTGCAACTCTTGCGACTTGCAGCCGCGCGAATCGTTGGGCAGAGGCTGGGAAATTCTCACATGTTTTCTCAGTATTTCGCAATTAAGAAAGCACCATTTCACGAGTTCTTGATACCCAGATCTTGTCATCCCCAGGATTTCTGCCAAGTGCTCGACTCTCACCGGGGGGTAAATTGCGTGAAGCGTGCAGTGTTTGACACCGGATCAGATGTTAGTTGGTGATGGTTTCATATCATTTCCCAAACGCCAAACGCGCAGGCTTTGCAGACTCTGAAGACTTCACAAGGCTCCGAAGAAGGGTCCTTGGTCATCGTGAAAGTGTGCCCTTCTTTGGTCTTCTGAGTTCTGAGATCTTTGGAGTGGAATTAAAGATGTGGTAGGATGATGTAGGATGTGAATGTTGGGATATCTGAAGCACTGCACCAAAATGTGAGCAGCTCAGCATAGACAAGGAGGGATTTTTGGCTAGATATCCGTTTTCCCATCTCATTATATATATATTCAGTATATATACGTTGGTTGATAGCTTTCCCTACTATGGGTGCAATTACTGTACACTCCTCGATATGTCAGATGTTGTGAGGTTTAATGCAGCTGCAAGTGCTCTGAGTTCAAGGCGGCAGTGGTCCGAAGCGTTATCTCTGTCAGCTCAGTCAGCTGAATGTGGCTATGGCCGCCAGCGGGTGGGAAGCAATGCAGTGGCCGCTGGGTCGCTTGGTGAAGTAGATCCGATTTTGCACGTGACAAAGATCCACAGCTATGTTTTTGCATTTATTGCTGCATATGCACATGTGTGCTCATACATATATACCATATATATCTATATATTATATATACACATTATATACATATATAAGTTAAACAATAATGCTGTACATTACATTACGTTAGGTTACATTACGCTAAGGTACCTTTCATTACATTATATACATTATTACATTCCATGACATGACATTATTACATCACATTACATGAGATGACACTATACATATACTACTGTACATTGCATTAAATTGCATTGCATTGAATTACATTACATTAAATTCCATTATATAGATTCAATTACATCGCATTAACTCACATTGTAACACATTAAATCCCAATTAAGTTACATTGCATTAACCCACATTACAATAAAATCAATAAACAATATTTCATGAAATTACACTATGGCTATATACATTGTTACTTTACATTACTACATGACGCTACATTGCCTCACATTACCTTTCACTACCTTACACTGCCTTATATTACCTTACATTACCTTACATTAGCTTGCATCACCTTGCATTAACTTGCATTACCTTGCATTTCCTCACATTACCTGGCATTTCCTTACATTACCTTGCATTTCCTTACATTACCTTGCATTTCCTTACATTACCTTGCGTTACCTTACATTGCTTTACATACACACATGCGGACATACACACACACATAAACAATCATAAGCACATAAACGCATACACACATACAAACATAGACACTGTACATGGATACCTTCATAGATTATCACAGATATGCATGCATACAGGCATAGATGGGCAGACGGTGTTTGGATGATAGAGATACAAACTGATAGATAGATAGATTAGATTAGATTAGATTGGTTTGGATTGGATTGGATTAGATAAGATAAAATAAGACAAAATAAGATAAGATAAGATAGATCGATCGATCGATAGTCGATAGATAGATAGATCCATCGATAGATAGATAGATAGATACATAGATACGTTACGTACGTAGATACATAGATACATAGATACGTTACATACATGTACACGAAGAAATGCACACACACTATTGTTTGCTAGCATATAGCCAGAATTCTCAATAGCCCGTGATCTCGTTCAGCGCTGCAGGTCTGCTCATTCAGGTCTTTGGCAACAGGCGTGTCAGCTTGTGATACGTGAGCCAGACGCTATCGGTTCCTGGGTGGTCCGTGGCTCTGCTTCCCATGTTTGAAATATGTTATAGCTGTTATAGTATGTTATAGTTTCCAAAAAAAAATCCAAAGCCATTTCAAAAAGTATCATTGTTATCATGGTTTTTCTGAGTTCTTTTTTGGGGAGTTCAAGGCGTTCCCGCGTTTGGCGACTCGGCCCGCCTCGTTTCGGCTAGGGATTTTGATCGCCGTTCGGGATACCGGGATACCTATCAACCAACAGAGATTCTGAGGCTTGAGTGCCTGCTTTACTGGACTGGAACGCAAGGCCTGGAAGGGAAAATGATGAATTTATGATTCAATAATTCCAAAGGTAATTTTAAAGGGATTGAAAGGGACGTGATGGGCTATATATATATATATACACATTGTTAAACAAACATAAGCGCAACAAGATGATTGTTGGGTTTGTCCAAGAAACCAGTATACCCCAAAATTGCAATTGTCATGGGGGTTTTTGGATGATCAACAATTGGATTGGGGGTACAAAATAATTCAGACAAAGCCAGTAACCCAGATTATTGTGGATCCCACAGTAATTATGTGTATAGTCATAGTCCATTCAAAAACGTTTCATAAAGTTATAACTACCCATTCTGGTGGGAATCATGTCGACATGTTCATTCACAAAGTAAAAAATATCTTGTTAAATAAGGATATTTATACGGTCCACAATGGGGTTATCATCCATGATGATCCCCCTCGAAGGATCATCCCACCGATCGTGTTTTTGGTTAATAATCCTGATCATAAGTCCCCGATCCGTGGCTTACAACTAGGGTTACCAAGAAGTCACAAAGCAATAACATGCAATAACTATACTTACAAACCATTCTATAGTTATAGCATGTTATAGCCCAATAGGCTTTGTGTATGTCCATATACTCTCGCCGTTTACTATAGCTAAGCCATTGATAAGCCATTTACATATGGGCTTTACTAAAAAAATGGCTGTAAAACTATAGTGGGATCCACGTAGCCAGGTGTGGCCCCTTGCCTGGCACCTTTTGGATGATGCGAAGCCAAGAGGTTGGGAACCATACTTGGTGCGGGCCCCACCAATCGTAAATGGGTGAAAAACACAGTTATAAAATTAGCTAGATTAATGGCATATCCCCACTTATATATGGGATGAAATATGGATTATATGGCTTAGATTAATGGATTATAAACCACGGATCCTAAGTGGGATGCACATCCAAGTAGGGAAGACATGGCGAACTACTGTGCTTTTCTATGGGAAAAGCCGTGAATTCACGGCTGAATCATCGGTTGTTCCCTATGAAAGATGCCAGTTTCGGTTATGGAATGTTATGGATACTCCACACATATGGACACGAACAGAAGCAGCGGTGATCATTCCAACTAGTTGAATCTGAAAAGGTCCTTCATAATGATGACCCCTGTTTGCACGCCAATCATGTTGCCAGCTGGCACCTTTTTTTCTTGCCACAGTCCTGAGTGAGTTCTGCACAAAGATCGGTGACTGCATAGTGGAAGTCTTGTAGTCAGTCCTCAAGTGCAAGAATATCAGCAGACCGTCAGTCTGACCCAAATAGGTCCTGCCATGTCCTGCCTTTCAGGTATCAGAGTCGACACCATCTGCGGCAATGCTGCACTGGCTGCCCTGCCGCGGTGGTCTGCAGCCCTTGTGCTCTTGCAACAGCTACAGGCGTTCAACTTCAGGGCCAGTATTTCTGTTTTTGTTCTAATTTGTTCTAGTTCTTCTTGTGTTCACTACTTCTCTGTGTTCTTGTTGCTCATGGTTGTCTTTTCTTTTTTTGGTCCTTGCTGTTCCTGATTTCCCTCAGAATTCAGTTTGATACAAGACCAAGATCTTTGCTTCTTGCTCTAACAAATGCCGCTGGTATAGAATGCTACGAATCTGTTCCTAGGTCTGGCAGCTGCGACCAAACAGTAGCACAGCCAGAACCCAAAGCTGTGAACATGACATGATGCCTTCCCTCCCAGCCCAAAATAAGCAAGTGAGTATCATATAGTATCATTGTCTCAGTCTTGGCTTTGAGCGTCCGTATCCAAAACCCGCAGGTGCTGGGGGTCGAAATTCTGGGAGCCGATTGGAGCTGAGGCTGCCACATTCCTGAGCCAGCTGGGCGAGCAATCACTTTGGGAGCCTTGCCTCCGGCGCCCAGCGCTGTGACAAATCGGTGTAGCAACGAGTTAGGGAATGTTAGGGAAACTGGAATAAATCTGCAACGTGGGTCAGCAGTTTCTCTCTCTCTCTCTCTCAGAGTGCCACTTCATGTGAGGAAAAAGCCATGTCTTGGCTGCGAGACAAAAATGGTGAGACCGCTGTCAACGCAGGTGCTAAGGGCTCTAAGAGAAGAGGAAAGGACGGAAAAGGTTGTTGAGGATTTTGGGCACCACGTTTCAAGGAGTCAATACTGCCGGATGAAGTGGACCCAAGGGCACTTTCATTGATCATATGATTACAAAGTTGTCCCTGCAACTGGGCTTAGCACCAAGTTTCTATCCACTTAACCAACCCTTATGGTCCATCTCAATGTTTGTTTTCGTATGTTTTCGTTGATTTAATATGGAGGTTCCCTAAGTCATGTGTGTACCCCAATAGCTGGATGGTTTAGAATGGACAGTCCCAACAAAAATTTGATGACTTGGGGGCTTGGGGGTATCATGGGGTACCCTAGACTTAGGAAACCTCCATATGTTTGGGTCTGAGAGGCATGGCTGCTTGTGAAAGCGGCGGGGCTTGGCAACGCGCGCACCTGCTCTTGGACTGGCCTGGGCTGAAGGCTTTGCACTGAGAGCTGCTGAGGCAATAATGGAAGAACGATGGAAAGATAAAACGTTAACAACAAAATATATATTATAGATATGTTTCGTTTTTCTCAATATATACATACATTTACATACATACGTACGTACATAGGTACATAGGTACATATGTCCATACGTACAAAAGTATACAAAAGTACATACGTACATACGTACAAAAGTACATACGTACATACGTACATGCGTACATGCGTACATGCGTACATACGTACATACGCACATACGTGCATAAGTACATATGTACATACGTACATACGTACATACGTACATGCGTACATACGTACATACGTACATACGTACATACATAGACATTTATATAGATATATTATATAGACAGATAGATAGATCGATAGATAGATAGGTAGATGGATAGATAGATAGATAGATAGATAGATAGACAGATAGATAGATAGATAGATAGGTAGATGGATACATAGATAGATAGATAGATAGATAGATAGATGATGCTAAATATGATTGTGATATGATTGTGATTACTATAGAAGTATCTGTTTGTTCAGTGTTGACACTGCCGGCTTGCCGGGCTTGCCTCAGGTGGACGTGGTTGGTCTCAGCAGCTGCCAAAGTTCACAGGGGAGACATGGTCAGAATATGTCAGTCGTGGTGAGGATATCAATGGGGATGTAACCACTCCAAATCTCTCATGAAATTGGGCGATTTATTACTGTAACATGAGTTTTCACCACATATGATGATCAATGTTTTTTTTTTTATTTTTAACTCTAACGGGAAACCATGCTTCTTACCTTCAAATATAGAGGGTTGCCGTAATTTTTGAAATCCATCCAATGAGATTATGTAAATGACTGGTACTCTAATTGCTAATGACATATTATATTATCATGATTATCACTATATCATGTATGGCAACAAATCAGAGTAAAATAAGGTTTTCTAAAGTCAAGATCGAATTTGAACATAGTGAAAGGGACAACACAAACTAAACAGA